CCTAAAAGAAATGTAGATACATGGGATAGTCTTCCAGCAGAGGTGGTAAAAACACTCAAATGAGTTAAAACATGTATTTTTAGGAATTGAGTAGATGAGATATACCATGCAGAATTTCTTCAAGCATGGTAGTAGTTTTTTTTTTTAATCTTTAATTATTTAATTCTACTTGAGATTATGACAGATATTTAAGATAGCAGCAAATACACAGATGCATCCAGCAAGAATAACGCACTATTGTTTTAATGGAGATCACGGTGTAGGTAGTCCTGGTGATCATTTCATGTACTTACCATCACTATGCTCAGGGCATTTCCTGTCCAGCTCAGCAGGTTGCAAAGAATGATCTGCCGTATCTGTCATTCTCTTCATTCCAACTTTTGACTTCAGCTCCCTGGGGTGAATATCACGGATCACTTTGTTTTTATGTCTCCTAAACAGAATGAGAGATGAATGTTATATATTAAAAAAAGAGAGTATTCCTATACAGACAGATTTCTTTTTTTATGCAAGACAATCAATAGAACACATGAGAGCAAGTAAAGCTTTGGCATATCAGAACAACAGGATATCTGATGAAAATACCTAATTTTTTTTTTATTTTTTTTTGCATACATACAATATTAATGCAAAGTCTGAGAGCCACTTGGCTAGATATCGGAGCCAGAAAACACTGTGGTATGAAACAAAATAAATGCAAAATGATCAGTGGTTTAATTTGCTAAGTGATATTAAAAGATATAAGGATTAATGCAAGGTGCTTAAGCTATGCTCCCAGTCCCCAACTCAGGATCAGCTGGGGCCAGAACACAGCCCTGTGGTGCCACCACCTTCCGGAGAGACATGATCCCGTTCCCTCCGCGGTATGAACAGATGCTCTGCTTGCCACAGACTTGCAATAAGGATGGCTTCTTGTGAGACTTGTCTGGTCGCAAGGAAGGCAGATCCAACAGCCTGAGTGAGGAGCTCTCCGGTATAAGAAAAGGGCTCACCTTGGAGGAGTTGCAGTAAATGGTCTGATTACCAGCTGCGTTGGAGTGGGAGTTGGACATGTAGTGCATGGAAGGCTGCATCTGATGATGTAGCTTCTGCCAAAAGTCAGCAAAAAGCTGGTCAAGCTGGGCCATGGTATTGAAGAGCAGGCCTTGGGGTGTTATGAGTGCATGGCATCTGCCATATTGAAATGTTGAGTACATCGATCAGCTTTCTCTCTAACAGGGTAAACGTCACCCAGTAGCAATAAGTGCCAGGATACCCCTCACCGGCAGGGGGAACACAGTGCAGATCAGAGGCTTCTACATACTGGCAGGCTAATAGTGGAGAGATCTGCCGCTTCTCTCTCACTGGTGCCACCACAAGGGCCTTAACGAGGCCATAGAATCCACCCCGTCAGGAAATCTTTGTGTGGACAGGTTTGTCTCCAAAATGCTTGCCAACTGAGCACACAGTGTTGCTTTGTAAGATCAGTAGGTAGCATACTTGCTTAAGCAAGGTGAAAGGCTTCAAAATATCATTACATTAAATCCACTGTTCAGAACAGAAGATATGTGACTGTCCAGCCTGCCCGCTACTTCAGGATTTGTTGAAATTTATCATTGCCAAAATGTATGTTCAGAAATAAAACTTTCACTCTAAAACAGATGAATATATTGATTTATGCAGGTGTACAATGTCATGATATTATATCAATTGCTTCTTTCCCTAAATAAAAGAAATACTTCAGGAAGTGAATGGTAACATACGGCATCATCATCTTTTCCCTGAACTTTACAAGTTCTTGTCTGGTGTGTACATACTGCATAAGAAATTGACCTGCACAGGCTCCCTCATAGCTTTCTATAAGAGAGAAGGTGCATAAGCTCCCCCTCCCTCCCCACCTCCCCCCCACACACACATTTGCATAGCTGTAAGTAACTTCATTCATGAAATACAAATAGAAAGCAACTTGGGAAGATACCAGAAGCCCCCGGTGGAAATTATGAACTTTCTGAACAGTGTTATTAATTTCACTTCCATTTAAAGAAACTAGCCATGAATATGGTGGTAAAGATGGTAATCCTTAGTCCAACAGGATTTTCAGACACTGTCAGTGGAAGGAGGAGGGGAGCCCGGTTTATGCTAATGCTACAGGTTAGTATAGCACTCAAAAAAACAAAAACATTTTTTTTACATTATACCTCAAGTGACAAAACATAACGAAAAAATAAAAGTCTAAAATGGCTAATTTAGAGATATCCCCGGGCTCTTTTGCCCTAAAATGTAAAATTCGAATTGAATTCCTAATAATTCACACTTTAGTGAAAATGCTTAAATGTGATGTATTCATTGAAAATTCAAAGTAATCATATAAGCAGCCAATGGGATGTTCCTGATGGTTTCTCAAAATAAGTTCTCAATTTGTTCGTCCATAAATATGGCTTTAAATATGTTCTGGTGATTAAAGTAATTGTTAGGGTTTATTTACTGACATGACCACTCTGCTTTCCTGCTGAGATAGATTGTTGGCTATAAGTTTAAGTAAAAACAAAAACATACATTTCTTCCTTTAATCTTCCAGCCCCTCTTTTCTTCCAGTCTTCTGTATTGATAGAGGTACGGATTGGGAGATACATCCTGTCTGTGTTTCCTGGTGGAGGTCTGGGAACAAAAGTCTAAGAAAACACTAAAAGTTACTCAAATATCTTACAACAGATCAATAAGCTTCATAAACACATTTTCACCTTTTAAGCCAGCTTTAACCACTTTAAAAACAATGTATATATGAAATTAATTAAATTAAATTAAAGGAATACTATAGGCACCAAAATAAATTTAGCTTAATAAAGCAGTTTTGGTATATAGATCATGCCTCTGCAGTCTCACTGCTCCTTTCTATGCCATTTAGGAGTTAAATCACTTTGTTTATGCTGTCCTAGTCACACCTCCCTGCATGTGACTTACACAGCCTTCTTGAACACTTCCTGTAACTAGACATTTAATGTTTAAACTTCCTTTATTGCAAAATCTGTTTAATTTAGAATTTCTTATCTCCTACTCTGTTAAGAGCTTTCTAGATCTTGCAGGAGCTTCCTGTGTGTGATTAAGGCTCAATTTACAGAGCAGGGGATACAAACTTCTAAAATAATTTAAGATCTGATTGGAAATTAAACAATTCTTTCAAGGTGGTTATGTTAGTCAGAGCCAGGGAAGGTGCGGCTATGGCTGCATAACCATTTAACTTCTAAATGGCAGATAATTGAGCAGTGAGACTGCAGGGGCATGATACATACACCAATACTGCTTCATTAAGCTAAAGTTGATTTGGTGCCTATAATATTTATATATTTATGAATATAGTGTGTGAGGTTGGAAGGGATCTCTATGCAGCATAAACATCACACATTTGTTGAGCTGTGCTCTATTTTTAATCACACCATTTTGGAGTGGCTCTTCTTGGCACCATGGAGCCTCCCATGGACCTTCCCCTGTCCAGACAACTTGATAACATAGACTATATCCACATTATTAACAGCAATTCCATCCAACCTAGAAAACAATGATTGGATGAGAGCACAGGGTGTGGATTAGTCACTGATGTACAGTTTGTTAATACTGAAACATGTATTCAATGTATATAAGTGGCTGTACATGGGCTGGTCTCTGGGGGCAAGGGATAGCTCCATTTTATTGTCACACTGATTTAAAAAAGTTTAAGTTCTCTTCAGATTAGTGTCAATGGGTATTTCTGAACAGGGGCCAGGGTCAGGCTCAGCGGCCCCTGTAATATCAGCAGAGCTGGGAGGAAGTAAGAGCATGTGACTCCCCTTCCAGAAACATTGAGAGCCACGTATAACGGCAGAAAGGAGGAGGAGGCACAGACAGGCGGGGGCGAGAGAACAAGGATAGAGTCTGCTCCAGTCATATACTCCCATCAGCCTCAGCCAACAGCAGGATCCCAAGGAAGCCACCCTCCTGCACACAAAAAGTATGTTAGCAGGAGGGTAGCTAAAAACATAAAATATATGTCATGTATGTATGTAGCTGCACGTATATCTATGTTCTGCTTATGTGTCAGTTTGTATATGTCTGTTTCTGTGTGTCAATGTGTGTATCTATGCATGTGTCAGTGTGTGTATATTTGTCGATCTGAGTGTATGTCTGTATCTGTGTGTATGTATGTGTATATGTCTGTATCTGTGTGTCAGTGTGTGTATGTATGTGTACATGTCTGTATCTGTGTGCCAGTGTGTATGTGTCAGTGTATCTATGCATATGTCAGTGTGTGTGCATGTGTCAGTGTGTGTATATTTGTCGATCTGAGTGTATGTCTGTATCTGTGTGTATGTATGTGTATATGTCTGTATCTGTGTGTCAGTGTGTGTATGTATGTGTATATGTCTGTATCTGTGTGTCAGTGTGTGTGTGTGTATATATCTGTGTGCCAGTGTGTATGTGTCAGTGTTTCTATGCATATGTCAGTGTGTGTGCATGTGTCAGTGTGTGTATATTTGTCGATCTGAGTGTATGTCTGTATTTGTGTGTCAGTGTGTGTATCTATGCATATGTCAGTGTGTGTGCAAGTGTCAGTGTGTGTATCTATGTCGAACTGAGTGTATGTATGTGTCAGTGTGTATCTTTGTGTGGGTCTATGTAATTATGTATGTATGTGGCAGTGTATTTGTACATTCATCCCAGCAATCAAACACAAACATTACATAAAAAAAAACATCCCTGCAGTCAAACGCCCTAAGTATATGCAAACACACCACTTCATTCAAACACAAATACTACACACAAATGTACACCAGTATAAGCCAACACTACATACAAACACACCCCTGCAATCAAACACAAACATTATATACAAATACACCCATAATAATACAAATATTGATATAATAAAAATTAATGAAATTTTTCCTTTAAAAGCAAAAGGTTCAAGTTTTCGGTCACTTCTCTCTCACAAGACATCCACAAAATAAAAGATTTCTAAAGTGAAGTTGTCTTTCTGTCTATTTTCTTTATAGTTTACTTGAAGAAGTGATGGTTTTATCTAGAATGACACTCTGTTTATTTCTTACCACAAAAGGATTGCTCACTGGTGCATTACTGTCTTCATTAGCAATGACAGCTCGTTTGGGCATCGTTTTCTTCTTGGAGACCATCTGGAGAACATCAGAATTCTCTGGCTTGAGATACAGTCTGGAGAGCAATTGTGTGTTTGGTGGTAGGCTGTGCTCACTCATGTATATGACGTTCTTCTGTTCCTACAGCAGAAAAGACAATCAAAAAATATTCAACGACGCAAACTGTATGAGCTAATTTAATAAAAATCTGCTTCTATAAAATGCAGCCCTCAGCAAGTATGGTATCGGCCTCTGGGAATTTTGTATTGCTAATCAATTTTATTAATGTGATAAAGTTCCAATCTTATCAAAACCATTTTAAAGAACACTGTAACTTCTGAGTTCTTGTAAATACAATCATTTCTAGAGAACAGATGTCTTGGTACACGCTGGATGTCCAAAATGCAGACTATATTGAAGTGGAATGGTAACTCCACTCTAATAAAGTCTTGATTTTGGACATTTGGTGTGCACCCGGACATCTCTACATTTGGTGTATTTCAAGGGATTGGTAGTCTCCTGGGTTGATGTGGAACCACAGTGAAGATCTTCTCAGGAAAAAGTATGTGCTGTTCCTGTTTTCTGTTTTAAAGACAGAATCGTTATGAAAAACTCCAAAAGACTTTGTTGGAATTGAAATTAATTTTGAAACAATAGGCGGATATACGTGGGACAAAATGGGACTAGGGTTTTTGTGGCAATGAGCAGACTTCTAAGAAGATTCCACAAGATCACATGGTCATATCTCAGCAGTTACTGTTCATAATATCTGCTGAGGGATAGACTTCTCCTCGCATGGTGTGCAAGACGATCCATGAAAGGTCTTGTAGGATCTCCCATAGACCTTAATAATAATGATAATAAAAAAATGATTTGGCTCCTGAGGGCTTCATCTACAAGGAACTGCAAGGAACTGAAGATTACAGCTCTAGGACCTTGCAGAGAGCGCATCAGCCCAAAAGGGGATTGCACCAGGGAAAGCAGTGTGGCTATAGTTAGTCAAATATTTTTATCTGGGCCTGATTATTAATAGGTGTTTATGCATTAAAAGCCCATATTTTAATGAGAAAACATCTTTGTTGTTTTTTAAACAGTTAGTAAAATTTTAATTATAAAGGAATGGAGCTAGAGGACAGAATGCAATCAGAACTAGAAACAGTGAGAAATCACACTTTGGTCAGTTGGCGTTCATGAAGATTCACAAGTCTCCAGACTTAGCACTCATGCCTTGCTATGCAACTCGGGGTATTTTGCCAATTCTTCAGCATCACCCTCAAGCTGGTTGTGGTTATTACCAGTGATATTATTAGATTTATCTACACCAGAGGTCGGAAATTGGTGATCTGCAGACCACGGATGGTCCACGAGAAAATTTTGGTGGCCCGTGTAGAAATTTGGGCATTATTTGCACATTTTTGCCCTCTGCCAACAACAATTTCTAATAGGATCACTGATCCTACAAGAAATTGATGTGGGCTACGGGCCCGCACACTATGGAAGCCCATCGATTGGCCCATGTGCTTAGGGCCATCCGGTGGGCATGTGTCAGCAGGGGCTCAGTCGAGCGCTGTGACCCTTTAATAGCACGACCGGGCCCTCTTTCACTTTGGCAGCATGGAAAGAAGTGGCAGCTGTGAGTCACTTTCTCCTAAAAAAACTAAATCAGTGAGGGAGAGAGAGGACCCGGTGAGAATAGAGTGGGAGTGCCAGGTAAGCCACCCTCCTGCTAAAGTTAAGAAACTGGAGGGTGGCTATTACAATGTAACTTTTGCGTGTGTGTCAGTGTGTCTGTCTGTGTGTGTGTGTCAGTATATCTGTCTGTGTGTGTGTGTCAGTATGTCTGTCTGTGTGTGTGTGTGTATGTGTCTGTAAATCAAAATTTTGATTCAGTTAGCAACAACATATTTGTGTGAAAAGACATTCTCATTTGTTATGGCAATGAAAAACAAGTACCGCTGTCGGCTTGAAATACTAACGGCTCTCCAATTTGCAGTGACATAATTGGAGCCAAGAATCCATAAACCTATTTCAAACAAGCAGCAACACATATCCCACTAACAAATTTGTTATAATTAAATCAATTTTTCTACAGATGTTTGTACTTTTTAAAAAAATATTCATGTTAGTGGCCCACGTGATTGAAATTGTGAGTTTAGTGATCCGTGAGGTCCGACTGGTTAGCCACTGCTGATCTACACTACCCACAGAGCCAGCTCAACACCTCCCAGTCCACTTGCCTACTCCCAAAGGGGGGTATGTGGTATAGAGGCATACGCCTTCTGTGTATATGTACAAGTTACTGAGAGTGAAGGGGTTAACTTATCTTACACTTTGCAGCAGGGGAGCGGAAGCGACCTACTTTAGAAGCCAAAGTTTTCCATTCAGGTGTGGGAATATGCCGTTCCAGCTGTTTTTAACAATAAATATCATGACTAAGATTGCCTGGGGATAAGGGGGACCTTGAGTTTAATAACTGCTAACGTTCTTCTGGCACAGTGTAGCGAGTGGAGGGTGATATATTTCTGTACTTTACGGAGAGTACAACATCACGGCTGGAAGACAGAGGCGTTTCAGCAGCAATCAAATCTAAATCAGATTATATCAGAGTAATTAGCTTGCATAAAAAAATAATAAAAAAAGGAAATTAAGACGGTACCAATGTCCTGTGACACAAAACACAGCAATACCTCCCGGCATTTCACATGGACAAAGAGGGACACTTTCATTTTAGGGGTGTGAGTGGGGGTGTGGCCAGGAGCAGAGCTGATCTCTGAAGTTTTAGGTGACTTACTAATAACAATTTATTCAAATAAAATTTCATTTATAACAAGAGCAATGTATCTTATTTACACAGACTGTTTTCTAAATACATTTATTGTAGTTTAAAGACACATTACTGGGAGTATTATTGCTGTGGAATTCTGTTATACACTCAGACACATTACTTTGAGTATTATTGCTGTGGAGCTCTGTTATACACTCAGACACATTACTGGGAGTATTATTGCTGCGGAGCCCTGTTATACACTCAGACACATTACTGGGAGTATTATTGCTGTGGAGCTCTGTTATACACTCAGACACATTACTGGGATTATTAATGCTGTGGAGCTCTGTTATACACTCAGACACATTACTGGGATTATTAATGCTGTGGAGCTCTGTTATACACTCAGACACATTACTGGGAGTATTATTGCTGTGGAGCTCTGTTATACACTCAGACACATTACTGGGAGTATTATTGCTGTGGAGCTCTGTTATACACTCAGACACATTAGTGGAGAGTATTATTACTGTGGAGCTCTGTTATACACTCACACACATTACTTGGAGTATTATTGCTGTGGAGCTCTGTTATACACTCAGACACATTAGTGGGAGTATTATTTCTGTGAAGTTCTGTTATACACTCAGACACATTACTGGGAGTATTATTGCTTTGGAGCTCTGTTATACACTCAGACACATTACTGGGAGTATTATTGCTGTGGAGCTCTGTTATACACTCAGACACATTAGTGGGAGTATTATTACTGTGGAGCTCTGTTATACACTCACACACATTACTGGGAGTATTATTGCTGTGGAGCTCTGTTATACACTCAGACATATTACTGGGAGTATTATTGCTGTGGAGCTCTGTTATACACTCAGACACATTACTGGGAGTATTATTGATGTGGAGCTCTGTAATACAATCAGACACCAAAAATATGGAGCTCCTAGAACATAGGGACATTAGTAAAGAAAAGAAGGACAGAGGGATTTGGGCCCAAACTTGGGACTGCCCCTCCAAAATAGGGACACCTGGGAGTGATGCATTGGACAAACCTTGTTCCCTCCATTTTAAATGGAAGAATAATGGTAAATATTTTAGACTTTAAACAAACTTCGAATCTGTTTCAATGTATTTAGTTGTTTTGTTAGAATATATTTTGTGATTCCCTTCTTTATAAATAAAGAATAAATGCTTCCAACAGATAATTTCAGACACTATTTTAACCCCATAACTTTCTAAAACAATGTTGTGGCAATCCCTGCCACTGGAACTAATCATTCTTTGTGAATGGGTGACTTTCACCAAGGGAATAACTACCCGAATTGACTTTCATGTTATATTACTGTTTTTAGGCGAATGCCCGAAACTACCGAACGGGAGACCACCCCGGGGTGGTCGTGTGTTTCCAATTAGCTGAGCGATACAATGTTGCGAAGGGAATTAAGTACCTGTATGTGTGGCCACCATTTCGCCTACCGAACACGTGGCGGCGGCCATCTTACGCACGAACAGCGGTACTTGGTTGTCGAACGCCTGGAACTCAAACCGGGCATTCGACTAACCAAGTACCGCTGAGACCTCCAGCGTGCTCCGACAGCACGAATCAAACACACGAACGCCCCAGCGTTCGGTAGATAGATTCCCCTAAACGAGGGGATTCATACGAAGGCTTGCAATCGCATGGATGGCTAAGCTGTTCGGTATTTTTGATTCACTAAAATAGACCGACCGCAGGGCCAGAATTCATGGAACTGTTTTCGGCTACTGAGTCCCTGCGGTCGGTCAAATCTTTAACTGTCTGTAACTCCCAAACCCCTGGTCCGATCTGGATGAATTTCAAGTATGTTGCTCACCCAGATCAGACCTACCTACCCTTATTTGTCCCTGTACCCCGTGTATTTAGGGGACATCCAGAAAGTGGGGAAAACTCTGTCCCCACTAATCTGTTTAAGTGCTAATCTAAGGGGAGGAGAGGGAGGGGAGGTGACCGTGTTACAATTGGCTACTGTACTAATTATGAAAGTTACCTCCCTTGCATGGGAGAAATGCATAAAAGCAGACTTGTGAATAAAGCTGACAGTTGACTCCCAGACTATGTGTCGTCTAGTCCTTGGGTAGGTGGATTATGCTGTGTTCCTGTGATTTTGTATGCTGAATCTTTGTTCCCAGCGGAGAGCCATTGGATTAACCCCCATACACGGCACTCGAGGTGTCTTTCCACGGCACTCAAGGCTGCTAGAGCCAAACAGGCTCTGGCCTATCAGGCGTCTCAGTGAAACTTCAGATATCTGCTAATACGAAAAGGTGGTGAAGGAAAATCCTCAATTTATGCTTTGCAGCACGTAGAGGAAGTGATCTCAGATCACTTCCTCCCAGCACTTGTGAATGGGAATCCCCAGTGTAGTAGAGAAGCCCACAACTGCTGTTGCAGCTCCTGTCCTTGACCTGTACCTGGCCAGGCTGGTCCCCACTGGAACCCAGGGAAGCCACCCACACTGCTAGATAGACACAGAGCTGCAGAATAACCCTCCTCTCATACAAATAATACAAACAGCCCACACACAAACACACACACAATCCCCACTAACGCAATCCACATACATGCACACAACCCCACATGCAGCCTCTCACATGCAATACCCCAAACAGCCCCACACACTACCAAACACACAATGTGACATATCCATCCACACACAATTCCACAAGCAGCCCCCATACACAGCCCTCATATGTATCATACACGATACCATAAACTACTAATGCACATATACAATATAATAGCTCATATACGCACAAATACAACGATACAAAGCAATTACAGTATAAATAACACAAGCAGAATACGGCAGCATACACACCTCAATTTAAAAAATAGGACCGGCACGCTACGGGACATCACCATCCTATATCGGCACAGTGCTGCTAAAAGTTTATCTGAAACTGCTATGTTTACAGCAGTCAGGGTTAATCCTAGATGGACCTGGCACCCAGACCACTTCATTGAGCTGAAGTGGTCTGGGTGCTTATAGTGGCTTAAATGTTATGGACATTGTGAGCACAAACCTCTCAGGGTTATTCTTACTATTAGTATCTACATTAATATTATCATCTAACATTTAGCTGCAGTTAATTGAAAACTATTGCAAAATTTAGGATATACTTTCTTTTATGAAAACAAAGTGTATTTTATTTTCTAGGTGCACGTCGAGGATTTTTATACTTTGTCTAATTATTGCCTAAATGAACATAGGCTTCACTCACCTTCTTCATTATTTTTTCGCTATACTCACCTCCTGCTCAGAGGTTCCAGTTCCTCCTTAAACACCTGTAACCTACTCTCTGGCTCAGCACATCTTTGGGTAGCCCCATTTCACTTGCCAACACCTGGCAGAGCACCTCATGATGACACTAATGTGGTAGGCATATTCTCTTTTAACCAGACATTGGCACAGAGTCTATGCCGATAGTCTGAGGGACAGTAGGAGGCGGACAGGTGACATCATGGGCACTCTGACTGGTCAACGGCAAGCAACCCCCCATACACAACAAACCATGATGCACTGTGTATTCTGTGCCAGCATTAACTATTTTAGCAATTTAAACTACAGTAGCTCTTGTGTGATCAAACCAGAGAGGCTAGCCTTCGCTCCCCACGTGCATCAATGAGCCTTGGGCGCCCATTACCCTGATGCCAGTTCACTGTTCCTTGTTCCACTTTTGGTAGGTACCAACCACTGCATACTGGGAGCACCCCACAAGACTTGCCATTTTGGAGATGCTCTGACCCAGTCGTCCGTCTAGCCATCATTATTTGTTTCTGGTCAAAGTCACTCTGATCTCTTTGCTGCCCATTTTTTCTGCTTCCAGGTATGGGATATATTAGGCACTTGTTGGGCCTTGACAGGTGCCATTGTAACAATATAATCAATGTTATTCACCTGTCAGTGGTTTAAATTTATACTGTCAAAATAAATGTCCCTCTGAGGTCTTATAAAAAAAATAATAATTAGACTTTAAGCTAAGAATAATTAACAAGTTTTCATGTCAAAATATAGTAAAGTTGAACTTTCACTTCCTCAATTTAGCTCATTGCGAAATTTCCAAGCTGAGTAAAAAGCACTAATTTCTCACTTAAAGGACCACTATAGTGCCAGGAAAACAAACTCGTGGGTCGCCTGGGCTGAAGTTGGAGGAAGGGGGTTAAACACTCACCTTTCTCTAGCGCCGAGCTCTCTCGGCGCTGGGGACTCTCCTCCTCCTGCCGACGTCATCGGCTGAATGCGCATGCCCATGCGCGCGCTCATTCAGCCAGTCCATAGGAAAGCATTCTCAATGCTTTCCTATGGACGCTGGCGTCTTCTTACTGTGAAAATCACAGTGAGAAGCGCGGAAGCACCTCTAGCGGCTGTCAATGAGACAGCCACTGGAGGCTGGATTAACACTAAAGTAAACATAGCAGTTTCTCTGAAACTGCTATGTTTACAGCAGTCAGGGTTAATCCTAGATGGACCTGGCACCCAGACCACTTCATTGAGCTGAAGTGGTCTGGGTGCTTATAGTGGCTTAAATGTTATGGACATTGTGAGCACAAACCTCTCAGGGTTATTCTTACTATTAGTATCTACATTAATATTATCATCTAACATTTAGCTGCAGTTAATTGAAAACTATTGCAAAATTTAGTTGTGACGATATTGAAGTTTAAATTTTTTTCCAGATCAGCACTTTTTGTCTAAGTGTTGCATTTTACTTTTTTATAAAAGTACAACGCAGTGTTTAGGGAATGAAACTATTTATATTTAATAAATAATACAATTTTACTAACAGATGTTGAAAAGCTACACACATAATTAGGCGCTATTCTTGTACAATCAAATCATTTCACAGAAACCATCTTGAGGGCACATGTCAATGTCACATGCAGGCGATGCAATTTGTTCAATAAAAAGTTTAGCATATGCAATAATCTGCTATTATTGCGCAGCATTGAAGCCACAGTTAACACATACAGAGTGAGAACTATAATATACACTTTTCATACATCAGATCCTTTAACATTAGGTATAATATAACAAAAAGCTAAATTGTCTTTAACCCATTGTTGGCAAGCATTGTATGGTGAAGGCATTGGCTATCAATGGTTAATATTAAATATAACTGACTGACTGTTTGTAGCACACCTACCTATATGTAATACTAAACTGACTGATATACCAATGTTTATACACTCATTATTTATTGCACAGATATAACAAATCACACAAAGTGACTTCATCACACACCAGTCTCCCCCTGCTATAGGCCTGTATGAGCAAAATACAGAAATAATAATAATAATTATTATTATTATTAATAATAATAATAACGAACCTTTGGCACTCCAGTGATTGTGGACTATGAATCCCAGGATGCTCAGCCATCCAATGGCAGGCTGTGTGTGATGGGATGGGTAGCTATTTTTGTATAACTGTCATTCAAATAAATATTTACAGCATTTGCAGGTAAAGCAGAACAAATCAAAAGACTTACCATTGTGGCAGGTAGGTAGTGGGATCCCTCAGTATACAGAGCTCCCTGCTGAGCTCTCTCAGGGGTGCACAGCTAGTATACAGAGCTCCCTGCTGAGCTCTCAGGGGTGCACACACAGTATACAGAGCTCCCTGCTGAGCTCTCTCAGGGGTGCACAGCCAGTACACAGAGCTCCCTGCTGAGCTCTCTCAGGGGTGCACAGCCAGTACACAGAGCTCCCTGCTGAGCTCTCTCAGGGGTGCACACACACAGAGCTCCCTGCTGAGCTCTCTCAGGGGTGCACAGCCAGTACACAGAGCTCCCTGCTGAGCTCTCTCAGGGGTGCACAGCCAGTATACAGAGCTCCCTGCTGAGCTCTCTCAGGGGTGCACAGCCAGTATACAGAGCTCCCTGCTGAGCTCTCTTAGGGGTGCACAGCCAGTACACAGAGCTCCCTGCTGAGCTCTCTCAGGGGTGCACACACAGTATACAGAGCTCCCTGCTGAGCTCTCTCAGGGGTGCACAGCCAGTATACAGAGCTCCCTGCTGAGCTCTCTCAGGGGTGCACAGCCAGTATACAGAGCTCCCTGCTGAGCTCTCTCAGGGGTGCACAGCCAGTACACAGAGCTCCCTGCTGAGCTCCCTCAGTGGTGTATACAGAGCTCCCCCATGCTGTATATTAGAGCCCAGACCTAATATTTGTTGTGATCCCTGCACCCTCCCTGCAGACAGACGCTTTCTTGGGTTGTCCTGGAAACAGGGGCGGGGCTGCCTCCCTGGGTGGCTGTACAGCTACAATGTAACTTCTCGCTAAACTCTGACCTGTCAATCAAACTCCTGCAACCCTTTCAGTGCCAGAGAGAGTGTGTTATGCAAAGCTGCGGCCGGTGTGCTCAGTGCTGTGCTGACCATGACATGTCCCCTTACATCCTGGGACCTAAACATGCTTGGTGCTGGTCACCACATGAAATGGCTGCTCTATATCAAGAACTGTCACTTCACTATTGTGACATAAATCCCCCCTTGTCCATTCTCCACAACTCCCAGTTTAGTAAATCCTCCCCAAGTTAAGCCTGCATAAAAATCATTGCATAAATAATAATGGTGTCAGGGGAAATATTACCCCCTAACCATTACGCCTAATTGCCTTAATTTGCACAGTAGTTGTGCTACTATTGTAAATAGTGAATACAAATGGCAGCTTCAAAATCAATAGCACTAATTTATAGTTTTTTTATTTAATTTTTTTCAGTATCTTATGTTTATTTGGTATGGATTAGTTATTTTTATTTTATTTTAACGCCTTAAGGACACATGACACGTGTGACATGTCATGATTCCCTTTTATTCCAGAAGTTTGGTCCTTAAGGGGTTAAAAGGAACACTCCAAGTACCATAACAACTACATATAATATAGTGGTAACAATGCCAGGACGGCCTTGCTGCCCCCATCCCCCAACCACGTAGCCAAACCTCTTCTTACCAAAAGGTCCACTGGGCACGTCTCTCTGCTTCCACTGCAGTCAGAAGCTCTCCGCTCTGAGCTCATTGGTGACCAACTGACACTCTCAGCCAATGAGCCAGCCATGCACTGGCTTAGCTCAAAGGAGCTAACAGAAACTCATTAACAGCAGGTGGGGAGTGGTTGCTTGCGGACTCCATGCAAGAAATCAAATTGCTATAAAACAGTTTGAATACTTCTAATGGATGGACATCAGGGCACTCCTGGCACCATAACCACTACCCCGTGATGTAGTGGTTATCGTGGTTGAAATGTTTCTTTAAAGTGAATCTGTGATAACAGGTTCATCTTAAATACATTGAATGAGTCACGGATCACAGAGAGTCATGATGTTATTCACTGTAATTTATTGAGATTATACCCACCTTACCTCCCATCCTGCGCTGACCTTCTCTCAGCTTTGTGGTTATTGCTCCTCTTGTAACACCAACCCGCCCAAGCCGGGCAAGCCTGCCCTATGACACCAACACGCTGCCTTCTTTGCCAACATGCCAGCATCTGAATAGGGTGACTCACACCATTCCTATGCTTTCTAGCCAGCACTAGTACCAATGGCTAGGGAGTTACCATAGCAACCACTGCTCCTGTACTGTGCCTGCTCTGTGTGATGAGTAGAAGGGACCACCTGTGGGAGACCTTTTCTGCTCATAATTGTCTGTAAAATCATTGGCATATGACCAAAAATTTAACGACATATGGGAGAAAGACCTATTTTTAATATATATATATATATATATAAATATACATATATAATAAGTTGTTGGTACCATTACACGTACACTTTAAAAGTACTTGCTGGTGAAATGTATTATATGTAAAATATAGATTGCAATTCACTGTTATATGACTTGCCTGGCATCACAGCCAGAATATGTCAATTAAGAAACCCTGCAGAGGGTAAATCAATTAATCATTTTTCTTGAATGATGGATATCCCTCCTACAGCACAGGATTCTGACTATTATAGCTTTCCTAAGGGGGAGGGGGTCAGCCTTACATAGGAAATATATACACTGGTCTCTTGAAACTGGTTGTTGTTTCCTAAATATGGTTCTGTATAGGTTTATTTTGCTGAACAGAGCATGACCTCTCCTTTGGTCTGGTGGTTCAGGATAGGGCGCTAAGTGAGCCGAGCCCAACAAGTCTGGAGGCAGAGTCGAATTCTGGGAGTAGAATCTAACACCCCACTATCGTAAAACTTCATCAGCTGTCCATCACCATCACTGCTGTCCCCACAATCACGACACCAGTGTGCAAGCCCAGACAGGAGTCCAAATTCAGGACTTTTCACAAAAATCCAGGACAGTTGGGAGATATGTTTTTAATATCTGGCTCTTCAGCACAAAGAAGAAATAGGTGTCAAGAAAAACACGGTGGATCTGACACCCCTAGTCTACATACAGTCAATTAAAACAGAAAGATACGTTCCTTAGTGATGTACATAGCACAGTCAATTGGCTAATCACATGTTAATTACAGAATTCTAAATCCCAGGCAGGTCACGAGCCTCGGAGCATTGAACTGCAGCACATAGCATTAGTTTGTTGGTGTCTCTCGACTGTCACGTTGTATCTCGTCACCCGGCTATACTTAGTCTTGAATGTAATATGCCCACCTTGTCACATTCAATCATGACAAGGATTCTCGTATCCATGGTGTTCTGAGAGAAAACCCAAGCGGACGTTAACATAGAGATGATGCTAAACCATCTTGTCTTCACCAAAACTGGTCCTAACTTTAGAAAATCTCAAGCCTCGAGGCATGTTCGATGACCTGTTTGCCCTAGTGGTAAGATTTGTCCCTTGTAGCCCCCATCTCCGCTGTCCGGTTGTGCATGACAGATCTATTTTTTGTTCCAACAGCCCCACGCTGACAAGTAGTGAGGGCTCGCAATCACTTAACCCCTTAAATGCCAGAAGCTTAGAATGGTCTTTAAAGGGTCGATTTAAAAACGTTAAAAAAACAAACCAAGGTTGGCAGTAATTCATTTGCTGAACCTTTTTTTTCTTACATGATATGCATTTTAGACAAGAAGAGTTTTTATGTTAATGAAGAATTAAACCATAATAGAAGGTCACTCTGTAAGCGCTGTAAACACTACTTCTCCTCAACGATTTGCTAGTATACAGTATAACACAAATACATAAACATACAGGCTAGTCTGTCATATCGGAGGCCTACCTACTAAGCAGTGCTAGAATCAGCGAAAGTGGGTTAGAAGTCAGAAAATCTAATCTCTGATATTTACTATAACATCTTCCAGTCTAACAGTTGTGCCTAGCTCACCGTTATTCATATTTTACAGGCTTTCTTTGATAAATCCTGGAGACCCCCATGTGCTCGCTTTATTTATTCCATTATTTTACCTTTTCAGCACCATAATAATCTGGGAGTACCCCACTGCTCTCCGCTGTTGCAGCAAAAGGGTTATTTTTTGTTCTGAGAAAATAAAGTATGTGTGCCCCAAATATTCTTAAAATCTTCTTATTAGATTTATTGAAATCAAAATATATTAGGTATACCTTTAGATCCAATGAATAAAGCAAAAAAAAAAAAAAAACACTGACATATATTAAACTTTATTAAAAAAAAATGCACAGGAATATTTAGGTGTTTATTTTTGTTCTGGAACACATGTCCCTTTGGGTACCTAGCACAGTCTGGCATACATACCATTACTAAGCCTCGTCTGGGTGGACACGGCGGCCAGAACAAATATTAACCCTTTCAGTGCCACAAAGGAAAGCAACACATGGCTGGTGGGACCTATGGTTTCCCACAGAGCGATTTTAATAATGCCAGAAGTTATGTTTTGCTGCTAACGCTGATCTGACAAACTACCTAGTACATCACATTTAGTACATCTGTCGTAATCCTTCCTACATCCCAGTAAATGCTTTTGAAGAACATACGAGGGTGAATGTTCAGAGCGGCCTCACTCGGTCCTGTTACACATGGTGCAGGCATATACAGAGAAACATAGAATGTGACGGCAGATAAGAACCATCTAGTCTGCCCAATTTTCTAAATACATTCATTAGTCCCTGGCCTTATCTTATAGCTAGGACAGCCTTATGCTTATCCCACGCATGCTTAAACTCCTTTACTGTGTTAACCTCTACCATTTCAGCTGGAAGGCTATTCCATGCATCCACTACCCTCTCAGTAAAGTAATACTTCCTAAGAAATGTTATACGAACGCATGTGGACTCAGGCATTTCTTCAGCGCATGCACGCATATAGCACCACAAGGGTTAATTTAATATATGTGCCATGTCCGGACAGGAAAAACCTTTATAAATAAAATGACAATAAATCGCCCAATCTGTGGCTAGCTCGCTGTCATCTTGTGCATTAATCCCACGAATGACAGTTCCACTTTGGTTTGGATGAAAGCCCCTGTTTTGTATTGTTTTTCGAGAGTTACCCTACTTCGAAGTTAGAATGTAGTTTTATTAACCAAAATGTTTGCAAAGGGTGTTATAAAAGTATTAAAAAAAAATTATAACAAAATTAATAACTAGTGTGCTGAGTTCATAAAAACTCTTATCTAACAAACCAGTTTTTTTAGTCCCTGGTTCAACTCAGAGAGCACAATGTTAATCTTTGTAAAGCGTTGGAAGGCTGATAGTTCTGTGTTATATTCTCAGAAATATACTGTATAAGCCTTTTATTAATCTGGAATCTGAGCATGGTACTTTTATTTTTTTATTAACATCTATTCTACTTCTTACAACCGGCTTCAGTAAGCAATACTGATTGAGGAGGTGAAGATTGTTAGTCACAGACATTCAATATGACAAAGTATATTGTTTAAGGGCACATTGACTAAATAGTGCAAACAAAACTATGATAGAATCGTGTACAGAAACACTATAAACCTGGCATGATAGCAAAATACAGTTATACCCAGAAACTGCAATTTCAATGAGAACTGTCTTCCTTGGCGGCTCGACTTTTAGTTCTCCTAATAAGCTAAAATAAGTGACAAATATAATGTTCTTGTTCTGCTCCGTGAGACCTTTTTCGCGGAGTCCAGTGTCAAAAAAGATCCCCATAGGAAAGCATTGACATCGATGAAGGAGGAGGAGATGTCACCAGTGCCGAGGGAGCCTGGCACATGATTAAGGAAAGCAAATAAATGGTTAAATAACCCTTTATTTGACATGGAACGGGGCACTAGTGACCTAAACGGTGACTAGGGCTCTATAGCGTTAGGAATGCATATTGGTATTCCTAACGCTAAAGTGTTCCTTTAAGCTGAACTCAAGAGGCAGCAATTGCTCAGAGCACCTACCTTGCAAAGCCTTTGAGAAGTCTGTGATTGGACAGCCACAGAAAGTCTGGGTGGGGTTAGAAGGGCAGGTCATGCAAAGGCTGAAGACAAGAGATTTGCAGCTTTTGTTAGCTGCTTTTAGATAGACCCAGAAATAAAAAAAATACATAATTAAATGCATACATATTTGCATTGGGGTATATCTACTAAACAGTGATTATCTATTTATTTATGGGTTTGGGCAGTGGAGTGTTCCTTTAATACCTGGATAGGATTAATTGCAATATTTGCCATGTTTTCCATGACGTATTGCCCTTCTTCATTTTGGTGGGCAACACATGAAAAGTGCTGTCTGCATCATTTGAATTCTACATACAAAATACAATTCTACATACAACAATTATATGTGTCCAGGGCAACATATGGCAACCAATCCTATATCTGGGAAATATGAATGCAATGTATTAAATATATTGGGGTTTATGTTCCAAACACTGAATTGTAGTGAATTTGACGGCACAATCTAGGTTAAAAAGTGCTGATTTTGGATAAATTTGAATCTCGATATAGTCACAGCTCGACTACTTTCGCCTCAAATTTGCAATTCGATTTTTCGATTCACTATTGGTTTTCAGTGAATAACGTCTCTTTGAGTAAAAACACAACCTTTTTCCACTACAGTCTCTTTATGCATCGTGACACTTTTTGAATCGTTAGCTACTGTCAATTCTATTTTGATATGCCTGCTATTCAAGCTTAAATAAAGAATGGGGGGAGAAAAATCGTTTTTGGGTTATTTATAAAACTGTGAATTGTGAAAAGAAAAAAAATGATGAGAATATTGTAAGCCAAGACATAGCTGGAAACATAACTGAAAAATTGCTTTTGACTTAAAAATTAGCAGTTCCCTTATCAATCTCTATAATTCTCAGATGAGTACATCTAATGTGTAATAGGTGTGATTGTTAGGATCATCCATCTTCATTTTCCTGTTTAAACTATTCCATTAGTTAAAGTTAGATGAAGAAAACATGCTTTCATGTTATTAGCAGAGAGATAGGAGACTGGAGATCAGTTCTTTACTAGATGGAGAACAATGTGTGCAGTATTCCCAGAAATGCACTAGAGGGCAGTGTTGTGCATAGGCAATAAACCCCTGATAATCCTATTACAAGGACAGAAAAACTGTTGTGATTCTGAAACTAAATCTGATTTAACTGAGCAAAGTAACACATTGACAATCAAATAATTGAATTTGGCACCAAACTCCCGATATCGTTCAGTTACCTAAAGTACCAGTGTGTGAAATGTTAGGCCACTCCACTGCCAAAATACAAAAAAATTATATGTATATTTTTAAAATGTCAATATTTAATCGATATACCCCTATGAAAACATAGATGCATTTAATTATGCATTTTTTTTTAATTGAAGTTATATCTAAAAACAGCTTGCAATAGCTGTGGATCTCTTGCCTATAGCCTTTGCAACCCCCTCCCATTCTAACCCCACCCAGAGTGTCTGTGGCTGTCCAATCACAGACTTCCCAATGCAGCTCAATGAGAAGTTTTTGCAAGGCAGGTGCTCTGGGCAATTGCTGCATCTTAAGTTTAGCTCCACTGAGCTACTCAAACCAGGAAGTAACAGGACCTATTGTAGGACACTCTTTGTCACAACTATCCGTCATATCTGCAGCCCGACCAATGATCCCGATACAGAGTTTGTTGCTTTTATGTCTCACAGGTAGAGGCAGGTTATTAATTTTGCCATTATGGCGACTTTTTCCACTTTGTAAACTAAAGCTTCCAGAGCAGATGGGTTGAATTTTCTTGCAAACTGCATATTTTGTTATTTTTCTTCAAAATATTTTTCAACATCAAAACAATGTCACCTTAAAATAATTATGTTACAGCTTTGAATATTTTACAATAAACTATCACATGGAACAAACGTTCCATGTATAGACTTTTTTTTATTCAAATGTATCTGTATTTTTTATCTCAGCAATGTATATATGCTAATGCCGGTCATTGATTATGAGGATGTAGTGTATGCACCCGCACCACAAATCCACCTTAATACATTTAATACATTATATAATTCATTCTGCCGCTTTGTACTAGAATGTAATTACATTTTAAAAGAGCTAAACTGGCTGTCGCTGAAATCCCAACACACTCTTCATCTTTCCAGCCTTGTGCATAAGAGCTTTTCTGGGAAGCTCCCACCCTACCTGAGTAGAATGCACTCCCCGGCGGTTCCCACCTCCTATAACCTCCGATCCAGTACTAGCACGATATTTAGCATACCGCTATACAAAAATAAAGTGGCTCGATCCTCATTTTCCTAGAGAGCACCGCAATTATGGAATAACCTCAGGGACACAGTCAAATCCTCATTCAATCTAAAATCTTTTAAGAGATCTATGGCAATATACCTCAGCACAGAATGCACCTGTTATGGTTGTATATATTTATTACCTGTTATGTATTACATTTCTATATGTGTGTATGTATAAATTTTATTTGTATATTGTATTTTTGTAATATTGTATCCTGTTGTAACAATGCAATGTTTTGTGGACCCAGGCAATACCTGAAAACGAGAGAAATCTCAATGTATCCATCCTTGGAAAATATTTTATAAATAAATATGTATATATGGTATGTCAGTTAGACCCTTGAGCTGCAGATAGTCAATTCATATCAGTTTTCTAATTATTGGTGTGTATTTGTGTAGTAATTAGTTAATTGGGGACAAGGAGATCCTGGAGCGGGTCTTGCAGAGTGATAAATGATGGTCCTGCTGTTTTCATTGCGTTGAAAGACCACCTCGCGTTTGAGTTCACACTGTGCAATAAAAAAAAAGTTGTACAATACAACTTCATTATACAGCGCAATATCCCAATCCCTATCCTCTCCCACTGTTTCAAGCAAAACTGTTGGAAGAAATAAGCATTAAGATGTCATTAAAACAGCTTGAACACAGGGTCGGAAGCTGCACAATGGCTCGCACGTTTTATTAACATAATTTGATACACTGACATTGTCTTTCCATAGCTCTGATAGCTAAACAACTCACAAGTGACATATTTATCCGGGCCCCTGTAAAGAGATTTAGGGTTGGTTTTAATACCTTACCAAAGAAACACATTTTACTCCATATGTCTCTGCTTTTAATTTTTTTTAACACATCTGAGTCACGTCTCTTTAAAATGAGCAACTTGCCAATCTACTGCCATGAATCATTGCTAGCTGTCAAAATCTGACTACAATCGCAAACAGTCACAGCAAGCCTCCTCAACTTGCACGGCATCAGCAATGCGGATTTTGTGTAAGGTCAAAATCACCTCTACTTGCCCCCTACCTTGAGTTTGCCTAAATTTGCTTTGTTGTTCTTTACATCTTTGGGTAGGTAACTGTTTGTTTTTTTTGCTTTATTTATTTTTATACATTTGCTACTGTCCAAGAGTAGTGGGAGCCCAAGTCAGGGGCTAATGTCTGTTTTTGCTTTGCAGACAGGTTAGAACCCCATCGTTTAAATATTAAGAATGAAATTATTCACCAATAGTGATGTCCCGAACAGTTCGCCGAACGGTTCGCGAACGGTTCGCCGCCACGAACGGTTCGCCACGGACTCATCATTGAGTAAACTTTGACCCTGTACCTCACAGTCAGCAGACACATTCCAGCCAATCAGCAGCAGACCCTCCCTCCCAGACCCTCCCACCTCCTGGACAGCATCCATTGTGAAGCTGCATTCTTAGTGAGCTGTCCAGGAGGTGGAGGGTCTGGGAGGGAGGGTCTGCTGCTGATTGGCTGGAATGTGTCTGCTGACTGTGAGGTACAGGGTCAAAGTTTACTCAATGATGAGTCCGTGGCGAACCGTTCGTGGCGAACCGTTCGGGACATCACTATTCACCAATCCTCTGAGGTTTTGCATTACCCAGTCTTGTTACAGTAGTTCTCTCTACAATTAATTCATTTGTAGGATTTCATAAAATAGCTGATTTCTCCTCAAAGGAGATTTGTTGCTTTATTCAATCCCCCCGCCCCTCCCCCAGAGGTAAGGAGGCTGGGGGGTTGAATAAAAAAAAGGTGATTTTGTTATTGTGTGAGTGTGTGTGTCTGTTAGCGTGTGTGTGTCTGTTAACGTGTGTGTGTCTGTTAACGTGTGTGTGTGGGTGTTAGTGAGTGTGTGTGGGTGTTAGTGAGTGTGTGTGTCTGTTAGTGTGTGAGTGTGTATGTCTGTTAGGGAGTGTGTTACTATGTGTGTGTCTGTTAGTGAGAGTATATGCGTGACTGACTTAGTGAATATGTGTGTCTGCTAGTGACTGTATGTGTCTGTTAGTGTGTATGTCTGTTAGATAGTGTATGCGTGTCTGTCAGTGAATGTGTGTGTGTGTGTGTGTATTTAGAAGGCGGGGCAGGGGTGGCGCAAGGGGGTGAAGGGGGCGCCTGAGTTTTGTCATGCCTAGTGCAGCACAAAACCAGGATACACCACTGATGTGGATATGGGGATTGTGAAGTGTGTAATGGAGATATGGGGATTGTGAAGTGTGGGAATGGCGATATCTGGATTGGGAAGTATGGGAATGGGAATGGGGATATGGGAATTGGTAAGTGTGGGAATGGAGATATGGGTATTGTGAAGTGTGGGAAGGGGAGATAAGTGCAAAGTGACAAAGCTTAGGTTAGAAGGGGGTGTGGGCAGCGGGCCCCTCATGGGATGGCGCACTGGATCCACTCCTAGTCACATGCATGCTTACCACCTATGGCTCTAGAAGAGGGGGTCTAATCTGGCATCCTGCCTAGAGACCAGGGCATCTTTCATCTGACTCTGTCTATTTTAAGGACATAGTACCAAGATTTAGTTATCTGTCCTAGAATTCTGCTGTCCTGGTAATTGTCCTTGATTTTTGTTAAAAGTTTAATCTGTCTTTGTTTCTTAATATGAGTATAACACGGAGTATTCTGTAATAATTTGAAGCAATAATTTGTGGTTCTGATTGCAGGATACTTTAAACAAACATACAAGGTGGAGTTTTATCCTTCAACATTTACTTGACCAACAAATTCAAATTCTCTGTTTCAGTATGAGATCTTTCGGTAAATGGTACTCTGGGGAAAAATCCTGGCGCGACTATAATTACGTTTAGCTCCATCTCGTCTAATTTGAGAAGGATCACGTCCACAGTCCATGCAACACCAAGATTTAGAGAGTGCCGCCCCCCTGCTGGCAGCAAGACAGTTGTTATTAGCATACTAAACTCACAAACGTCTAATACCAGAGATGACTAATTTTGGCACGGCAGACATTTTACGTTAAATGAGCATCTTGGGAAATGCAGTCCACAATTTCTTCAATCTGCATTGCCAACTTTAGCCACCGTCTATACACATTAACCCTATCAATGCCAGTCTATCGCTGTGATACCACACACATTATCCCTATCAATGCCAGTCTATCACTGAGTTACCACACACATTAACCCTATCAATGCCAGTCTATCGCTGTGATACCACACACATTAACCCTATCAATGCCAGTCTATCGCTGTGATACCACACACATTAACCCTATCAATGCCAGTCTATCGCTGAGTTACCACACACATTAACCCTATCAATGCCAGTCTATCGCTGTGATACCACACACATTAACCCAGTCAATACCAGTCTATCGCTGTGATACCACACACATTAACCCTATCAATGCCAGTCTATCGCTGAGTTACCACACACATTAACCCTATCAATGCCAGTCTATCGCTGTGATACCACACACATTAACCCTATCAATGCCAGTCTATCGCTGAGTTACCAAACACATTAACCCTATCAATGCCAGTCTATCGCTGTGATACCACACACATTATCCCTATCAATGCCAGTCTATCGCTGAGTTACCACACACATTAACCCTATCAATGCCAGTCTATCGCTGCTGTTACCACACACATTAACCCTATCAATGCCAGTCTATCGCTGTGATACCACACACATTAACCCTATCAATGCCAGTCTATCGCTGAGTTACCACACACATTAACCCTATCAATGCCAGTCTATCGCTGAGTTACCACACACATTAACCCTATCAATGCCAGTCTATCACTGTGATACCACACACATTAACCCTATCAATGCCAGTCTATCGCTGAGTTACCAAACACATTAACCCTATCAATGCCAGTCTATCGCTGTGATACCACACACATTACCCTATCAATGCCAGTCTATCGCTGAGTTACCACACACATTAACCCTATCAATGCCAGTCTATCACTGTGATACCACACACATTAACCCTATCAATGCCAGTCTATCGCTGAGTTACCACACACATTAACCCTATCAATGCCAGTCTATCGCTGTGATACCACACACATTATCCCTATCAATGCCAGTCTATCGCTGAGTTACCACACACATTAACCCTATCAATACCAGTCTATCGCTGTGATACCACACACATTAACCCTATCAATGCCAGTCTATCGCTGAATTACCACACACATTAACCCTATCAATGCCAGTCTATCGCTGAGTTACCAAACACATTAACCCTATCAATACCAGTCTATCGCTGTGATACCACACACATTATCCCTATTAATGCCAGTCTATCGCTGAGTTACCACACACATTAACCCTATCAATGCCAGTCTATCGCTGTGATACCACACACATTAACCCTATCAATGCCAATCTATCGCTGACTTACCACAAACATTAACCCTATCAATGCCAATCTATTGCTGAGTTACCACACACATTAACCCTATCAATGTCAGTCTTTCGCAGTGATACCACACACATTAACCCTATCAATGCCAGTCTATCGCTGAGTTACCACACACAGTAACCCTATCAATGCCAGTCTATCGCTGTGATACCACACACATTAACCCTATCAATGCCAATCTATCGCTGACTTACCACAAACATTAACCCTATCAATGCCAATCTATTGCTGAGTTACCACAAACATTAACCCTATCAATGCCAATCTATTGCTGAGTTACCACACACATTAACCCTATCAATGCCAATCTATTGCTGAGTTACCACACACATTAACCCTATCAATGCCAGTTTATCGCTGAGTTACCACATCAGGCACTCAATAACTGTTATATTTAATGGTAATTAAATTACTGAATGTTATAAAAAATAAATAAATGTAGTAATACTACTTGATACTCGTTCATACATATGTATGTATATTATTTCTTCTAGTGTATTAGGCTTGCCCCGTATCATATACATACATACATATAAATATATAGCACAATGAGTGATTTATTCTTGCTTCGCTTTTACAAAGTCAGTTCTGACAGCACCATTCATGTTAAAATGATCAGCAGCTGGTGTTATTTGCTGGACAATCGGTGTGTTTGGTGGAAACACCCTGCTCTTGATAGTCTGTGTCTCGTTGTCTCCTCTTACGTAGGGTTATACAATATATAATTAGAGCACCATAGTGTGTGTTCAAGCATTACAAAGTCAATGCTATTGATACACTATTCTTGTAAGCAATTCAAATAACCCTGTTAGGTCATCCCGTGTTCCATGGACACTCAGAAATAGAAAAGAGCTTGTAACACGTATTATTATCTGTTCATGTCACTCAAGATCAAATAATACCTCCGTGTGAAATGTATGTAAAAAAAATGTACAAAAAACTGAATGTGAACTGAACAGCACATAGCATAATCCTTAGTGCTATACCATCATAGTGGTTGACATATGGAGTTTATTGCCATGCTAACCTGTTCTTGGGCTCCCTCTCGCCACTTGTGGACGTCTGTTTATACGCGTTCGTGCCCACGTCCTTAAGGCGTTCACCAGAGCACCTATTCGGTGCACACGAACAAATTCGCGAATGACGCAAAATCAGCAATCAGCTGTTCTCACGTCTTCTGGCGCTCCTCTTTGACATTGCGCAATCTAAATAAAGCCACAGGTATTTAGAACCCGCCCTTTCTCGTCCCAATCGCCCAATGGTGCATTTCTGACATTTCTGATCTTCTGTTAATGACCTTGTTTACCGTTTATTCCCAATATGTGGCTTGTCTAATGTTTACTCTAATTTCTCCTACCCTTGACCTTGGCTATCTTTCTGACCATTTATACATTAAATGTCCGGTAATACGATATTTGTAGATTAGGGTCTGTGTGTTTGGGTTCTCTTACACATGATATGACGTATATTTAAGGCTGTGTGTAAGAAACCTCCATTGGCGAAGCAGCATTACACTATGTTACAGCGTCAGTTAAATTCTCGCAGTCAACTTCGTCAGGGATGAAGTGATAATCAGGGATATCTTTTAATCAGTACGTTTGCTAGTGATTTCACAAGCATAACATATTTGTTTGCCTGCGAGTTACCTTGTCTTTTTGCATGTTTTATAATGCCCTAAAACTTGGACTACCTGACAAATTGCATGTTAGTGAGCAACCCTGTAATATACGTATGCTGTAGAAACATGTCAAAAGTTTAACCAGTACAAAAATGTACTGTATGAGGGGAAAGACCTGCAAATATGATCCTTCCATCTTATTTTTCTTATTTGCGTTAACTCCCAAAAGTCCGAATAATTCATGTAATTGCACGAATAAGCAAAAATAGTAAATAAAATGCAGATAGAAAATATCGCTCACAGTAGAGTGATAAAAGGACACTGTTAGTATATTCCTATTGTAGGTTCATTCCAAGAGTGATATTTTGTGAATATATTAGCAAATCTCGTTATTTTATTCTGAATAACTACTTCTCACAGTAAATGTAAAACTCTATTGCAGGTAAGCTATAAATTTACAATCCCAATAATTGTTGAAATCGTGAAATAAAGAGAATCTGATAAGTGCACTTTGAAAATAATTTCCAATGTGAATGAGTCAGATAATGGCTTCCCCTGGACTACTGACAAAGGAATATATTGCTCTTGGTATCTTAATGAAATACAGTCCAGCTTATAGTAATGACGGTGGTGAAATTAGACTACTAAAGTCACCAACACCACTTTATCCCAATAAAATGGTCTGTGTGCAGTGCACTCCTGTCCTTTTAACCCTACAATGTAAAACATTGCAGTTTTTCAGGGTTACAACCACCTCCAACAGTTGTTTTCCAGACAGCCACTAGAGGCACTTCTACTGCAACAACATAATTAAACTAGTTTATGTGATCATGATTTCAAAGGAAAGCAGTAGAATTGGGTGCGCGTGGACTGTGGGGAGACCTGCATATTATTATGGACAGGGACACATGTATTCCATTTCCTATAATGTTCCTTTAATATCTGTAAAGCCATGGAAAGACTTATATAATAATATTGAATTTTGCAGATAAAAAAGATGAATAAAAATTATTTTCCTGCAAGTAACATCTTTAAAAAAATCAATAGAACCAACATGGGCTTGAGAAAGGCAGCAGTGTCTCCAAAACATTGGGGTAGAGAGTTGGTGCATGCTTTTTGTTTCTCGATATTGCCATATCGTATTAATATAATTTAATTTATTTTGCATTGAATCTTGATATCTTTTGGGATATTTTGTGATGTATTGTGTTTAGTATTTTTTGGGCGTATAAATTGTTGGTATGATTTAATGGAGAAATATTTTATAGTTTTTGTTTGCCGTTCTCTTTTTAGTAACGTTGATCTTTTTACCGATTAACTAATCTAATTGCTGTAACTGTAATTTACATTACAATGTAAATGAGCAGAATTATGGCGAGAGACATTGAATAAACCATTATGTAAAACAAGCAGTAGGCGACTGTGGCAGTTTTCGTGGTACAGATTCAAAATAGAAACCAAAATATTAATCTCTGAGTAGATAATTTAGGAAATCTGTTTTTGGTGTCTGTATTTATATTTTCTGCTATTCTTTCCACAAGCATTGCATCAATTTAAGTTAAGCTCTTAATAACGAGAGCATTAAGAGAACTAAACTTAAAATATTTAGGTTTTTGAGGCAATATTTCAAATGCTGACTGGTTGATAATAATGGGGCATTGGCGATGGGATTTATCGTGATGCAAGGCACACTCCACTGCCCAAATATAAAAATATTTTTTGAATCACAATTTAGTAGATATACTCCCAATGAAAACATGCACGGGATATCTTTTCTGCAGCCTTTGCAAGCCCTCCCCTTCTAAACATGCACACGATATATTGTCTGCAGACTTTGCAAGCCCTCCCCTTCTAACCCAGCTCAGACTTTCGGTGGCTGTCCAATCATGGAATTCTTAACTCAATTTGAAGACTCTGCAAGGCAGGTGCCCTGTGCAATTGCTGCCTCTTGAGTTTAGCTTCTCTGAGCTAAACAACCAGGAAGTAATGGGACTGGTTCTCTAACAGCCTGGGGGATTGTAACAAGGGTAATTTATAAAAAGGCCAATTTCTACTGAAATCTGCAGTTTTTGCAAAATGAAAAAAAAAATAAGGACATGCTCTTCACACATTAAGGACTTCAGCAAGATAAGCTGCTTCAGGTGTTTGTAGTGGTCCTTAAAGTGTGTGTAGGATAAAATAAGCTTGCTAGAAGCCTTGTTTTTGGCACGGCTTAGTTTCTTTGTTGTAGCTGCTTATGTTAGTGACACAATGGATGTCTCCCCCCTCATCGGTGATTGTGTAAAGCTGCTATTGTCAGCACGGAGTCCCGTCATTACAACTGAAATAAAATAGCCATGCGTGGAACCTTCGTATCTGCATTATCTTAACACCCCCTGTGACCATATGTTTCTTATTCCAACAATCCAACAGAGTTACAGGCTTGGCATAACTGGATCATTAAACTGCCATATGGTTTTAAAAGGTACAGTGAAAAACACAGTGTGTAATGTCAGATAACATTCTTTTTCCAGGTCCCGTAGGTTCTTATGAGGAACATTTTTCTCATGAGGAACATATAAATGTAGAAACACAATGACCATCTAGTATGTCCATTATGAGATCTCACATTGGTTTTACGTATTTAGACCTTGATTTAAAGGGACACTGTAGGCAACCAGACCACTTCAGCCAATTGAAGTGGTCTGGGTGCAAACTCCCTTCACCATTAACCCTGCAGTGGTAATTATTGCAGTTTTTTATAGCCACTAGAGGGACTTCAGGATTCTTAAACTACTTTTAGTCGTCTAAAATACGCTGGACGTCCTCATGCTATGCATGAGGACTTCCAGCGTCGCTGGAATCCCCATAGGAAAGCATTGAATAAAGCCTATGGGGAGATCCTAATGCGAGCGTGGCCATTGCCGTTCATGCGGGTTAGGTCTCTGCCATACGTGTTGGCGGGGAGAGTAGCATGGGCGGAACTGAGCCAGTGCTGAGGAACATCAGCGCTGGACCCAGGTAAGTGACTGAAGGGGTTATTAACCCTTTCAGTGCCGCGGGATGGGGCCTTGACAGAAGGGGAAGCTACGAGTTGGTTTTCCTGGCACTATAGTTTCCCTTTAATATTTTTGGCTAAACCTTTAAAATTATTTAATACTTTAAAAAAAATTATGATATATTTATTTTATATTATATACTTTTTAATGTGTATATATATATATTTTTACATTTGTGTTTTATTGGAGTTTCCAATCCCAAAAAGCATCTGCTTCCAGATATAGTGGTACAATAACAAGTATGTAACATATACAACTTCAACATACATCAATACATCAATACATAGGTAGGCAGTGACATGTGTATATCGGTTTATGGCTGGGGCTTTGCATTGTAGCCTCTAGGGCTTTGCTCAGTAGTGCGCATATGAGAGTAGGAGCAACAAGTGACTCTATAGAACAGTGCACTAAAGAATATAACTGGGAATGTGTGAGAACTAATTGTTTATTAATCATCACAGATTGTTATGTGTGGTCTCATCAAGAGACACTCTCGTTGGGTGTGGTGAGTAATGTCCCAGTAACTGTCTAAGCTGGACTGCACACAAATAGTGTATAACATGTGAGGATATTTAAGGGGTGATAAATGTTAAAAATAATATTTTCATAAAAAATATCAAAAGTTAATTTAATATTTTTTATTATATCAAATTATTCCCCAAATAATAAAGCTGAGAGTTACTCATGATTTTAATTCTCTTAGATCCTAGAGGAAGCTCATTAGAGGATTTTTAGTTCACACAGTAAATTACAAATTAATTATAAAAATATAATTTATTGTGACAATAATAATAAAATTATAATAATATGTAACATGCGTTACAATCAGTGAATAATTAGTATAACACAGGCATACAATATGGCAATGGTTTAAACACAATAGGGCACTGTTAAGAAATTACTTAAAACCAAATTCACAAAGAAGACAGAACTCCATAGAACACACAGCACAGCCTAAAGCAATAAAACTTTGGCTAACCGTCAGATCACACTGATTAACTCTTCCACTGCTGGCTACAATCCTCATAGGCAAGATATCCTATTATATTGCAACTTTACAATTAAAGAAATGTTCATACCAGATCAATTGACCATTCCTAGGACCATCCAATATGAATAATTCTACCAGATTTTACATTTGCCGAATTTTAACTTTCCTAAATAAGATTCACTGTCTTATATCAGAACAAGTCAATATTTCGGGGTAAAATGTGGCATGCTAACCTTTTGGTAAATTTTACCATTAATATATCGTTATCTTTATTCCACCTGCAGGAATGGAATTATTATAACCATTTATTCCTTAGCTAACTAAGATTTCTAATGATTGAACTCTGACCAATATTTATCCAAATATATATTCCTGCTATAGTAAAATTAATTAATTTAATTTAATTAAATAAAATCAGCATAATTACCAGTTGGGTTGTAGATTTTCTCTCAGATGTGTAGATTGGCCCCAGGAATTTGTATGCAAGTATGATGAGGATTGTATGGAATAGAAAAAGTTTTCAGAGTTCTGGAGTTGTGTTAATTTGGAAAAGTAATAGTAAAATTAAGTGTCCAGGAGAGTGTTGTTTCTTGAGTACAGTCCAAGTGTTTCAAAGAGAGTTTGAATGTGGTTCAAAGAGTGTGAATGTTGGTAACCTTGAATATTGAATTTACCTTTGTACTTACTTTTTAAAGGGCCAAACTCTCCGCACGTCACTAATTGATTTAACCAATAGGGAACTGTAGGTGTGTCTTCCCTACAGACTATCATCTAGATTTTGGTCAGTAGATGGCGCAATTATTTCACCAAAATTTCTTGTCAGGGGGTCCATTTGCCTTTTTGCATAATGGGTTAACTGAAATTGGTGATGCGTTTTACGTCATTTTCAGCTATCTTTATGTCTGCTATCAATAACAGGACACGTCACTTCAAAGCATTGGTTCACTCTTGTGCCAGACTTCGTGTCTGCAATTTCAATCGTAATTTTAGAATTGACACCTCCTAACCGTAATTTCACCCTTTTTCTTACAATGGGACTTTGAAAGATTTCATTATTTTTATATATATATATATATATATATATATATATATATATATATATATATATATATATATATATATATATATATATACATTTATATATATATATATTTTTTTTTTTAGAAAGTAAAATTAATTACTTGTTATCTGTCATTGGTGTCTGGTTTTCTTGTGTGAAGCTGTGTTTGAAAATGTTTCTATTCCACTAACATTATTAAATAATATGATATTTCTTCATTGATATTTATCCATGAATAGTCTATATTATTAACATAATACTAATTATATATGATAATATAATAATAATAATTATAAGTGGATGGTGTGTATATATATATATATATATATATATATATATAATTATGTATACATTTGTCTCTGGGTTAGTATTCCATCCCCCCATTTTTGCTGTTAGACATCATGCCTTATCACTTGTCTTGTTTACATAACGCATTCCTTAGCTCAGACTTGGATGAATAGAGTGATAGAAATAATTATTGTGTCTGTCTTAGCCTTGTAATACAAAAATGGAGTCACCTCTGTTCTGAAAGTGACTGGCAGTATACACTTCTCATTTCTGTCTTAACACAAAATGTCTGCCAATATAAATATACTGACAAACAGAAAACTATGAAATGAAAGTGGCAAGTAAATCATAAGTAATGCAAAAAAGAAAGAATGAGAACTCTGAGAATGGACAAAAGAGAACTCTAAAAACGAGTAAACTCAGTAGCTTGCCCTTCGGTACATCCCCGCTCAGGTCTCAAAATAGTTTTTGCCAATTACAGAGAGAACATATCTGAAGCATATCAGACTGGTCCCACCCATACGGGCAGCCAAGATCCAAAATGCCAGCAAGTTCTCTCTGCACGAGAGATACAGCAACCTCAGACGATCGTTTCGGCCTTCATTTGGGCCTTGTCAGTGAGGTGTAGCGGATATCCCTCTAGGCACAGTGAGCACGGGTTCCACGTCTGGATTACCTTTTTAACTTGGGGTGAGCCAAGTTAATGTACTAAAGCAAAGAAGAAAGAATGAGTAAATAATCATTCTGCAGTTGGGGACTGGGTTGTGATCAATATGAGTATAGGTCATTAGTATGGTGTGTTTCAGGTCAGGGCTCCCTGTGCCCGTGTTACAGTCGATTGGGCATTGGGTAGGTGCAGTCTCTGCAAAAAGGCAGTAGAGTCCTCTTTTGAAGTCAGGGTGATTGCTGTAGCTCCATGCGTCACGATCAGGGAACCATCTGCTCCCCAGAAGTATCTGACCGCGGCGTTCTACATCTGTGTGGCTATCGGGGCTAGTTGTCTTCATTCCAGTAGTGCGGCAAATAGGAGATCTCCATAGATCGCCACTGTGTAGCCCTCGAAGCATATATTGCCAAGCTCCCTGGATTGGCTCATGATGGCGGTACGGGTTGCGACATCAGTTGTCACTACTATGGCATCTCTGGGTGCTCCTTGCGTACTCTAACAGCTGACTTTAGCATTGTGCGGTCTGCATCTCCGTTTATGCTCATAGAGGCCAGTAGCCTCTGGCCGAAGGGTAGCAGTGCGTCCTCTCCAATCTCCTCTGGGATGCCTCTCAGGCACATATTGCGTCTCCTGTGTCTGACTTCTAATGATGTGACAAAGAAACATTAAGAGTAACAGGATAAAGAGGGAAAAGGAACAATAAAGACAGAGGGAGAAAGCAGAACCTATAAACGGGATTACAGGTAAGTGTAATGGTAAAAGGAAAATCAGGTGAAATAATAGGTTAGGAGGAAGAAGGAGAACCTACAAACGGGATTATAGGTTAAAAAAAGGAGGAGTGGTTATAGAAATAACGAGTAAAGCAAAATGTCACTCCTTACAATTCCAAACTTGCCCTAATTCCGCATATGTCCTGTAAATTTTCTTGTAATTGTCCTATTTATAGTTCAATCCCCCCTCTCACAATATTTAAATCGTTACAGAATCTGTTGGCACTATATAAATGGCACACATAATTTAAGACACACAATTTAACATAATTACTATTAAAAAAAGGACATATCGACCCTTGTTTATTTGATGATATTGATGCGCTCAGTTGTCCTAATTCATAATAAAGGACAATAAACAGAGAATGTCAATCATTTTTAGCAGTGTTTTACAATATTTAAAAAGTGAGGTCCAAACCTAGATCTGTATCAGCCTCGTTTAGTGTTTTATATAACGGTAAGGAAACTTTGTATCCAGTTTTATACCAACAACGGGGGCCAGATCTGAAACTGGTTTATGAAATTTTAATTAAAATCTTTATTTAAACTTTAATGCACTGAAAAATGTCTGGAATTTGTCAAAAAGAGATTAACTCAATCCTTCAAGGCTGATGGGTACAAAGTGTGAAATCGGGATCCAGTCGCACAGTAGGACGACCTACTAATGTTTTCAATTAACTGCCACAGACAGTATTTGTTCACGTTCTGACCTGATTTCAGGGTTTGTCTGTCTCCCTGCAACACACAGGGACATTTCACACTCATTATTTCAATGTTCTTTAATAAAGAAATGTGCTGTTGATGACAGTGCCTCTTTTCTTTATTCCAGTAGATCCTTTGACATGTCACTCGCAAGGGGAGTGAGGACGAGGTAGGTAGAAAGCAAACTTACATCTGCTTCACTTGCTCCTTTCCGGTGACAGTTTCCTGAGATACTCTGCAAATGTGCAGATTCAATAAATATAACTGAAGCTTATTCTAAATCTGTGCAGACTGTTGTGAGTACATCCACCTGCTTTCACAGTTCCTATCAGTGGAGCTGGTCCATGAAGACAAGTCAGGTGGTCCCCCCAGTTCATGTTGCAAAAAACAAAAAAAAATTGATTGGCATTGTAAAGACTACTGGTAAGTGTGTGTTACAAAACATTAAATTCATTTTTCAATTATCCACAGTTGTTAGTTTATGGAATAAACTGTGAATAGTTGTAGTATTTGCTGAATAGACTTACATGAATGATTTACCCAACCCTACTTTTTCTAACATAAGCTAGGCACATACTGCCAATATAGTTAATCGGAAACATGAAAAGGACATTTCAAATTTACTGTACGTGTAAAAATAAAGTTGCCTGTGTGCATTTATCATATGACAATAAATAGTTGTTTTCATTAAAATATTTAGCCCTCTACGAAGAACATAAGTTAGCAGATCATTGTTAAATTATTTCAATACTCGTTGATTCCCAACCCCCTATCCTCCCTGTAGTGCTGAAAAGGTTACATTTTCTAAATCGGAACATAGAGTAATTCATTTGTCTTCCAGTCATGATAATTCTTCATCATGCTTCATTTACCGGCTATTCACTCTAATCGTGCATTTGTGTGAGCTCCGTGCTGTAGGATATAGGAGAAGCTCTCAGAGGGTAAATTGGCGAATATGACACAGAGCGCAGTATTTCCTGCAAGTGGAATCAAACTCCAAATGCGCAGTAATGTGTGCGGAAGGCAAGGTCATCGGTGCCCTCGCAGATTACAACGTTCTAGGCAAATTTGCAAATCTTTCTATTTGTCTTTAGGCCTCATGTCAGTTTTAATAGCAGAAATAATCCTCACATGGAAATAAATGAAGTGTAATTCATAGAGTTTAGAGAACTGTGTCTATAGCAATCGATCCACATTATTTAACATCACAGGCCGCAGGTCCTTATACGTATAGAAAATGGATGGAAAAGTTGAGATCTTGTCAATTCTCGCTTTCCCTGCACCATGTCCAGTATAATACGTTTTTTAAAAGATTGCTTATCATTTTATCATTACATGAAAAGGACATCTTCAAATTTACTGTACGGAACTACATGAATACTGCTAAGCGACATTTAATAAATATTACTTGTGATCTGATCAACATTGACAGGACCTAATGAGGATTGCAAACCAACAAACCCTAAACAAACCTTTTATCTAACAAACAGATTAGCAACTACTTTCAATAAAAGACATTCGATTATGAGGAAATTTAATGTAGAAAAATGCAATGTTATACACTTCGGGGTAAAGAATGCACAGGCATCTTATACCCTAAATGGTAGTGAATTAGGGATAACAAAACACGAGAAGGATTTGGGAATTGTTATAGGCAACAAACTAGGCAACAATGTGCAAAGTCAATCAGCAATGGCTAAGTCCAGTAAGGTATTGTCATGCATAAAAAAGGGCATTCATTCTCGGGATGAAAATATAATTTTGCCTCTTTATAACTGGTAAGACCACATCTTGAATATGATGTGCAATTTTGGACACCTGTTCTAAAGAAAGAAATTATGACACTGGAAAGAGTGCAGATGCAGGCTACAAAATTAATAAAAGGAATGGAACATTCTAGCTATAAAGAAACGTTAACAAATTTAAACCTCTTTGGTTTAGAAAAATGTTGCCTTAGTGGGAATATGATAACATTATACAAATATATTCGGGGCCAATACAAACCATTGTGTTGAAATCTATTCACAAACCGGACTTTACATAGGACATGAGGTCATGCGTTTAGACTGGAAGAAAGAAGATTTAGTCTAAGGGAAAGGAAAGGTTTTTTTTTTTTTTACCGTAAGAACAATAAGGATATGGAATTCTCTGCCTTGGAAGTGCTTCAAACTTTTTTTTTTTGCCTTCTTTTGGATCAACAGCAAAAAACAAATGTGTGGAAGGCTGTACTTGATGGACACATGTCTCTTTTCAGCCTATGTAACTATGCTAAAGTTGTTTTGGTGCTAACAGTGTCCCGTAAAGCTGAAGTATATGCACATATTACATGATGATAAGTTTCAGATAAGTTTTAAGGCTGGGGCATAGTAAGATTGGAAGTAGGATTTTGTCACGCTGCAATAGCCATTCATCACAAACATAAGGGTCAATCACCCAAAAACCTGCACTACTCCAGTTGTCAGTAACCCTTACCCAACATACCATTGATAATGCTGTCAGATTACAATTATAGCTGTTACCAACTATCAGAGCCAACTTCCACCAGAACTGGTCAAACTGAAGCAATGCATGTTTTTTTGGGGGTATATCTACTAAATAGTGATTTCTTTTAAACTATCTCCGGTGGAATGTTCATTTAAGTACAAACAACACAAGTTCAGCTATCTTGGGTTCAATTTTGCAATTCCCTGGTCAATTCAATCCAGGTCATGAGCACCTTGTAGACATTATACTCTGTGAGGACAACCTTGATTGGTCTCTCTTTCTGGGCTGTAGTCCAAGTGTGGCCAATAGATGAATCTAATACATCGTCGTGTTCCTTACCCATACATAATAGCGCTACCTATTTTGTTACATTGTTACATGGGCTGAAAAGAGACATGCATCTCTCAAGTTAAACCTTTCTCACATCTGCTTTTGCTGTTGATTGAAAAGACTAGCAACAAACTAGGCAAAAATTACCTCACTGGTAATATATCTTAAAATACTACCTTGGAGGTCCTTTTTTCAGTTTACCTCCTAATTCCCTGAAAGCATTCTTTAGGATCCTCCATTTTCCACTGACTTTGTTATTGGTACCAATATGGACCATGACAGCCGAGTCATCCCCAGCTCCAATCAATAATCCATCCACTCTGTCAGTAACATGCTGGACCCGAGCACCCAGGAGACAGCAAACTGTTAAGACGATCAGAGTGGAAGGTTGCCCTATCTACTCTCTTAATAATACAGGTGCCCCACCACCACCACCACCACCACAAATTGTCTAGCCTTCCTAACATTCTCAGCACCACCCGTACTCGAGGGGCTGTTCCCTCGACTGTTATAAGGAGCAGCTTCCTCTAGTAAGGCTATTCCTGAGCTGATACTCCCAACATCTTCACTCAAACGGGCAAATCTTTAAAGGGACACTATAGTCACCAGAACTGCAGCTTATTTCATTTGTTCTGGTGAGTAGAATCATTACCTTCAGGCTTTTTGCTGTAAACACTGTCTTTTCAGAGAAAATGCATTGTTTACATTACAGCCTAGTGATAAATTCACTGGCCACTCTTGAGATGGCTGTTAAAGATCCTTCCTGTGTCATGGCTGCCTAAAATGCATCCAAACATTCAGTATCTCCTCCCTCTGCATGCAGACACTGAACTTTCCTTATAGAGATTAATTGATTCAATTCATCTCTATGAGGAGATGCTGATTGGCCAGGGCTGTGTTTGAATCATGCTGGCTCTGCCCCTGATCTGCCTCCTTGTCAGTCTCAGCCAATCCTATGGAGAAGCATTGTGGTTGGATCAGGCCACCACTTCTGATGATGTCAGCAGACAGGTTTTGACTATTGACTATGTCTATTCTGAGTCAAACAGCATGCAGAGCTACAGCTTCAGGCTTGAATAAAAGTAAGATTTTGCTATTTTTAGGGAAGGGCCCAGGGGGGCTAGATGGTGGTTTTAACACTATAGGGTCAGAATACAAGTTTGTGTTCCTGATCCTATAGTGATCCTTTAAGGCTGCACAAAGTCAGGATTAGCTAAACCTTTCTTCTTCCCACCAAACCTGCTACCACATGATACTGTTACCCAGCTATGAGCCTGTTCCCCAGCTGTCTTATTTCCTCTCGCTCCACTAGAGGTCCACACTAAACTCTGCACAGTGAGCAGCAGATCACTTTCAAGACTATCAATCTGTCTCAATGTTGTAATTTGCTTCTCCAGATCTCCAATCCGAGCTTCCAGAGAAGCTACTTGCTCACACCTGCCACAGATTTATGGACCTTGGACGGATTTAACCAGGCATGTGTCTCAATAAAGAAGTTTATCAGCAGTTAGAAAAGGCATCACGTGTGTTTACTTTTTGCACAGCTAACTTTAACCCCTTAAGGACACATGACATGTGTGACATGTCATGATTCCCTTTTATTCCAGAAGTTTGGTTCTTAAGGGGTTAAACATCCCTAGTTTTGAAATCTAATTACAATGATCTGTTTTTGGAGGTGTATGGCTATTTATAGACAGTATATGATAATATTTCAGAACTTTAAACATGGCAAGTTGACAGCGTACTCTGGAGGTATGCATATTCTATTAGATACAAACTTAATACACTTTTTTAAAATTTGAAATCCATTATGCATTATTTTATTGTCATGTTTATTCATAGATTTCATATTTGAAATTTAAAGCTGAAATATAGTGTCGAAATGTAACAGATGAAACTTCTGTCATATCATTCACAACTTAATCATCTAGAGACCTCGCAACACGATACACCGCAAAATCCATGATAAATCATGCTCTTTATTAAGTCAATGATAAAGAATTCATTGGTCACTTGTATCAAGACTTACCAAAATTAAAGGTATCCATTTGACCTTTGAAGCAAAAATTTAAATAATTGTAAATATTATGGCAAGTTCTTGGTTTTGATTTTAGGAATAAAGTCCAGTTTGGATGTAATCTATTTATTTTAAACAACAATTTAAGAATCACAGACAAAAAGACAACTGGAATTTTTGTGGGACAGACATAGGGGGCTCACAGGAGGAAGACGGTGGTTTTTAGAACATGTGACAAACACGGTTCCACTTACATAAACGTCTAACAGTACATTTAATGCTTCACAACAATGTGAGTTCCTCATGGATTATTTCATAGGTAAAAAAAATCTCAGGACTGCCAAGATTAACCTCTTCACCACCGAGCACTTTTAATTAGAAACATAGAATGTGACGGCAGATAAGAACCATTCGGCCTATCTAGTCTGCCCAATTGAAAAAAATATTAGCATAACCCGAGTCATAACTACAAACCACTGGGACCTGGTGCAAAAATTTCCTGGGCCCCCTCCATGTGTCTCATTTCCCCCCAGGTCCCCCAGGTATCTCATTCACTTGCCCGCAGTCCCTCCATGTGTCCCCTCACAGGCCCCCATGTATCTCATTCCCTCCTCCCAAGCCCCTCCATGTGTCTTATTAAAGGAGTAGACTATATTTAAAAGAAGAAACTACCACAACAAGAAGACATAGTCTTAAATTAGAGGGGCAAAGGTTTAAAAATAATATCAGGAAGTATTACTTTACTGAGAGGGTAGTGGATGCATGGAAAAGCCTTCCAGCTGAAGTGGTAGAGGTTAACGCAGTAAAGGAGTTTAAGCATGCGTGGGATAGGCATAAGGCTATCCTAACTATAAGATAAGACCAGGGACTAATGAAAGTATTTACAAAATTGGCAGACTAGATGGGCCGAATGGTTCTTATCTGCCGTTACATTCTCTGTTTCTATGTTTATTCCCTCCTCCCAAAGACCTTCCACGTCTCTCATTCCCTCTGCCTCAAAAGCCGAGTTTTATTTCCTTTTCCCCAGTCCCTCCATGTATCTCATTTCATCCTCCCCCTCTTCTCCATGTGCCCCATTTCTCTCTCTCTCCCCGCTCTTTGTGTCCCATTCCTCCCTCTCTTCCCCCTCCCCTCCATTTGTTCCATTCCTCCCTCTCTCCCCAAACCCTTCCTGTACCTGGTTACCGCTGCAATTCCAGTCAGAATGCTCAACCACTCTACACGCAGGCAGGAGGAGAGTAGCACAGCTCTCCCCTCCTGCCAGACACCCAGGAACCGTGGGCCTTGGACGGTGCGGCTGTGCACCGGCCTAGAAGGTATGCCGGGTCCCTTGGCTTGATAGGCCGGTCACAGCGACGACCCTGCCCTGTGACCATGGTAGGTACTCCATTGAGCATAACATTTGTTTGAAGCAAGGGATGCACGGATAGCATACAAAGATTTCATATCTGCATTTTTATGTATAGATTGCTTTTCAGAGAAACGTAAAAATTAAATGTAAATTTACACAATTTTTATTTTTCACTTATTTAGTCGTTTTTATAAAAAACAAATTAGGAAGTTTAATGCTTTAGATAGTATAAAAATGCAATATTTTTCACATAAAAGAGGTCTGACAAAAATAGATAAATAAAAATGTTTAAATACCTTGTTTAAGTATTTTCAAGGACCCTTAAGGCATTACTAGCAGCGTAGCATACTGAAAATTGCAACAGGATGTAAAAACATTGTCTGCATTTGAGCATTGTGCCCACATACAATAAATACAGCTGAATCAAATATTTCTAAAATAAAGGTGTTTTAAGCTTCTATTGTAGTCTTTTACAATCTCTCAACTGCTAATGTAATGCTGACAGTAAGATGGTAAAAAAAAAAGTTTTGACTGTAGTAATGATATGACCCATTGAAACATCCTGTACTTTTCAGAAGCAGAGGATGAGCTGACATTTAAAGTAACTTGCTGGCAGAGAAATGCATTCCTCTAAAGGCTGTTAAACATAACTAGAGTAAACATGAGGGTGAGAGAGCCTTTATGGACGAGATTTCATGTCTCAAAATACATGAGAATAAAGACATTTATGCTTGATTTTGGTAGCGAATGGCTTAACCATCACTCACTGCTTAGGGCATCAAATGACAATTATACCAACACTTTACCAAACATTCTAAACTCGGTATAGGGTTCATTTTCCATATGACTTTACTAGCCCTCCACTCCTGGAAGTGATGTACGTTTTCTGGATAAGAACACATAAAAACCATTTCCCAGATCCATTAGCATTCTGAGCGCACAGCACAGAACAAAATATATGATAATTTAATATCAGACTCTAAGATTACTTAATTAAAACATGCAAGTTTTGACTCAAGCTGATGAATGGAAAATACACGGTAATCACTTGTGACAGGTACAGCAAATCTTGCTCTTCTTCAAAGACATTACCTGTCCATTTATAAAGCTCTCGTGCAAAGCGAGGTGCTCTGAATTAAGTGATATGTCAAGGTGAGCACTTTACAGAGCGCGAATAGATATAGTATTTTTATGTAAGTGAAGCCAACTGTCTCATAAAGGCAAAGTGTTAACAGAAAAAAAGAGGGTAAAGGACAAAAATATATCCAATAACTGCTGCAGAGTTTCAATACAACATCTTATTTTTTATTTAATATCGCAAAGAAAAACAACAGGCAATTAGTAGTATATTCAAGTTTATGTTTCCATCCAACCCTAGTTATAAAATGTAACATTTTGTTTTAGAACAGGTGAATTGCAAAAAAAGACGGTTAAGATAGTGGTGTGAGCCACATTTCCCAAAATGCTTTAGTGTGGATCATCATTGAGGGAAATTAAATCCACAAGTATGGTTATCCATCAATGGTCTATCAATATCAGCAATTTCTAAACTATTCCTCATTCAACCTTTGAGGCCTATGTTTTATCAATAGTCTCCCTGGAACAGACTTGGGGAAAGGTGTGGAAGATGTTAGTCTAGGCCAAGAGATGGTCAAAAGGTAGATCCCTTGCAGAACTTCTATTAAGTTTCTTCTGCTTTAAAGGGAACTGTATGGGAACCATAACAACTTTATTAAAATGAAGATGTTTTGATATCCAGAGGACCCTGGCGCTTTCTTACCCAAAGGGGTTAAACTGTTCATGAAAGGTTGTTCTCCAGTGCCAGATCCACCTTTCACCACTAGCATTTGTTTCTCCAATTCAGTTTGAGGAAACAAAGAGTGCAGCTGAGCAGGAACACCACTGATTGGCTTAGAGTGTCAGCTGGCCGCTCTAGCTCCAATCCTTTTGTGTAGGAATGCGCCAGGGTTCCCTTGGCACCATAACAAATTTGACTAGGTTGTTATGATGTCTCGAGTGTTCTTTTAATGGAGACATGGTAGCTGCAGGTTCTCCAATAGCCAAGGATCAGTCTTTTAATCACTCCTGCCCTAAGCAGGAAAATTTATATCAAAGTCACTTCCAAAACAGTTACTTTGCCGTTCCCTTCACTGTGCATCTATCATTAACTTCTAATATGAATACTTACTTGTTACTTGTCACATCTCCCTCAATAGCTGATATTCTAGGCATTTCAAACTCTGGTCTTCCTGATGTTACTGAACTACAACCCCCATGATTCTCTGGGCACGTTACATTCAAAGTACTGTGGGAGTTGTATGCCATCAACATCTTGGGGCACAGTTTGAGATCCTTGGGGTATTCAATCAAATTCCAAAGTATTTGGGACTCATCACACAACAGGTGACTTTAAAGGATGTATGGCAGCTTCTCCACTGGTAAACATAGTATCGAGAAAACAAGGATGAAAAAATATTTTATTCTACTCTGATATTTAGCTTCAGACAGCAGTGAATAACCTCAGCTCAGCACTTACTTATACTATATCTCCCATGATTCTCTGCAGAATCTGCAGGACCAAGCGTGGCTCTCCCTGGCCCAATTAGTCTCATTTAATTGATAATAACAAAATTTATTGCAACTCTGATTTGTGCTATAAATAAAGTTTTGTAACAAAATTTGCATTCTTGCTCAATGACGCAACGAGATGTAGCTGTAATAACCAGCTTAATCACTAAACTGTCAGTAAAAAACCAAATGGGGATCAGTTAACGCCAAAATCATCGATAGGAAACTAAAGTATTTTGGCCCAAAGTGTTCAAGTCTCTTGATAACACACCCTGCGCTATCGAGTTTGTCCCATTAGATAATTCTAAGCAGGTTTATTGTAATAATATTGGATGCATCGTAGCGCTGCTAACAATTCCATTTTTCATACACAAGCGCCTTTTCATGTGTAATTTAATATTATCACAATTCCTCTATTGCTAATTGAATGCAGCCCAGGTGAGCTAATGTTGAATGACGGCAGAATCTTCGGGTTCATTACTGACATTCTACAGAAACTTGCTTTTGGTTTTAATTGTAAATCACTATTGCTTTTCTCACATTACCCTCTGCTAGCTTTTAGAAGGTAGGAAGTATAATCCACAATCCAGATGGTGGGAGTTTAATGGTCAGTCACAGCTGTGCTGGGGCATTCTTACTTGTGGATCTAACACAATGTAACATTTGGCATGTATTGAGAAGCTGAGCACGGCTACGCAGCACCCATTGCCTCTTCTTTCTTTTTATAGTGAAGAAATGTGCTCTGCAGGTCACTGAATCAAGTACAAGTTACCAATTGTGAGTCTTCTGCTCTTGTCGTCCACCATTTCCTGAGGATCATTGATATTGCACATTGTCCTAATCGTGTCACAGCTGGTGACCTCTGTCCAGCTTGAGGTCCACCATATTCATTACGGTCCACATGTACAGAAATGCCATAGCCTTCTCCATCACCCAGAAACAGTGTCCTCAGCAATCCAGCCATTAATACAAACACGTGTTTTCCTGGATATTCTCCTCCCTATGAGCTCATCAGCGTATATATCATGCTGCGGGTATGATAACAAAGTACAGTTAGACATCCAGTCCTGTAAAACCATCATTTATACAGATTATTAAATGAATCCAGAGTGGGACAAATGGTAGCTTACTGAAAGCAGACAATTGTGTTAACAGTATCAGTATCAAAACACATCACGTAAAGAAACACTATAGGGTCATTAATACAAATATGTATTTCTGACCCTATAGTGATAAAAACAGTATTTAGGGTGCTGGTCACACTTGCCATACTTAAATAAGATAAAAACAATACCTGTATTCCTATGTAAAAGCATTGGATTGGCTGGGATCGTTAATTCTGATGATTTAAATCAAGGAGGCGGGCCAGGGGCAGAGACAAATGTCACGCTGGCCAATTGGTATATCTTCATAGAGATACACTGAATCAATGCATCTCTGTGAGAAAACTTCAGTGTCTCCATGCAGAGAGTGGAGGCCCTGAATGTCAGACTATGCAGCACTGCCTCAGGAAGCACCTCTAGTAGGCATATGAGTGTAAAGGCTGTAAAGGCAGTGTTTACATTAAAAATCCTGCAGGGACTGAATATACAAACCAGAACAACCATATTAAAGGGATACTATAGTGCCAGGAATACAAAGCTGTATTCCTGGCACTAACGCTTCCTCTGCCTCCCCCCTCCCTTGCAGTCCACCCACTCAGGTGAATAAAGGGTTTAAAACCCTTTATTTACTTACCATTTCCCAGCGCCAAGGTCCCTCGGCGCTGGGTCCTGGTTCTGCCCCTTCTGACGTCCCTTGACAAGCAGCCCCTAATGCACACGCGCAGCAAATGCAGTGTGCACTAGACCTCCACATAGGAAAGCACTGAATCAATGCTTTCCTATGGGAAGAAATCTGACACTGGAGGTCCTCATGCAGAGTGTGAGGACATCCAGCGTCAGGTAACAGACCAAACGTAGACAGCCACTGATGACAGACTTAGAGCTGCAATGTAAACATTGCACTTTCTCTCGAACTGCAATGTTTAACCCCTTAAGGACACAACTTCTGGAATAACATGGAATCATGACGGAATATTTCCGTCATGTGTCCTTAACCCCTTAAGGACACATGACATGTGTGACATGTCATGATTGCCTTTTATTCCAGAAGTTTGGTCCTTAAGGGGTTAAGATTGCAGCACTAGGTGCAAATCGGGCATTGCACCCAGATCACTGCAATTAGCTGAAGATGTCTGGGTGCCTACAGTGTCCCTTTAAGCTGTAGGTTTTCTGGTGACTACAGTGTCCCTTTAACCACTTTTCAGTGAAGCTGATAAAATAAAATTTTTTATTATCTTACGCAACATATCAACGTTCATCCGAAAAGTGGAAACTTTTAGCAGAGAGGAATAAAATGTAAATGTAGTAATCTGTGAAGATGAGTAAGAGGAAGCAATGGTCCATGTAGTCCTGTAGAATCTAATAGGTTTATTCACCAAAGTAAGAATTCAAAGTTAGCTCTGCTTTCAGTTTGGATACGCCGACGTTAAATTTCAAATTCACTTTAAATTCTCATCTTAGTAGATAAAAAATGTTAACGTTCGCTATGGGTTGTGTTACGTTTGGTTAAAATTCACAAACATCTGTATTTTTTAATTTATGTTTAATACCTAGCTGTCCTGGTGCAGTCAGGTCAGAATAACATAATTACCACACTGATGTTTGTGAGCCTACCAGGACACCGTCCATATGGCGCTCTGTGAGTGGGATACTGCTGGCGTGTGCAGCTACACTTCTAATCAGAGAGAGATACATTATATTAAACAAAAAGCGGAATTACATTTTCTATTAATCGCTTTCCCATTAGTGCCGGTGTGGAGCCACGACGTGTGTAAGTACCCTTCCCCTGGGAGGACAGTTTTAAATAGAAGCTTTAGTGCTGGATTTATTCAATATTACACTATAAGGGTTATTCTGATTGTGTTTTATTCCAGACCAATATAATTTTTAGAGAACGCCATGTAAATTAACTTTGTTCATGAGATACAACACATGCGCATGTCACAATGGAAGGAATATCAAGTGTACATGCATTTCTCAGCAGCTAGCTATGATCGCACCCTGAGCATCATGGGCTGACAATGGTACCCTGGTCATAGTAGTGTTGCAAAGGTAAGTGTGCTTTTTACTTAAAGGGACACTCCAGGCACCAATAATATGCTGTATTGCTTGCATGTTCAAATCTTTGCATTTCTTGCACCCAAAAAAAAAATACATGTTTTGCAGAATTCTGCACTATATCCTGCATCTTTAACCACGCCTCCTGATGCCAGAATGACGTCCTTAACAAAGGTATGTACAAAGTCTCAGCCCCAACAGAACTAAGTGAGCGGCTTTTAATTCACAACCTGGCTGCAGACAGTCAGAGAAACTACATACAGGTAGTGATATCCTCACTATATAACTGCCTGGGTGTCCTCTCCTTCTAATGCAGGTTGTTTTGTTGTTCAGATCATTCAGTGCTGTCAGTGGCTGAGCTGTGTACGTACATTTGATAAGGAAGTCTTTTTGCTGGAGTGAGGGGTCGTGGCTAAGGAGGCAGGCTTATGGTGCAGAATTCTGAACATAGAAACATCCCCGAACATAGATTGGCGAACTAGTGACTAGGGCTTATTTTCGAGGTAGTGCTTATATTACGAGCATCCATCGAAAATTACCTAGAGCTTATTTTCGGCGGATGTCTAATTTTTTGGGGAAAATGGTATTAGAAAATCTTTAAAATCTGGTGTTACAGAGGCCGTTAATCATACAAGTTATATTGTCGTCAGTAATCAATTGCTGAGCAGCACTATTTAAAACCTTACAAAACAAGGCACACCAGTGATTAAAAAAACATGTTTCACCGCGGAGTACATACATTTATAAGAGCTTTAAATCTTACCAATAAAGATAATAGAAAAACGAGAGGAGGTAAAAGGCTAGCTTGCACCAGGCTTCTTTCTGACAGTAACTCAGTGTATTGGCATTCATTACTACCGGGGGATCATAGGCTAATTCTGGGCTATCAGCGGGGCAGTGGAAATACCTGGAAATAGACGTACAAATAATTACGTTAAATGAATGCGGTAGTTTATTAACTTAGCCACCTCATACTTGATAAACAGTATTTATTTAATTTATTTTAGGAAATATAAATTAAGTGATTCATTATAATAAACTATTAAAACCAAGAGAATGTTCAGTTTGAGATTAGAATATTTTGGATAAACATTTTTTATATTAGGCCTCATTTCATTGCTGTATCATCTGTTATGTTTTTTTTTATGCTCCTGACGGATTAATATTTGTTATCTCAATTCTCAGTTCTGTTCTGTGTAATTTTTTCCCCCACGTCCTCTGAAAAACTCGAGCCCTATCTCCGTGACAGTAAATTTCGAGTGGCTAATCCTGCAAGTTAAAGGAAACAGATTAGCTACAACCCGAACATAGGTGACGCAGGGGCAGGGGAGCTTTGGGGCTAAAGCCCCCCCGGATTTTAGGTTATGACCTCTATAGTTAACGGAGAAGGCAGGAGAATATTGTTTTTTTTCTCAAAGCAGCCACTTATTACAAAATGAAAGATCATCATAAGGTGAGGGTTGGTGCCCCCCAGACGACAGTCGGGAGGAACCTGAAGCAGCTGTAAATGAGAATAATAAATTTATAACAGGGGAAATACAGTCCTACGGAATCTGTTGGCGCTATATAAATGGCAATAATAATAATAATAATGAACTATTCTATGGGGATCTTTGGGAATTGGGATTATAATGCTGGGCTTTTTATCATATTTTGACAGATGCTTTTTTATTTTCTATGTTTCATAGTAGGTAAAAAATATACACTATATTGCTCCGATGGTTAAAGGGCAAATATGTGAATTTCTGTTGAATGTTCATTATTTCAATATACGCTAGGACGCCAAATTTACTGCAACTTGAGGCTGTGCTCCAAGACCAGTTCACAGAGGTAGAAAAGTGGATCGCAAAAAATTTACTTTTTCTAAACACTGGCATAACTGTCACAATGACCTTTGGAACAGTCTCTAAATTACATAAATTACAAAATTCCCACCTATGCATCGGAACAAAATCAGATAGCACACTGACCGCAGTCCGTTCTTATAAATATCTTGGTATGTTGCTAGACCCCAATCTATCCTTTGGCCTTCACATTGAAAAACTCTAATCGAAACTTTTGTCCAAAACTAGGTGCCCTGTACAGAAACAAGTCCTGCCTAAGCCCCACAGTAAAGAAACAGATTGTACAACAAATGCTAATGCCGGTGATTGAATACGGGGATGTAGTGTACGCACCTGCGCTGCAAACCTACCTTCATATACTTACTATGTGATATAGCTTGTTCTACTACTTTGAGCTATAATGTAATTACATGACCACCATTTTGACATGTTTAAAGAGCTAAACTGGCTATTGCGGGAATCCTGACGTACTCTTCATCTTTCCAGCCTTGTGCATAAGAGCATTTCTGGGAAGCTTCCACCCTACCTGAGTAGAATGCTCTCCCCGGCTGTTCCCACCTCCTTTAACCTCCGATCCAGTACCAGCACGATATTTACCATGCCGCAATACAAAAATAAAGTGGCTCGATCCTCATTTTCCTACAGAGCACCGCAATTATGGAATGACCTCCAGGACCCCAGCCTAAAATCCTTAAAAGGACACAACGCACCTGTAATCATTGTTGATTATATTTTGTACCTATTCTATGTTAAATTTATCTATGTTTTGTGTATTAATATTATATTGTACTTTTAATATTAAATTGTACCCTATTGTAACAGTTTAGGGGTCTCAGGACATACTTGAAAACGAGAGAAATCTCAAGGTATCCTTCCTGGTAAAATATTTGATAAATAAATAATATTTTGAATTGAAGCTGATTTGTACAATATTTTATTAATTTCGGCTGACGGGTACTTGCCAACTTTGCTACTAACTAATGGTCATTCTAGGCGTGAGACGCCATGAGGTTATCTGTTACAAAACGTAATTTAGAGGGTTAATGCTTTGAATGTCGCACATATTAAAGGATGGGGCTTACCGCCAAATGTGATAGAAAAGCAATGGTGCATTCAGTCCGAGTGTTAACCATTCCTCTGCGCAGAGAAACATAATACAAAATAGGCTGTGGATGGAATATTCTGGTAGCACCAGCTGGAATTAAAGGAAGATAAGAAAAGAGAGAAACACACGCAGGTTAATTCGCCACGCAGTTCATCATTTTGGACGCTGAGTTAAAAAATTTACATTATCAAACTGATGTGCTATTATCACATGCAATGTATTTTTAGATCTACTTTTTTACATAGTCAACACTATTAATTTTTTTTTTAATTCTATATTTATGGATTATGCGACATAAGAGTGCCAATGTGCTGCATCACAAGTCGCGTACAGAATCATATATTGAACCATTTTTATGTCACAGTCATCATTGTACAGCTAAGATCAGTCATCATTATACAGTTAAGGTAAAACGTGTTATCTTAACTACGCCATATCTAAAGTAACCCTTTAGTAGTTATATATTTGAGGGATTAAAGGAGATTTGTAAGGCCAACAATCTATCATTGTTTTGTTAGCAGTCTCCTTAAAGGGACACACCACTGCCCAAATACAAAATAATAAAAAATCACTGTTTAGTAGATATGCCCCAGAAGAAAACTTGCCAATATCTATATAACACAGATTCTCAGTTACAAAATAAATTGTTTTTTGGAGAGTTGTTACGGTCTTATGAACTGATTTGAGCAAACCAATTGGTTAGACTCATCTTTTCTTTCTCACGGATAATGCTCGAGAAGGTCCAAGGAATACTCTAGAAAATTAGTGTCCTACAATAATTACCAATCTTCACGGTCATCAAACAAGATATGGTCTTACCAGAGGCTAGAACACAAACACTGATTTATAAATGGCATAAAACGGCAGTGGTGGTAGGCATTAGAAATTCTGATTAACACCTTGAAATTAAATATTGCCGAGAGTCTCTAGACATAAACACAATCCTTGACATCCCACACCAATCCCTTCTAGGAAACGCGGTTACAGTTATAACCGATATGATAATATACTCTACTGTAACCTCACGCCAATTAGATCAAATTTATTAGAAAGTGTCTCTTCGTTAATCAGCCATAAGGGGACTTGAAAAATTATCCCTCAACTGTATGAAGCAGACCGTATAAAATAAAATATTTATCTGCTCCCTCTGCATTAATAATTTGCTTTCAATGATAAGATAAAAATAAACACACCATAAAGACTCCATTAGACGCTGACCTTTCGTTACAACTTCCCCCTCGATTTTCTAGATGCTTAACTGATTAGCTTAGTAAATTCTGACCTTTACAATCTGCCAGTGTGATACATTTCACTGTTACACTCCCTGAAATAAATCGAGATAAGGAGAAAGTTGCCGCATACGTAGGAGTTTTGATATTCAATCCTAAACAGTTTGGGCAACTCACAATCGAATTAAAGCAGATTATTGAATTCTGCTTTTCCTAATGATATATATGAATAAAACATAGATTTATAGTGCTCGAACTTCAAATTCTCGAGAAAAAAAAGACTACAAAGAGAAATCTCATAAATGATAGTTTGTTATACTGTTCTCCTGTATAAGCTAGAAATTAAGGCATAACTTAGAGAACTCTTTTGTTTCTTTAAAAATTGCCCAATATTTTTCACTTAAGGACGCTATATTCTGGAGTACATGTTTAGATACCCATTATTGCATATTTAGAGTTCTTAGTTTTATACCAGTGACGACCAATTCGTATTAAACATAAACAAGTACATTTAACATGAAATTAGAAATGCTATATCTCACAATAGGCATACTTTAATATACATGTGAGACAACAAGAGCATTTGTTATGAATGCTTATGATCTGCTCTTTCTAAATCCTCTCTTGTTTAGACATCAGCTGCTTTATGTCTCCTACAAACACTGTTATATTAAAATAATGCTCGAAGAACCATAGCAACTTCTTTGTCATAAAGTTGTTTTGGTGCCCTGAGTGGAGCCCTTTAATACTACTTCCATTTGGAGTTCACGTTTAACATGTAAAAATCCACCCTGCTGTATTTAGCTGTATTTTGGAATGGAACACTTCCTTCTTGACTACTTGTAAATCATTGTTATAAGTTCTTCCCTTTTCTGTCAATGAGCAGAGTATATGGGGGATGAGAATATTTTTTTATTTCTCCTACAATGCAATGTGTGCCCTGTCTGTGCTAGGACTGAACTGGATTGTGTTTAGACTTGACTGGACCAATTTTCCCAAAACAGAACATTTTTCGGGATGTTCGAATTTAAGCCGAATGTCGGTTTGGCTCAGCAGAGTTTCGGCACCAAAAACCGTATCAAAGGTACCAAAAGGACAAGACAATGGGACAATCAATGCACTGCTACATATATACCTAATATAATATTATTTAAATATTTAGCAGAGTACTGAAAGGAGTCTTTTCCTGCCATTTGGTCCAGATAAAAGATAGTGCCTTTGACTAAGTGGACACTGCACACATTTCTATCTCCCTGCTGCCTACATAGACTATTCTACACATCACAAAGAATCAGGGGGTGGGATTGGAGCTGCGGCTTTGTTCAAACATCCCTTTTGGTGATTTGAATTATTAACTCCCAGGTTACCTCTTTCTTGTTGGTTTCATTAAAGTGTTATTTAAAGGGACACTATAGGCACCCCGACTACTTCAGCTCAATGAAGTGGTCTGGTTGCGATGTCCCATGTCCCTTAACCCTACAGTGGTAATTATTGCAGTTTCCTGGAATAATTACCTCTGAGCGTTTACTCCACCTCTACCAGTCTACCAGACAGCCACTAGAGGTACTTCCTTTGGTCCGGTATCTGATGCAGGACATCCTCATGCTGGGAGGGGGGGAAATCAACATTTAGTGACTGTCCCCTAACCAGCAATAATTTTTTTGTCCCATGAGTTATCTCTTCTGAAAAAAAACATGCTTGACCCCTGCGCGTTTCGGTTGGTTCATGATTTGGGTGCATTTCGGCTCAGCGTTTGGGAAGTCAACAGATCACTCAAATGACCCAAGTACGAACATTTAACATACTGAGCATAGAAAAACAAACAAAGTATCATATTATAAAAAGGTTAATAAAAATTACAGGCGATTTTCGATGTTTTAATCAGCGGTGTGATGTCCAGAAAGGTGATGTTTTCTCTTTAAATACATTTTAATAGCTGACCGAATTTCACACCCAGGATTATATTCAAAAACCTCTCTGACTCCTACTTCTGAGAAATTAAGGTGATCTTTCTTCCTTAAATCCCTGTGCAGTTAACTACTGCTTTTAACATCACTCTTGTAGTCTATCACAAGACCAGTGCCCCGTATCACCAGAAACTCTTGTACAATATGCATATTTAGGCAATAAAGGTAATGTAAGGTAAAAGATATGTAGTGCACAAACCTAATCTACCGACAAAATAATTGTTTTTTTTTACTTTGTTAACTCTTCTTTTTTTAATTCCAGGTAAACATGGTAATGACAAAATGACAGGAGTGTTTGCCATGGGATTCACACCCACGTACCCACACATGCATCATAAAGATTCTTCTATGACAATGTCTTATCGCCTGGGCCCGTTCCTTCTCCTGGTACATCATGTATTAAATATTGATGACTTGTCAGAACAGCGACACATTTTGTGCACAGTTTATATAGTTTATATGAGATGCTCTACATTCCATTAATATATCCTAATGAATAAGTCATGAGTTAATGTCACCACCAGCTAGTTAGAGAAATTGCTGGCTCTCTGGATGCCCTCAGATGTTCATTTTAATTAGAGTTTACCCTTTTAATATAATCTTAACAAAAAGCAAAATATGTCCCAAGTGATCGTTTTAACTGGGTAATTGTTTACTCATCAGTGTAATGAGCAAAATGTAGAGCTTTTTAATAGAGAGAGACTTTCGGAGAGGTCGTTAGCTGCCTGTGTCATTTACTCGCAGTGATTTGCTACACAGAGCGACATTAACCTTTGTATATTGGGGGCTATTGATGAAACCAAGTTAATGCAAGATAATCTTGAGATGTTACGAAATGGCTATGCAGACATGTAGAGGGAAGAGCTTATAGTACTTAAAAATTTTACAGATTTTTTTCTGTTAGTTATTTGACTTTACATATTGTGTATAAATGTGTTCGCCACACTGCTAGCAGATGTAAATATAAATGGATCTATCCGGCTCTGAATTTCTAACTGACTTTAAATGGATGAGGCCTATTTTAGATGGGATGATTAAAGTCTTAACATTCTATCTATAGACCTGAAAAATACGCTCCATTTTATTATAAGCCATGTGTGATAAAATGTAGCCAAAGCCATAGCTAAAGGTTACTTTGCATTCGTAAGAAATGTATCACGTTTTTTGAAATTTTTGGACCACACGCTTTTATATTTACCCTTCACTCACCAGACATAGTTGTGCGATGGATGGGACCAATGGCAGATCCCATTCCCCAAAAGATAAATTATTAAAACTGACAACCCACGACACAGAGATTTTGGAAAGAAATGGCTGGGAAGCCATGTCAGACTACTAACTCTATTTTTACCTTCACACTTTTTGCGTATAGTGCCAGGGAATTAGAGGGACAATATTGGCTCAACTCCTGGATAACATTGAGTCCAGGAGACTCCTGTTTTATAAATGTATTAACACGGATCAATCACAGATTTTGTATAGTATGAAGCCAGCCTTGCAAATACTAAAATGGCCAGAACAGTAAAGTCCAGCAAAAATAATGCTCAGTATTTAGTTGCTGGGTACAAATAATTAACAATAATACATTCAAGTAGGGGTGACCAGGAGGAACCCGCACAGCTTTTTTCCTATACCCAACAGCATCTGTGTTTTCCCCTATTAACTCTTTGTCCCCAATGGATTTATTAATGATAACAAGTGATGGGGTATATGAAGATCCCTGTGGTCTCCCCAATCTAATTGCCATAGGATCCAATAGTAAGTGATAAACACAGTCAGTCACCGTGGCTAGACAGCTTGCTGTTCTGTGGGTTACAGACGAAGAGCTCAATTTTCACAGTGACACTGGTGACCAGTGTGGATACATTTTACTTTTTGGAGTTACATTTTAAGGTTTTGCTTATTGGGCCTTGTGGCAAACCTAGCCACTTGGACATTACTTAAGGACTATCACTTTAAGGGTTGCCTGTATGATTTGCATGATATGGGTGTTCCTGGGTATAATGTATGTGATTGTGTAACATTGTATTGCCTGCATTGGCTATCTGCGGAATGCAGATAGCTGATTCCCTTTCGTTTCACGAACAGCATCTTTGCGGGCCGTTCGTGAACCGAATAAACCACCCTGTAACAGCCCACACATTGAGAGACGTGTGGCGCTCGTTAACCGATTGCAACAATGTTGCAATCGGTAATTAGAGGCTCTCCTATGTGGCCGTCGTTCGGCTACCGACCATGCGGCGGTCGGCCATCTTGGATCCTTTGTTCCCCCAGTCGTGTTTGGTGGTCGAGTGCGTGGTACTAAAAACGGCTACTCGACAGCGCGAACACCGCTGAACTTCCAGGCCGTTCGGGAGTTCCGGGCCGTTTGGTATTTTATTCCCTATACATCAATCAGTCTTTTAAGTGCGTGTTTTAATGATTATGTTTTTCGTGCGGCATTCGGTTGTTTTAGCTGGGATCTGAGCGGTAATCTCACGAATGATGCGCTCAGACCCCAGCTATCTACCGAACGTCCATTCGTGCAAATAGACCTAACATTCGAAAAACAGTATATTCCAGTGGGAGGATCCCTCTTGTGCAGCAGTGCCTGTTGGGGGAAAGGCTCTGTAATGTAAGTTTCCCACGTAGTCCACTCTTGGAATACCCCTGGGATAGGACTCAGGAAACCCCTTGCATGGGGAATTGTATAAATTGTGGAGCCTGTGAATAAAGCCTTCAGTTGACTCTCAGAACTGTGTTTCGTCCGGTTACTGGGAGACTTTTCAGCGCTTGACTGTGGATTACCTTCTGAACCAGCAGAGATCGTGGGATTTAATATTGCTGCTCCGCTACAGGCCTCCCTCTGTTAATCAAATGACGAGGTAGCATTACATAGGCCAAGAGGAATGGCAAAAGTGTTATGGTATCATGATTAATATGGGGGGACATTAAAGGAACAGGGGATTGGATATACCTTCTGTATAATTCAAAACTCAAAAGTGGAGACCTTAGTATGCCCCACTCCTGACCTGATCCCTTGTGGGTCACTGAACCCCATTCCACAGCCCATTGGATAAAGAAAGGAACAAGTAATTGAATGCCCCCCATGAAGTATCCTTGACTCATACTCTAGCATAGATAGGATTGGGGAATGGGCCAAATAAGGAGAATCATTTACAGATCTGTCTAAGGTTAATAAAAGTAACGGGGGTACTGCCACTTGCCTAATCAGTCCCTCACATGGCACATGTGGTTTGATGAATAAGTAGGCCATAACACAGGTGCATTAATGGTTAGTAGGGCATTCGGGGTCCCTGCTTGCTTTCATTAATTTATTTATTAACTATTTTTTAATGAATGGTTCTTCAAGGTTTGGTCATCAGGAACATCGATCTAAAATGATGAACTTGATAAGTCAAGCCATCTAGGATATTGTGAGTCGGTGCAGGAAGGATCTTTGTACACAGCCAATAAGGCATAATGAACAGCAAGTTGGCTTTCTGACCGTTAAGGTGGCCCTTTCTGTGAATCAGTAAAATCAGCAACTTCCGAATTGTTGTATTTACTATTCATGGTCACACTGCACCTCGGCCAGGACACATATAATGACTTATAACAAATTACAGACAGACAGTAATCACTGTCATATAATGTAATTCTCATAAAAAGCTCTCTGCCTGTGGATGAGATAATTACTACTCTTAATAGGCAGCAGCTCTCTTACATTCGTAATAAAGAGGAGGAAATAATGACTCCCATAATTAAACCATTACACAATAATTAGCAAGTTCATTATTATAAGTCACCTGCTACCATTAAATGCAACATTTACAACACATTTGGAAAAATTGCTTAATTGAAATCATTTTAAAATGTTCATTACATAAACCTCTCACTCACAATACTGATAATTATATGGATGGATACTATATTCTCCCTGTCATGTTGTATAATTCCATATTGCACAGTTGTGACATCACGTGTGTTTCATTCTTCGTAATGCACGGTTTGACTAACACCTGTAACGGATCACCTGGCCAGATCTCTCACCACACCAGGGTCTCTAGTCTTGTCACTACTCATCCAGGGGCTGCTCTCCCAAGAGATACATCCGCATCACCAAACGCTTCTGTAGCCGCTGCTCCTCACTGGGGAGACTCTCACCTTGCCACCATTGGGCATCTTCCAGGGCATCATACCAGAGTTCCTTTCTGTCTGCATCCCTGTAGTCCGCGGCCGCCTCCTCCTCATCATGGAACGCTGTCTGAAAAGTAGCCGACTCCATCCTGCTGTAGCCAGGGGCGCTGTACGGATACTAGCGTTGCCCTCAATTTGTAACTCCAAACGTTAGCAGTGTCTCTGAGCTGCTTTTCCTCACACTAGGACGCCATCCCACTGCTGTCGATTGACTGGAGTCTCGCCGTTTTCCTTCCACCCTGGATCAGCTTCTGTCCTCCAGGACCGTGTGAGAAAGACCTCTTCCTTCCACCCTGTATGAACCTCCAGCATCCAGAACTTTGTGGTAAAGACCCCTCCTCCAAGGAGAGCGGGTCAGGAACAAGCTCTTAAAAGAGCTAAGTGATTCAAACTCAGGGGAGTATGCAGAGCATAGCAATCCCCAGTGTGATTATAACAGCTCCCTCCAATAACGAGACAAGGCAATGTTTAGAGAGATCAAGAAGAACTGTCTGAACCTTTATTTCCCTTGGGACCAGCCCATAGGGTCACAACATTAACATTGCTGTGAAAACCCAATAAAATCACAAACAGTCAAACCATAGCAGGCAACACATAGTGACTTATCATAACACAATGGCACATTTTTAAATGGGTAGGGGAGACAATATTTAACAGTAAATATCTCACCTGCCTGCAGAATTAGCAATATGCAAATCTACCTGAATATGCAAATGAACCAGTCTTGCTATTCAGGTAGTGCATATTGCTGTTGCTACCAACAGAGGGCACTAGACAAGCTCCATAGCCAAACCCACCTAGTTGGTAGCAAACCTCAGCAGTACAGGAGAGCAGGCAATACATTTTACAGTACACACACACACTACAAACAATTACATTACACACACCCTGCACCTATAATGGGTACAGGGTGACTAAAACATAAGATAAATAAAGCAACCTACATAAATAGTCTGTCTGAATGTAAAATAGGGGCTTTAAAGCCAAATACATCAAAGAATCATAGTCACAGGGGAGGAGGCTGCCAAGCAGGCCTCTCCAGGACCAAGTGGCGAAGGGCACTTCGTCACAACACCCTAACGTTTACTAAATTGCAATGCAGCACAAAGTCTATATTCTGGCCGGCCTGTGATTAATAACTATTTGCAGCTGCCACCATTATATCATCTCCTCTCCTGATAAAGATGGATGTAAAGACGGATGGATGATAAATCTGTCTACAGTGGCACGGTTCACCTGATTTGGTGGAATTCCCATGGGATTAAACATAGATATGAGAAACCACTTAAGATGGTCTGCTGGGGTGCTGGCAATGTTGGACAGATTCTGTGCCCTAATAAAAGCAACATTAACACTAAAGTTATATATATATATAGTCAGTGTGGAAAAAGTATGTGTGAATATATTAACTTTCTTGGATCTGCTATTCTGTATTAGTGGTGTGGTGGTGCATCCTTGCACATTTTGTGTACAAATTTGCTCTTAGTCATAGGTACCAAAGATAGTGCCTATGACTAAGTGCACACTGCACACGTTTCTATCTCCCTACACAGCCTTCACATCACAAAGAATCAGAGTGTAGCTCCTGTTCAAGTCAAACATCAACTTTTGGTGATTTAAATTATTAACTCCCAGGTTACCTCTTTTTCTTGGTTTTATTAAAGTGTTATTTAAGGTTCATTTAGCCTTTGGATATGCCCTAAATGCATAATTTAGCATTCCAATAGGAAATGGCTTATGGAGCGTATTTAGCCTGCCAAATATCTGCTTAATTCTGTAGATTTATTAGAAATCAGCAGACTCCCTCCAGAACAGAGATATGCCTTCACACAGTAAGGACATATTGACATAATGCTCCTTTTTAATCAACTATTCTCGTTACATATCATTCTATAAAGAATTTTCAAGAAATGCTGGAATTTTCAAACATCTGCTCTTGGGGTAATTATTGAAGTATACGTTAATCACTTGATGTAAAAAGAGTGAAACAAGAATCTGAGTATCACAAAATCTAGATGGAAAATCTGTTTTAAGTGTACTGGTTGTTTATGAAATTAACATTACGTGCCAATTTATCAAATTCAATAGGAGCTGCTTTGGGGGCAAAGAGCTAAATGTTAAGATGCTCTGTACTAGTTTTTGTACTGATTGCACCTTATTAATTGATTATGGGGATGTCGTGTATGCACCTGCATCGCAAACCCTCCTTAATAAAATTACTATGTTGTATAACTCGTTCTACCACTTTATGCTATAATGTAATTACTTTACCCACCATTGTGACATGTTAAAAGAGCTAAACTCACTATCGCTGGAATCCCGACGCACTCTTCATCTTTCCAGCCTTGTACATAAGAGCATTTCTGGGAAGCTCCCACCCTACCTGAGTAGAATGCTCTCCCTGGCTGTTCTCATCTCCTATAACCTCCGATCCAGTACTAGCACGATATTAAGCATACCGCAATACAAAAATAAAGTTGCTCGATCCTCGTTTTCCTACAGAGCACCGCAATTAGCAATTATGGAATAACCTCAGGGATACAGTCAAATCTTCATTCATTCTAAAATCTTTTAAGAGATCTATGGCAATTCACCTCAATACAGAATGCACCTGTCATGGTTGAATATATTTATTACCTGTTATGTATTAAATTGATATATGTGTGTATGTATGTATATATATATATATATATAGTGTGTATATTGTATTTTGGTAATATTGTATCCTCTTGTAACAATGCAATGTTTTGTGGACCCAGGACATACTTGAAAACGAGAGAAATCTCAATGTATCCATCCTTGGAAAATATTTTATAAATAAATAAATTTATCCTTTGCCAAAAGAATAGCATCTGTTTTTGTCTGTATAAATCTCTTTCAATGTGTTGTCATGTTAGCAATTAATCATAGCTAGGAATACTGATTAAAGAATATATCATTTGACAAACTGGTATAAGAAGGTTGGAGAACAGTCAGTGGGATTTAATCTAACATTTGTAGTACTTTTTATGCTATCAAAAAAAATAGTTTTTGCTTTTGTCACTAAAAGTAATATACTACATAAACAAACAGGGTGCTTGTAAATTTCAAAGCTGTGTAAATGTATTCTCAAGTTAAACTACTGCAGCATGTTAACTGACCATACCTTAAGAAAAACAAAAAAAAAACATTGAGGGTTTACCCAAGCACCATGACCACTTCAGTGTTTTCAAATGGTCATGGTGCAAGGCGTCTGTAAGCAGAGATCACTGCAAGGCAGGTGGCATAAACAATAGGCATGTGCATGGGAAAAAATTTCGGTTCGGTATTCCGAAATTCAGCACTTCGGAACTTCGGCAACTTCGGCACTTCGACACTTCGGAAATTCTGTAATTTCGGAACTTCGGGACCTCGGCAATTTGGCACTTCGACACGCGAGTGGGGGCTTTTAAACTAAAGGGGGGGCTATTGAGCAGCGGGTGGGGCGGCTGGGGGCCCTAAAGTAAAATAATGGGGGGCCTATTGTCCTCCCCCCAGCCCCCACCCATGAGCTGCTGTAGGTCCCCCCCCTTATTTTACTTTAGGGCCCCCACCCGCCGTTCAGGGGTGGAAGTACCTGAATGTCCGAATTGCCCGAAATTAGTCCAAATTCATATTCGGCCAGAAACGAATTGCACATGTCTAATAAACAATTCAAAACAAATAAAAATTTAAGACACTTAAGAAGAATGTGAAAATATGTCTTTATTCTTTAACCTTTTTTTTTATCTATTGTTCAAAAAATACTCTGCTCTCATAGATATCAAACAATTGCAAACACAACACAAGTTTATCCCAAAATAAATAAACAAATAAAATCTTTGTTAAAAATAGTTGGTACCCTTTTAGTTAATACTTTGTGCCACCTCACTTTGCCAAGATATCAGCTCTAGTCTTCTCCTATAATGCACTGCTGAGGTTGTAGAATACATTGCAAGGGATCTGAGATCATTCCTCCATACAGAATGTCTCCAGGTCCTTCAAACTTTAAAGTCAATGCTGATGGACTCTCCTCTTCAGTTCACCCCACAGGTTTTTATGGAATTCAAGTCAGGGGACTGGAATGGCAAATGCAAGACTTTGATTTTGGGGTCAGTACACTATTTTTGTTTTGATTTTGATGTATATTTTGGATCATTTTTCTGCAACATTTCCAGTTGACTGGAACTTATTGCCTTGATGGTAGAAATGGGAATTTTCAATGTATTTGCTATTTTCTTATAGCCACTGCCCATTTTCTGAAGCTTAACAACCTTTTGCCACAGATAACAGCTATATTCCTTGGTCTTATCCACTGTGATGAATGACTAAGGGAATGTCCTTCCTCATATTTATAACCTTGTGAAACAGGAAGTCATGGTTGAACAATTTCCTGTTCCTAGTCACCCAGGTGTACTAAAAATGTAAAATATCAATGGGAATATAATTCAAATATATCTTTCTCATATAACTTTATAGGGGTGCCACACATATATTTAATAAATATTTTTTGGGGTTGGGAGGATAAACATGTGTTGTGTTTGCAATATCCATGAGAGCAGAGTATTTTTATGTTATTTTTTTTTAAAACAAAAGATAAAAAGGTTAAACAATAAAGACAATTTTTAACAGCCTTCTTGCTCATATTTACCAAGGGTGCCAATGCTAGTTAATGTTAGTTAGGTAATTAGTTAGTAGTTAGTTAATGAGAGCACTGCACTTTAGAAAGATACACTGAGTCATATAAACACTTCCTCCATTCTCCCTAACCTCAAAGAAACCTCTTTTACACTACAATACCTCCCCCAGTTCATTAATAAAACCAGTGATATTAATTAAAGGAATTCAGATACATAAATAGTGTATTGATATTCCCTTTAACTTTAACAGTTCTTGGTGTTATTTTCGTCTGTGGAGTCTGCAAAGGAAGGACCCCCATGTGTTGCGGTGCCATAATATTTTTATTTAAAGAACTAACTCTCCTGCTTCTTGTTATTTTGAAATACAGTATTAATTAGAGACCTGTGTATGGATCATAAAATATATCCGAGCACAATTCCAATTTATTTTTATTATGATAATATCGAAGATGTTCTAGGATTTTGTAGTTTTGTAATATCTTTCAGACCATCATCGTCTGCGAAAAACAATGTTTTATTTTTGTTTATTTGTATTGAATTGAACAGTACTACAATATACATATTGTGAATGTTAAAATGTCAAACTCTGGGCCAAAATAGCCAAATTGGAAAATTCTCCTAGTCACTTATTTAAAGTTTAAAATGTACTTCCATAATATGGTAAATAACTCTTTGCATTCAGGAAGAGGATGCATTGGTATACATAGATATAATAAGTAATGGTAACATTCTGAAATGCTGATCTTAGGAATGGTGACCATCTTTGCAGAATTATTTCACCTTGTTAGCTTATTCAACCTTTTATGGAAGCCGATTGGTCCAGCTACCTTCAGGAGCAGCGATAAGAAGGGTGATAAGCTCACGTTGAGGAATGAATAATTACGGAGGGGACATGAAGGCACAAGGTGAATATTTTGCTGGGTGAATTTTTGCTGAGTTCAGTCCAAGTATCATTATGTCATGTTCAGAATGACTGTGATCAATGTGTCTTTAAACTACAATAAATGCGTTTAGAAATCAGTCTGTGTAAACATGATACATTGCTCTTGTTCTAAATGACTTTTTAGTTGCATAAATTGTTATATATTTTGGGAACTCACACATGGGACAGAGATAAAGGATGCAAAGCATTGATCGATAGATGTAACTGTTTATAGAGATGGTGAAATGTCTGTACGGTTCTTTAAAGAGGAGAGTTTATCTTGACCTATTCTTGGAGCAACGCTTTGCTGTATATCTGCTGAGTCCGGGAGTAAAATGTTATCCTGGTGAGATGATAAGTTGACATGGAGTGGATGAAGCTGTATAAATTGCATTGTAATGCAATGATAGCATAAAACTAATTAGCAAAATATGCCTTTCATATCTTTAGGGATGTATAAAGAATGATGACACTCTCTAAAACTAGATTCTGTAAAATCTTTAATTCCCTTAAAATAAACCACTACACGGTGAAAAGGTAAACGGTGGGTACCTCCAATAATACAGGGTTTCATTTTACCCATTCCCCCTGTTAGGAATATTGATGTGTGGATATACCTATTAAACTTTCCATACTGTATTATTTTAATGTGCGCACTATTAATTAAAGGGGCAATGCAATTTAGCAGTTTCAGTCGTGTAACAGTATAAACTATCATCAATTCTGGTAGCAGATCAAGCACCGTGACCACAGAGAATCCCCTGATCTTTCAGTAGAATTTGGCTAGTTTTCTCTTGGTTAGGTGTGTCCCCTGGAGACAATGTATCCTATTATTTCCTTGCCTCCCCCATAAGAGTTCAGCATTTGTGAAAGATACTAATATGTCCATCCTTTCTCTTTTAGTGTGGGTGATTTACTCTCAGCTGCTAAAGAAATGTTCTGTTTAACTTTATACCATGGACCTCGGCATAATCTATTTATCCGTGTCTGCCTCTCTTTTTTTTGGTCTTGTCTTTCTCTCTGTTTTTCTGTCTGTTTGTCTTTTTGTATGTCTGTCGTTCTGTCTGCTTTTCTCTCTGTCTGTTATTCTGTCTATCTGAACACAGTGAGTTTATTAAATGACATTAGTTGTCTCCACATTGTGTCACAATGTAGCAGGTATGCAATTTGAAATTCTGTGGTCGTTAGGAAGTTAACTGCTTACCTGGGCCTCTGACATGTGAATGCCAGTACTGTCTTCACATGAGGCATGTGATAAAGAACCATTTGAATTAATTGAAGACATTACAATTATTTAGAATATTTTAGTTCAACACCAGCACATACTGTGTTTTTTTGTCTCTACCCAAAAATGTGGATGATAAAATTATTTTTTCATATTAATAAAATGTTAATATACATTGTGCTAGACAGATCCCCTAGAAATATAGAAGATTCAGTCCAGTCAGTGTTTTGGGCTGAACGTGCGCCTTTACGTTCCACGACTGACAGAGCATTCCACAATCCTAAGCATGTATTTGATTTTGGGTGAACATATATCTCCCAGATTTGGCATGAAGTTAGTCAGGCTGCGGTTTGGATGGGCTCTGAGCAAGTGAGGAGACAATAATATGAGGCTTGCAGCCATGACGAGTTGTATTATCTGAAAATACGACAGACAGCCTCACAAGGCTGACAACTAGACTGGGATAAACTGTAAACCTGTTGTAGACAAATTGTGCTATGTCCCAAATTTCCCCAATTCTGGTGGGAACCAGAAGTCTTTATTTCATGGTCATAATGGTGTGATAGGAAACAATGCTTATAAAACGGAATCCCAGATCCAGTTCCTGCTTTAGGGAAATATATTAATATTAAATATTGGGCATATTAAACCTCTGACCGATGATACCTCCTAATGAAATTCACCACCACAGGAGCCACTTAGTGCCGCAGTGGATATGACCTTGATATTTTGGAAACCCGACACTACTGTATTTAAAGCACAAAGTAAAATGCACAGGGGGTCGCCAAATAAAACAAACAATGTAAAACATTTACTTTGTGCTATAATGACCCATAATATTGTCTTCTACCAATTGCTAAAATGTTTTTTTAATGATACTATGAAACAGAAAAAGGAAAAAGAAACAATCTGCCTGTGCAGACCTCCTAAATGGGGGATAACCCCTATGGTTGAATTGGAGAACGAAAAAGAGGAGAAGCGGAGGCTGCAGTACCTGGTAATGCAAGAAATGTGAAAAAAAATCTATATCAAAATCTAAAACATAACTTTTAATAAAGGTCCATAAGTTAAAAGGTCTCAAAAATTGGAGGAAGAGCTATACCGGGAAAAGGGGGATAAGAAGGGGAGGGGGGAGCTCTTTGGGGTAAGGGGTGCCAATTCGCCAATTCGGCACTTTGGCAATTTGGTTTGGCACTTCGGAAATTTGGCACTTCAGAGGCATCCGAATGTTTGAATTGCCAAAATTCGCCAGAATTTACATTCGGAATGAAATTAATTGCACATGTCTATTACCAAATCTATTCCCGAATGTAATTTTGACTCTACTTACAAAATAAAGTTCAGTATTGAAAATCATAGCAGCTCATACATTTTACACGCTATACAAAATGACAGAAATTCTCTTATCGAACGAGCACAGCGCATAACATTTTGAAGTCTACATGAAAAATGACTCACTTGTCCATTCCCTGCAATTGCCAATTGGACACTCAACGGAAGACATTGAATTTCTCGCTCTTCTACAATTAAAATGTGCTATTTAATTCACAGAGCTTGGAAAGTATTAAAACAGGTTTTAGATGTTAATGAAAGGCTTTTTTGGAAGTAATACCAAACTGAAAAATGTGAACACAACTGAATATGTAGCAAATGAAAACCTACAACAAATACAATGTGAGAGCCTGCAACTTTGGAGAAGATGGATCAGACACAATGTGAGAGTCTGCACCCTCGGAGAAGCTGAAACAGATATAATGTGAGAGTCTGCACCCTCGGAAAATCTGAAACAGATACAATGTGAGAGTCTGCACCCTCAGAGAATATGAAATAGATACAATGTGAGAGTCTGCACCCTCGGAGAATCTGAAACAGATACAATGTGAGAGTCTGCTTTCTCTGAGAATCTGAAACAGATACAATGTGAGAGTCTGCACCTTCGGAGAATCTGAAACAGACACAATGTGAGAGTCTGCACCCCCAGAGAATCTGAAACAGATATAATGTGAGAGTTTGCACCCTCAGAGAAGCTGAAAAAGATACAATGGGAGAGTCTTCACATTTGGAGAATCTGAAACAGATACAATGTGAGAGTTTGCACCCTTGGGGGAATCTGAGACAGATACAATGTGAGAGTCTGCACCCTCAGAGAATCTGAGACAGATACAATGTGAGAGTCTGCACCCTCAGAGAAGCTGAAACAGATACAATGTAAGAGTCTGAGAATCTGAAACAGATACAATGTGAGAGTCTGCACCCTGGGAGAATCTGAAACAGATATCATGTGAGAGTCTGCACCCTCAGAGAATCTGAAACAGACACAATGGGAGAGTCTGCACCCTCAGAGAGTCTGAAACAGACACAATGGGAGAGGGTGCACCTTCGGAGAATCTGAAACAGACACAAAGTGAGAGTATGCACCCTCGGAGAATCTGAAACAGACACAATGTGAGAGTCTGCACCCTCGGAGAATCTGAAACAGACACAATGTGAGAGTCTGCATTATCTGAGCAGTTGAAGCAGACAGCGAGATGCAGGAGCATCACATGTATGCTTCAATCTCTTCAAACAAAGTATTTTGGAAAAAAGATATAGTGCACTCACCTTTCTGAGCAGAAAGCAAATTCGTTCAATGTTTCTAAGGCGTTCCCGCTGTTAAAGAAAACAGAATATTTAGACAGCAAATTTTGGAAGGACAGACAAGCTACAAACACAAACATACGTTTGTAATCATAAAATGATGTGGGGACGCAATGTGTAATAACCGTATAAACAGACATTTTCAATAATATCTCATATCTACTTATTTTTATTTTATCAAAATTAAGTTATGGTGCCAGTAGGTCCCTGGCGCTGGCTTACTTTTAGGGATTAAACCATTCACATCACGGTTGAACCCCAAAGTATGTGCTCCTACACCAGGGACCTCCTGGTACTATAACAACTTAATTTACAGTTGTCATGGTGCCAAAACTGCTCCTTTAAATAAAATATTTTTTTTTAGTTATACCGATTAGTTCAATCCTCTGTTCTCTTTGTTCGACAAGTCTGCTACATGTTCTCTAGAAGGACACGTACTGCAGAATGAGACTTTATAACAATCCTAAGTCTTTGCACTTGAGGTCAGACACTGAAATGTCAAACTGATTTAAAATTCATGATTTTGAAGGGGGAGGGGAGGAGAGCGGGTGATTTACTATCTCCTGAAATCCTCTTGCTGACCTTTCTACTTGTATCAGATCCCTTCTTTATTAACTGAGTGCCTCCATGTGACCATGTGTTGAATGAGATACAGTATTATTTAACTGGATACAATGTTAGTTCTACTTAGGTTTAAGGTTATTTTGAATTGTTTTGTCAAATAAAATTCAAAGTAAAAAAAATATTTTTTTAAATTTGAAATACAGGTTTAGCAGCACTTGCTAAACAAAATCAGATAGAGATCAGCGCTAGAATTCCACAAAAAGCAGTTAAATTGTAAATATTTAAGGCAGCACACCTGTAGGCAGAGGGGTCCCCTCTAGTGCCCCCTAAGATAAACATAATAGAGAGAATAAATACAATGAGGTAGCGCCTATAGAAGTGGAATATATACAATAGATCAGTTTATATGGTAAGTATAATAAAAAAAATAAAAACAAAATCACTTAAAGGACCACTCTAGGCACCCAGACCACTTCAGCTTAATGAAGTGGTCTGGGTGCCAGGTCCAGCTAGGGTTAACCCATTTTTTTTTATAAACATAGCAGTTTCAGAGAAACTGCTATGTTTATAAATGGGTTAATCCAGCCTCTAAAGCCTCTAGTGGCTGTCTCATTGACAGCTGCTAGAGGCGCTTGCGTGCTTCTCACTGTGAAAATCACAGTGAGAAAAAGCAAACGTCCATAGGAAAGCATTATGAATGCTTTCCTATGAGACTGGCTGAATGCGCGCGCAGCTCCTGCCGTGCATGCGCATTCAGCCGAAGAGGAGGAGAAGAGGCGGAGAGGAGGAGGAGAGGTAAGAAAGGTAAGATTTTAACCCCTTCCTCTCCCCAGAGCCCGTCGGGAGGGGGTCCCTGAGGGTGGGGGCACCATCAGGGCACTATAGTGCCAGGAAAACGAGTATGTTTTCCTGGCACTATAGTGGTCCTTTAAGCAAGTCTAAATGCTTTAACAATAATCCAAGTGAATTTGTTTAACCCCTTAAGGACAGAGCTTCAGAAGCTTGTCTTTCACTTAATGACAACAGCATGTTTTGCTGTTTACGTTCAACTGCAATTTGCATTTTACTAATTTAGTGCACCGACACATATTATATACAGTTTTTTAAAGGAAAGAAAGGGCTTTAATTTGATGTAACATATATATTTATAAATGCTTATCTATTATAAAAAAATACAGAAAAATGCAAAAAAATTAAAAAATTTGTGTTTTTTTACAGTTTTTGCAATAATAATGTGTGCATAATTAGTGGAGGTTGGGGGCGGAGCCTAGCTGCCAAGCAGAGTGGACGTGCTGAAACCCAGCTCCTGCATTATCTGCCTGATTTTGGGGAAAATACCCAGTAAAACTGGCACAGAACTACTCTAACGGGCATAACTGAATTGGGATCCTCGGGGGGCAACTCTGGACACCCAAATCGACTAGCTAATCACCCGAGATCCCTAGCTGCGGTGACCGAGGCCTACAGGATGGCTGGCAGAGGGGAGACGGCCGCTCTCCTTTCCACCTACCTGCTCCACGACCACTTCGACCCTCATTCATCCTGCCCGCCCCCCCCCCCGGGACCGGTGGGGGATATCCCGGTCCTCGCCGCAAGCCCAGTCCGAGCCTATACACAGCGTGTGGACACCAGGGCCGGCGACACGTGGCCCATCGAAAATGGCGGCGGAGTACTCGCAGCAACTCAGCTTGAAGCAGCTAAGCAGAGCTCCGACTGCGGCACAGACCTCATGCAGCGTCTGGATGCACTGTTCAACGACTTCTGGGAGAAGCTCCAGCGGCGCGCACAGCGCACCAAGACAAAACGACAGGACCCCATGGACCCAAGAGAGGGGAGCTATGGGCGGCTGGGCAAGAGGGGAATTCCCTCGGGCGCAACACGAGACCAAAAGCTGACACTCACCCACCCCGGCCCACCCGGGCTGCAGGCCAAGAGGGCCTTGACCCGAAGGCGTCGGCCACATAGGTGGAAACGCAAGCGGCAATCAACATACAGACCTCCCGCCACCCCCATGAGGGGGAGACACTCGGGCAACGTGTGCCACCGAGTCTCAGGCCAGAAGACGCAGGCCTGCACACCAGCTTGGGGCAAGAGGGACACCCCCACCACCGGCCGAGCATCAGCACCTCCTCTGGACCAACCGGAGAGCCTCAGCCGCATTCCCACAGAAGGAATAGGATAAATAGTGACTTACCACAAACTCTCTTATGACCCGCATACGCTACCCCACGGGTCCAGATCCAAGTGCCTTGCCGGTGACCGCTGCATACCAGTTTGATTTCATGTGCTGACAAATGCTTTTTGCCAACCATAGTATACCTTACTCACGCTTGTTTATATTAGCCTCTATTAGTTAAGCATAGGGCGCTAGATGTTTAATCATATCACTGAAGAATCACACAGTTAATGATATTGCATCAGCATGAATAGACCTTGAGATTGGTGATCTTATGTTCGTTACACTCATAGTAAACCATGAAAGATAGAATGTTACTCAGATTTAATGCTTAGTCAGCCTGTTACGTAAGGATAACTCCCAAGCAACTTACTGTATAACTGTGCCCATGCCCTGATAAAACTGGGCATCTACTGCTAAAAGGTGATTTTTGTATTGCACTGAGTGCTCAAGGCCTAGCCTGTAAGCCACGTGAAGCCTAGGAGTACTACTTTATCTGTACAACTACTGATATACATATATGCATGACCTGTACTGTTCTCAGCCTAGGTTTTTCGGCAAGCAACATAGAAATACTCCTAGTTATGTCACATCCTCATACAAAACGACTCTGAACTAGCTATCTTACCTTCTTATAGCTTAAAGTATGATTGACTAAGCATGTTTATATTTAAAAAAAAAAAATTGTGCTTGATAAACATATGTCCCGCATGTAACGCGGAGGAATAGCCTGAGGACTGCTTTTGGGGCACCTCAAGCCTGCCTGTATCATTTTCATGCACTGCAAAAATAAAGAATTAAAAAAAAAAAAAAAAATAATTAGTGCAGGTTAAGGAAAGTAATTAAAAATAAATTCATTTAGTTGTTCTGATTTACAGAATATATAATGTGTCTGGGATTTTAAGTTTTTTTTGGTAGTTACAGGTCACAAAGCACAAGGAGTAAAATAAACTTTTAATGTGGTGCGGTTTTAGAATTTGGTATGTTTGTCTTGTAAGCTTAATAGCCATAAAAGAAAACAAAATTGCCACACAAAAGTATATATTTATATAAAGTAGACATCACGGGCTATTTACCTAAGGTTGTTTTGACACTTTCTACGTAGCCATTTCACCGCCAACCTCTGCTAAATATTGGAGTAAAATTGTGGGGGTTTTTTGTTTTTTGCAACACAAACTTATAACAAAGAACTTCACATGTGTATTTTGTAAAGCTGGTGTGTGCTATTCCTGTACAAAGTTTTATTTTGTGTTCAGTTACATCTGCTGAGTAAAATGACACCCCCATTGTATGTCTTTGGCGTGGGATAATTTTTACTCTAGTTTGTTCCAAGTGTAGTGGTAATGAACGTTTTTAAATGCATTTTGTTTACTTTTTTTACTTTTAAAAACTAGTTTTTAAACATTTGTTTTGCTTATTAATTTTTTTAAACTTTCCTAAACTTTCTTAAAACTTTTTTTTTACAGATTTAACATTTTTCTAAGCTTTTTTTTTCATAGTTAACCCCTAACTAGCAGTAAGCAGCACTAACAGTAAATTCCCCATTTTCCCATAACTCCCACCCACCCCAGCTAGCAAAATATATAATTATTAAATATTTAAATTAGTTAATTAAATAAATTGAACCGCTGAGGGTTAGAAAATAAATAAAAGTTAATCGTCAGGGGTTAAAATAAATTAGATCACAGTATAATACTGTGATCTGTATTTTGATCACTGTAGGCAGTGATCGACTGGCAGGGAAGGGGTTAATTTTTATTTGGACTGGCTAAAGGAGTTTTTTTTTTTTTTTACTTAAACGTTATTAAAACTTTTTTAACTTAATTTTTAACTTTTTAAAGCTTATTTTAAAACTTTTTTTAACGTTAACCCCTAGTTAGGCTAACACCAAATCCACCAATTCCCCACTAACTTCCACCCACCCCGGCTAGCTAAATTTATAATTTTAAAATACTTTAATTAATAAAATAAATTTAACCCCTGAGGGTTAAAAAAAAGAATTAACCCTCAGGGGTAAAAAAAAAAAAATCAGATCTTAGTAAAATGTAATCCATGCCAAGTGATCAATGTAGTCAGTGATCAATTGGCAGGGAATGGGTTAATTTCTTATTAAAATGGGTAAAGGGGGGTGGGATTTTAAATAAACTTTATTTTTTATTTTTTTAACAGGGGGCAGGATCAGCATTGTTCCAGCTCCATGCACTTCACACAGAACCAGGAAGTGCAGGGAGGCGGAAGGTAAGTATACTGAGCACATGTGCTTGCTCTGACAGGTTGTCAGAGCGAGCACATGTGCTGGGGCAGCACTATCGGGTGCTCCCGGTCTGCCTCTAATACAGGGGTTAGATCTGGGGTTAATTTTACCACTCCGGGGAAACCTTTAACGACGAGTGACGGACCTTGTCCGTCACGCGGTAAAATTAACCCCAGATCGCATTAGGGGTTAAGATAGTGCAGTAGGATCTTTATGGAACAGCAGACTGGTTTTGATTGTGGTAGTATCACAGGATAAAACTCAGGATTCAACAGGACATGTGTAAAGTAAACAGAAAGAAAAGGGCTCCAATGGTATGGTATATATGAACAATAGGTGCAGAGGGTATATATATATATATATATAAAATATTACTCACAATCTCCAGAGCTACAATCCAGCTCTGGTTTTGAAAGTGTGAAGTGGAGCAATCCCCACTCAATGATATAAGGAGTTTTTCAAGCTTTATGTCTTGAATTGCTGTGGAGTAATCCAACCCCAAATATAAAAGGGATAAAATATAGTGCTCTCTGTATCTTTGGGTGTATGATTAAAAGGTATATGAATAATACTCACAATTTGCCGAGCTGACTCACTGCTCAGTGTACAGCGTATTGGTGGTATAATCTCCACCTAAGGATTCTTAATGCTTCTCAGGGATGTCAGGCAAAAAGTTAAATAAATATAAAAAACTAAATAAAGGAGTATGGCAAGTTGAATAGCCAAAATATTCCTTTATTAAACAAAGTAATCTAAAAGGTTTCTATACGCGTTTCGCCTACAAGGGCTTCTTCATGTAGAAACTATACTGACAGCCCTGCATTAGCAAGCCCCCAACAATATTGATTTCAGAGTCCTGTCTGAACATTCCAATTTTGTTCCCAGGTGTCCCGCATCCAGGAACATCAGGGAACAGGGCAGCACAGCACAAGCACATCATTAGACAGGCTTGTGCTGTGAACGGGTACTAGAACCCAGCAGAAAGGGATTCAGCAGCACTTTCTGCATGTTCCAGTAGGATTATGCCAGACATGCCATTCAGCGAGCGGACATTCCCCTTTTCCCACCCATTATGGGCGTCTCCATCAACCCGTCTCGATCTTCATAACTCTCAATGTTGGGAGGTATGCAATTGGATCAATTCGTTCACTATATGAACCCTTGCAGGAGGCTCTGTTTAGCATGTGAGCTAGAGACACCTTCATTTTAAAATATCCAACAAATAGATAATAAGACAATATGCTCCTTTAGACTCAATAACCACAGACACAGAAAGGTAAACTAGTTAAATGCAAATGCCACTATTTTGCATCGCTTGTATAAATTGACTATTTGTCTGTATATAAAGAGCTGAGTCAAATTTTACTTCACCCACCAGGTAGTCTATAAAAACTGAAAAGTAGCAATGATGCTTTAATCTTCCATTGTTACAGTGCCAAACGTGTCCTCCAAACACACATCTGCACATTAGCAATAATGATTACCCTTAATGCACTGCATGCAGTACTTCCTGGATATTCTGGTGAATTATGAGCTGGTTGTACTTTTGTTGCAACTTCATTTCACTATGTTAATGCCATTTTTAGTGGATTAGAGAATTTATGATGCTTGGTATATATATTAATGGATGCTAGCAGACCTGACTGAGCACAGTGTTTAGAGTATTAAATGTCGCTGATGCGTGCTAATAACCCACACCAGTGTCTGCTATCACAAATTAATAAATATAAAACGTGCTGTTGTTTCTCAGAGACGCAAGCTTTAACATTCTGTCATTTCAATCATTCAGCATAAATTGACTGAAATATTCCAAACAGAAAAGTTTAACACTAAACATAATAATAAATGGCTCTCCTAATAACCGCAGCGATAATTAACAAACGATGCGCATACAACATACAAAGAAAGCACTGTACTGCGCCCAGCAGCATGTCATCATAGAGATATATTATTGGGACTTATCAGCATCTGTCTGACAATCACTAAAGGTGTCCTGGGGAAGCAATGTACATATTGACTTCTTTTTATAGAATGCCCCTTTTACATTTTTTATTATTATTTGAAAATAATAAATAGTAAAGGGGCCAGGAAACTGTGGCCAGTGATGACTCTATATAAAAATACAATCCATGAAAAATTAGAAAAGCACTCTATCAGGGTGCAATAGCTATCCAGAATTCGGAATAACCAATCTACAATTTAAATTTAACTTTCTAAACATATGGAGTTCAGAGGAAGAATCAATATGTTTTATGAATGTCTATTTACTGAGCAATGATCCGGTACTGTCAAAGTTAGAGCGACTAATCTGAATTCTCGCAGAATTTGGTCCTGACAACTAAAAAAAAAACTCCTATATTTAGTGAGTTCTTGCTGTCTTTATATCTATTTGGATGAAAGATAAGGGGTAAAAGGGGGATCATCCAGCTTTAGTCGTTATCGGGAATGTAATATAAGTGATAGAATGTTAGTAAACATTATGCCTATTTACATTTAAAAGTAATATGTTCCTTTGACAATATTGCATTATCCTTGCTGCTTTTGATTAATGGGGGTTATAGCGTTCAATAGGTTGTTGCAATATCTGATTTACAGAATACACATCCCCAGCTTTAATTCATTATCCACGGTGTGAGAAAACCACTACGTCTTCTAAATAATGTTGACGGTATCCATTAGAAAGTTTTATATAAAGATAAGTAACCTTGTTTCTTAGAATAGACTTGTTTTATTGTGATAATAGAATGCATTCGGCTCTTCCTGAGATTTTTATCTGAATTCCCCAAGAGTCCAGTGGCACAAATAAATTGAAAATATAACCTTAAAGATATACGTGTACACTTCTAGAATAACAACCAAACGTACAAATTGTGTAATCTAAAAGTGATATGTAATCTATGGTAGGAACATAGTTTAAAGTATATATATATCTCATAATAATTACATGCCCTTTAATGTGTGCAGGGGAACCTTTAAAGAGAAATATTAACAAAGATTTGTTATATTATGTTTACGTCTTCCCTGTCGTTAAAAAAAATGTGTTTGTAAACAATAAATGTAATAGAGATATTTACACCACTGTATTTGGCTCAATCCTAGAAATGATGACGAATTCATGTCGCCTCAACTGTCAATCATTCTTATAAGCTTTCTCCGTTCTCTCATTGCTCTTAGTATGTGAAGGTGAAGATGAAGAGACATTGTTTAAACTTCTCCAATGCAAAATGTGCGATTATATATCTAAATATAGGGAGGGCTGGTCTTAGGCAATTAGTCGCCCTGTGCCCCTCCCCCACCCCCACCCCCTCCTATCATACCTCTTCATCATGTATAGTGTATGTGTGTATAGGGGTGCAGTGTTTGTATAGGGGATTTATTAAATTAATTATTATTTCAAAATTAATATTATTCCCCTTTCCCTGTTGGTACCTTGCAGATAGGGAGGCATGCTGATCTCTGGTGGTTCAGTGAGCAGGGAATCTGTCACACACACATACAGGTGATACTCAAAAAATTAGAATATCGTGTTCATTTATTTCAGTAATGCAACGTAAAAGGGGAAATTAATATATGAGATAGACGCATTACATGCAAAGCAAGATAGTTCAAGCCGTGATTTATCATAAGTGCGATGATTATGGCTTACAGCTCATGAAAACCCCAAATCCACAATCTCAGTAAATTAGAATATTACATGCAATCAATAAAACAAGGAGTGTACATCGAACAATATCAGACCTCTGAAAAGTATAAGCATGCATATGGACTCAGTACTTGGTTTGGGCCCCTTTTGCAGCAATTACTGCCTCAATGCGGCATGGCATGGAAGCTATCAGCCTGTGGCACTGCTGAGGTGTTATGGAAGACCAGGATGCTTCAATAGCGTTTTGGGGCACAAAATGGCACTGATAAGCTATTTGGACACAAAAGTGGCACTAATAAGATGGGGACAAAGATAATTTGAGACTAAGATGGCACTGATTAGCTATATTGGGACAGAGAGATGGCACAGATTAGCTATTTTGAGACAAAACTGGCACTGGGAAGCTGTATGGGGATGCAGGCAGCACTGGGAAGCTGGGCACAAATATGGCACTAATAAGCTTTTTGGGGGCAAAGCTGGCACTGTAGGAAGTGGGTGACATGTCCTGGGTTGGGGGTGGAGTGGTTTCCATAGAAATTGGGTGTGGTTAGAAGTGTTATGTTTGTAAAGGGGAGGGGTTAGCAATATAGCCACACCCATGGGGGGGCACCAAAAATATTCTTGCACCCAGGCGTCAGTGACCCCAGGATCGGCCCTGAGTATATAAGTAAGTATTTATTAATACATATAGTATAAACCAAATAAAATAGTAGCACAACGCATTTCAATATTAAATGGGTCTTCCTCAGGTGCCCGTTTTCAGGTTAAAAAACATTGTGCTACTATTTTCTTTGTTTTCTCCTATATGTATTAATAAATACTTATTTATATACTCACCTGGAGTTCCTGATTTCAACAGTACTGAATTCCTGGAGTATCTATTACTGGAGAATTTATCCTGTATCCCTGATGATATGCCTAATAAGTTCAGAGCCAACTTCTAATAGCCTCTGAAAATTGTGATATTTTATGTTACCAAAAAAATATATTGTTCGGTAAATAGAACCTTTGTGTGCACAAACAACGTTATTCTGTTTTTAAAATGTCTGTTTAGTTTAATCTTGTGCCAAACCCTTGTGCCGAAAATGACTCACAACACTTACTTACAACAATCGCAAGATCAGTAGAATACTTGATTCCAGTGACCATACATTCATGGTAGGCTACCCATGTTTCCAGAAAACACTGCCTTTCATTATTTAAATATCCAGCGTCCCTCCCTTCAAGGTATGTCCCGATCTTTCTCACCTGGACCTATTCCTTAATATATTTTACTAGTATCTCCTTCCTTCATAACAGAAACCCCTCTCTCTTCCATAACTTCTATCCTTAATTATAAAACCTTCAAAGACAGGTCTACCAATCCATAAATCACTTCTTACAATTGAGGTCCATCTCAAACATGCCCAGATGTTGGGTTACAGGAGACAGATGGAAGACAAATGGAAAGAAATACAGCGTTTATCAGGCAGAAGTAGCAGCTGTTTTTTGCCCCTGATAAATGTGTGGGATAGCCCATAGCTGTCCCTTTTGCCCTGCCTTAAAGATGGCTCTGTTAAGCAACACTAAAAGTCACATTAGTGTTCTGTGTATATGTGAGTCTATCACAGAGCTCCACAGCAATAAAACTCACAGTAATCTGTGTTTTACACACATTAAATGTGTTTGTAACGTAATCTGTCTAAATAGAAGGCTTTGGTCTTGAGTTAATATTTGAGAGTAAACTTAGTATTATAAAGATGGCGTATATACCCCTCCAACTACTGAGTGGAGCTTTGAAAGGGTAATAGTACCGGACAAACCATTCTAATGGCTGCAACGTGTGTTATACTCAATTTACCAAAGAGCAGTGTAACAGCTAACAGTGTAATAAATCATGTGATTGCGTTACTTACCGCGTGCGCAGGATTACACTGATCAATTGGGCTTTTGAAGTCTGTTCTTAATTCATCAAAGGCAATTATCTGAAAAAGAAACGATTAAGAAGAGCTAAATCGTGCATCTCTCGCTGCTGAGCATACCATTTGCAGGCATTTTAGGAAACTTTCCATTGAAAGAGGCTATTTTTAACCATCAAAGCATAACCCGCACAACTTCCGTGACCTCAATTTCTTAGGTTATTTCATAAGAAAACATCAATACTGAAACTAAGTCACTAATTTCAGGATACAACGGCGCTATACCGCTGTAAATTGTCACCAAGGACCATTGTTTTAAAAACAAAGCTGATCTCATTGCCATTTAGTATTATTATTCCCAATCATTTGGGCAATTCATCCATATTAATTAAAGCGATTTTTCTAAATAAAAACAATATTTTTTAATGCATTGTAAAGGTAATGATTAAACAAAATGTCTATGGGCCTCGATCTGCTCCCATAAACCTCTCCACAGCTGGTGAGAAGCAGAATGCTGCATACATTCTGGAAACTTTTGTCTCTGTAAAGGAGAAAGCCAGAAACCATTTCTCTCTGTATAGGAGAGAGCTGGAACCTTTTCTCTCTGTATAGGAGAGAGCTGGAACCCTTTTTTACCTGTATAGGAGAGAGCTGAAACCTTTTCTCCATGTAAAGGAGAGAGCTGGAACCAGTTCTCTCTGTAAAGGAGAGAGCCAGAACCTTTTCTCTCTGTATAGGAGAGCGCTGGAACCTTTTCTCTCTGTATAGGAGAGAGCTGGAACCCTTTTTACCTGTACAGGAGAGAGCTGAAACCTTTTCTCCATGTAAAGGAGAGAGCTGGAACCATTTCTCTCTGTAAAGGAGAGAGCCAGAACCTTTTCTCTCTATACAGGAGAGAGCTGGAACCATTTCTCCCTGTATAGGAGAGAACTGGAACCTTTTCTCTCTGTATAGGAGAGAGCTGAAACCTTTTCTCCATGTAAAGGAGAGAGCTGGAACCATTTCTCTCTGTAAAGGAGAGAGCCAGAACCCTTTCACTATATACAGGAGAGAGCTGGAACATTTTCTCCCTGTATAGGAGAGAGCTGGAACCTTTTCTCTCTGTATAGGAGAGAGCCGGAACCTTTTCTCTCTGTATAGGAGAGAGCTGAAACCTTTTCTCCATGTAAAGGAGAGAGCTGGAACCATTTCTCTCTGTAAAGGAGAGAGCCAGAACCTTTTCTCTCTGTATAGGAGAGCGCTGGAACCTTTTCTCCCTGAATAGGAGAGAGCTGGAACCTTTTCTCTCTGTATAGGAGAGAGCTGGAACCCTTTTTACCTGTATAGGAGAGAGCTGAAACCTTTTCTCCATGTAAAGGAGAGAGCTGGAACCATTTCTCTCTGTGAAGGAGAGAGCCAGAACCTTTTCACTCTACACAGGAGAGAGCTGGAACCTTTTCTCCCTGTGTAGGAGAGAACTGGAACCTTTTCTCTCTGTATAGGAGAGAGCCGGAACCTTTTCTCTCTGTAAAGGAGAGAGCCAGAACCCTTTCTCTCTATACAGGAGAGAGCTGGAACATTTTCTCCCTGTATAGGAGAGAACTGGAACCTTTTCTCTCTGTATAGGAGAGAGCTGAAACCTTTTCTCCATGTAAAGGAGAGAGCTGGAACCATTTCTCTCTGTAAAGGAGAGAGCCAGAACCTTTTCTCTCTGTATAGGAGAGCGCTGGAACCTTTTCTCCCTGTATAGGAGAGAGCTGGAACCTTTTCTCTCTGTATAGGAGAGAGCTGGAACCCTTTTTACCTGTACAGGAGAGAGCTGAAACCTTTTCTCCATGTAAAGGAGAGAGCTGGAACCATTTCTCTCTGTAAAGGAGAGAGCCAGAACCTTTTCTCTCTATACAGGAGAGAGCTGGAACATTTTCTCCCTGTATAGGAGAGAACTGGAACCTTTTCTCTCTGTATAGGAGAGAGCTGAAACCTTTTCTCCATGTAAAGGAGAGAGCTGGAACCATTTCTCTCTGTAAAGGAGAGAGCCAGAACCTTTTCTCTCTGTATAGGACAGCGCTGGAACCTTTTCTCCCTGTATAGGAGAGAGCTGGAACCTTTTCTCTCTATACAGGAGAGAGAGAGCTGGAACCTTTTCTCCCTGTATAGGAGAGGACTGGAACCTTTTCTCTCTGTATAGGAGAGAGCCGGAACCTTTTCTCTCTGTATAGGAGAGAGCTGAAACCTTTTCTCCATGTAAAGGAGAGAGCTGGAACCATTTCTCTCTGTAAAGGAGAGAGCCAGAACCTTTTCTCTCTGTATAGGAGAGCGCTGGAACCTTTTCTCCCTGAATAGGAGAGAGCTGGAACCTTTTCTCTCTGTATAGGAGAGAGCTGGAACCCTTTTTACCTGTATAGGAGAGAGCTGAAACCTTTTCTCCATGTAAAGGAGAGAGCTGGAACCATTTCTCTCTGTGAAGGAGAGAGCCAGAACCTTTTCACTCTACACAGGAGAGAGCTGAAACCTTTTCTCCATGTAAAGGAGAGAGCTGGAACCATTTCTCTCTGTAAAGGAGAGAGCCAGAACCCTTTCTCTCTATACAGGAGAGAGCTGGAACATTTTCTCCCTGTATAGGAGAGAACTGGAACCTTTTCTCTCTGTATAGGAGAGAGCCGGAACCTTTTCTCTCTGTATAGGAGAGAGCTGAGCTGAAACCTTTTCTCCATGTAAAGGAGAGAGCTGGAACCATTTCTCTCTGTAAAGGAGAGAGCCAGAACCTTTTCTCTCTGTATAGGAGAGAGCTGGAACCTTTTCTCTCTGTATAGGAGAGAGCTGGAACCCTTTTTACCTGTATCCATGTAAAGGAGAGAGCTGGAACCATTTCTCTCTGTAAAGGAGAGAGCCAGAACCCTTTCACTATATACAGGAGAGAGCTGGAACATTTTCTCCCTGTATAGGAGAGAGCTGGAACCTTTTCTCTCTGTATAGGAGAGAGCCGGAACCTTTTCTCTCTGTATAGGAGAGAGCTGAAACCTTTTCTCCATGTAAAGGAGAGAGCTGGAACCATTTCTCTCTGTAAAGGAGAGAGCCAGAACCTTTTCTCCCTGTATAGGAGAGAGTTGGAACCTTTTCTCTCTGTATAGGAGAGAGCTGGAACCTTTTCTCTCTGTATAGGAGAGAGCTGGAAACCTTTCTCTCTGTATAGGAGAGAGCTGGAACCATTTCTCTCTGTAAACAAGAGAGCTGGAACCTTTTCTCTCTGTAAACAAGAGAGCTGGAACATTTTCTCTCTGTATAGGAGAGAGCTGGAACCTTTTCTCTCTCTATAGGAGAGAGCCGGAACCTTTTCTCTCTGTATAGGAGAGAGCTGGAACCTTTTCTCTCTGTATAGGAGAGAGCTGGAACCATTTCTCTCTGTATAGGAGAGAGCTGGAACCATTTCTCTCTGTAAACGAGAGAGCCGGAACCTTTTCTCTCTGTATAGGAGAGAGCTGGAACCTTTTCTCTCTGTATAGGTGAGAGTTGGAACCCTTTTTACCTGTATAGGAGAGAGCTGAAACCTTTTCTCCATGTAAAGGAGAGAGCTGGAACCATTTCTCTCTGTAAAGGAGAGAGCCAGAACCTTTTCTCTCTATACAGGAGAGAGCTGGAACCTTTTCTCCCTGTATAGGAGAGAACTGGAACCTTTTCTCTCTGTATAGGAGAGAGCTGGAACCTTTTCTCTCTGTATAGGAGAGAGCCGGAACCTTTTCTCTCTGTATAGGAGAGAGCTGAAACCTTTTCTCCATGTAAAGGAGAGAGCTGGAACCATTTCTCTCTGTATAGGAGAGAGCTGTAACCATTTCTCTCTGTATAGGAGAGAGCTGGAACCTTTTCTCTCTGTATAGGAGAGAGCTGGAACCTTTTCTCTCTGTATAGGAGAGAGCCAGAGCCTTTTCTCTCTGTATAGGAGAGAGCTGGAACCTTTTCTCCCTGTATAGGAGAGAGCTGGAACCTTTTCTCTCTGTATGGGAGAGAGCTGGAACCTTTTCTCTCTGTATGGGAGAAAGCTGGAACCTTTTCTCTCTGTATGGGAGAAAGCTGGAACATTTTCTCCCTGTATAGGAGACAGTCAAAATCGCTTCCTCCAGCTTTAATTTTACACCTTGTTTTAGCACTATTCTTCTTGCCAAAAGGATTGATTTTATTTATTTACTTTACCTCTATAACTGTCATATCATCAACACGTCTCCATTGCATGATCTAAAAATATATATCGACATCTGCATTTAAGATCTCTGATGTAAACAAAACATTTCATAGAACAGCAAATAATTATTTTACAGAAAAATAGTGTCAATATATATTTCAATTTTTTTATTTATTTATTTTAAACGTTGTTTTTCGCTTCAAACAAAAAAGTATTTGAACAATTCCTTAAAGGCATACCAAATATTTCCACCCCCGATTTTAGTACATAAGTGCTTTAATACACACAAACAAATAGCTTTGTGTTACATAAAGTGTGAATACATATATATAAAACATTTCAAGTGCAGCCAAACTGCAAAACACAACAAACTCTTCACACATAAAACATTTTAAAGGTAAGTGCCACCAAAAAAGTGCCAGTGCAAAAACAAATAAAATATGAGTGTTATGCTTTGTTAATACTTAGCAATATATGGAAGTTCCACATGAATTTAGAAAGATAAAAATAATAACATAATACTGCAGACTGTGTAATACAATGAAATTATATATTCCAGTATGCTTTAAAACCATATAAATTATAAAAATGTTACGAACCACTCACACATTCAAGAGCCAGAGATCAGGCTTAAATCAGAGCTGAATTCTAGGCTCTAGTCCACGTGAGTGAGCACCTAAAAGGGATAAACGTGAAGAATGAGCAAAAGAAGAAAATGGGGCACCGAGGAGAGAGAGATCCAGCTGTTCCGGTAAGCATATCTACCTTCCCCCTCTCTCACAGTAGTATCCATTTAAGTAGATATGTCACACTGGGGAAGGCACGAAATGCAAGGATCCCACAAAAGACCCACCTTAAAATTTTACTCCAACCACCATGACCACTTCTGTGATTTGAAGTGGTTATAGTGGTAGAAGTATGTATTTGCAATGTATACAAAGCCTTTACTGAAAACCAAAGGGAGGGCCTTCTCTGTAGTGCCCAATAGGGCATTTTACAGAGGAAATGTCCCCCCTCCTCAGAAGGATTGAAGTAGCCCTTTAAGACCGTGTGCACCATCTTGAACAGGTCTGCTATCTCAGTGTTGCCTCTGTGTGATGTAAGGATAATAACCTCACCTCCATCAGTAATATATTCCACAGTGCTGTCAATGCACTAAATTCTTAAAGGCACACTATAAGCATCCAGACAACTTCAGCTCATTGAAGTAGTCTGTGGGCAGTGTTCCAGGTTCCTTAACCCTGAGCAGGTAGTTATTGCAGTTTTTTTTAGAAACTTCAATAATTACCTTTATGGGTTAACTCATCATCTAGTGGCTGTCTACCAGACAGCCACTAGAGGGACTTACGGGTCATTATGCTACTTTTGGTTGTATATTTGACGGTGGACGCTGGACATCCTCACTCTATGCATGACGTCCAGCATCACCCAAAACCCCACAGGAAAGCATTGAATAATACTTTGGTATGGAGAAATCCTAATACGAGTGCGGCCATTGCTACACATGCCTCCCCCAGTGGCTGACTTCGGCGGGTGAGGATTATTACAGATCACAATGGCTTGTAGCCTTTCTTACCACTTAATCAACTGGAATACCTAATATTATACACCATCTGTGTATCAAGATACAAAGTGTATTTAGATCAAATACATTTTATTGTTGTTAGTAAAGTTCCCTAACTATGTTAATTAAATAAGTAAAGTTAGAATCAGGCCACCCTCACAACAGCGGAACACACCAAGAAAGGAAGGACAAAATTCTAAATGGCTTCCAAATCCAAGTCAGTGCAACATCAGCATCCAACACCATCATTGCTGCTTCCAGTTACTGTGATACACCAGATCTCTTGCTCACTGTGGATCCTCATATCCACGGCCCGCTATATGTAATCAATCCCACTTGATAGGGTGGTGGCCAGACAAGCAGTAAAGACACTGCTGTCGCCCCCCCCAAGTGGGCGCCCTATTTAGCCTATAGGACGCGCCGGCCCTGAACCTATTGCCCGTATTTGTGCCACCCATTAGAAGGGCACAATATCATTATAAATGCCTCGTTGTTGCTGGGGCCATCCTAATTCTATTAACCCTTTAAATATTCTAGATGTGAAAGAATTAACAGATACAAGTATCCAAAGTATGTCCAGATTCAGCGCGCTCTGCCACTGACATCATAAATTATTTTGCTAAATAAAAACATCTATCACGGCACATATCGATAAAACTAAACGCCAGCACGGTCTGATAGCTGGAGACTGTAATGGTTTATAAATCCATTTTGTTTTGCGGTAACGTGCCTCCATTTAATTGACCACAACATAGTCATTAATACTAATGTGAGTTTTTTTCCAACAGATTAATTTTATATGAAATGTTTCCCCCAGGGCGTGCAAAACAAACCAAAAAATAAATAAATTATCTGAGAATTCTAAAGTCCTCGTAACCTTGCGTCGCTTGTTAAGAAAGAGAATAAAATATCCTCAAGCAGTCGAAATGTAAAAGTTCTTGTAAACTTTCTGGCCTTTCAAAATGTTTTCATTTTCTTTTGCCTGAAATGTAATTTTATGCTTGGAGCAGTTGTGCATTTCGATATTTTTTTTTATGAATCCTAATTTGTTTAATCTCAATAATGTATTTGTCTTTTTTGTTATATAAAATCTGCCGTTTTTATATGAGTTTGGTTTGCAGATTTCAAATAATGTCTGAAGTTTTATCTAACTTAACTATTTTGTAGATTTTTTTAGTGTGTTTATAAACCGTGGCAGAGATATTTGGTTTCATATTTCCTCTTAGATCGCCTTAATGCTCTATTCTGTGTCAATCACGTACACCTAAACCTATCCAACGTATTTGGATAAAGTGCATAATGTATCCAGACAATTAAAAGGTTAAAGGACAAGTCACCTCAAAACTATTTTTTTACATAATAATCCTTTCATCAAATTTTACAAGGAAATAGTAAATAGTTGTTTTTTTAAATTAAATGGTGTAGGTAAATAAAATGTGAAAATCTCATCCCTATCTTGAGGATATGACAGGATCCTTCAGCCATATAAATGCAGTTAGTCTCTATGGTCTCCCTTGCTTTTGTGCAGGGAGTGAAGTAGGGAAAACCATAGAGACTTACTATCGATTTTCAAACAATGTCTGATCCAAAGTGCATGGATATGGCTGAAGGATCCTGTCATATACTACAGATAGGCATGCATTATATCTTATTTTTTATATATATACTTAATTTAAAAAAATTACTTGATGAAAGGATTATTGTATAAAGAACAATTTTGAGATGACAGTTGTCCTTTAAGCTAGATCGTTTGAGTATAATCAGGGTTTTAAAAGTACAGCTTATGAAGGGTTCAGAGAGACCCTAAAGTAGCTCTGTCACCACGTATCAATCCAGGGGGGGATTACCTGGGAAAATGACCCCCACGTCCTGGCTTCTTGGCTTCCACTAGGTTCTGCAGAGCTGGTGCTCGATGGATTCCATGACCAGTGGAGAGATCAAAAATCACTCTTAGCAGCCAGGCTGCCCTGATGCCTGGGGTCGGAGGGGAAAATTTGGATGACCCTGCGGGTACAGACCAAGTTCTTCTCTACTTCTATAGATTGAGAGTGTTGTTGCAGGTTATCATGGCAATGTTCTGATTCTTTTCCCTGAGGCCAGCTGGAAGGAGCTGTATCCACCCGTCGGGGGTACAGACATGCTGCATCTAACACCGAACCACCAGTGATCAGGACTCCCCCTCCCTGGCCCAGGGTAGGCCTCAGGGAGAGGTGAATAATCTTTACACCCTCCATAGATAGAGGTATTCAGGAAGTCTATCCATCTGTCTTTAAATCAATTTGTTCTCAAATAACCACAACTTGCTCTTTAGAGAAGAGACAGGATAGACCCCAGCAAAGCTTAATTCTGTGCAGTTATGTAATACAGAGAGATTGGCCTCTTTATCCTACATGATTCTTCAGTTTGTTTTCTGGCAAGATAGCTCAGTGGGCTGGTGCATCATTAGAATTTTTTCAACCCTTGGGTTGCAGGGTCAAATCCCAGCATGGTTGACTCAGCCCTTCAATGATACAATGAGTACCATTAAATTGGGTAATTGGATGTTGGGCTAAGGTAACATCCCCAGGACGTACCTGAAAACCAGAGTAATCTAATGTTCCTTTCCAGATGAAATATTTTAATATTATAATTTTTTTTCCCCCACTATCAGTTACTTCTTCTCAATTGACAGGAGAATGCAGTACATTGATTGGCCAGTTTTCACTTCATTGTTTTGGATAAACCTTTAATCGCCCCAAAACCATTTTTTTCCCAGATGATCCGAATGCATATTAACCCGTGCACTAATCTAATGAGTCCCTGTGTTGATTATGGCCAGAAGCAAAATTTCCAAATAAAGAAATGCACTCACACATTTTCAAGCATTATTGATTTTTCATTACCAAGGGATCTAGTGTCGAGTTTATTTATCCAACTAAATGGATCATGACATGTAATATGTTTATTAACCAAAGGACCAAGGCAATTTCTCAATGGTGGTCTGAGTGCAGTGATCCTGTATGTTTAACTCTTGAAGGTAAAACATTGTCGATTTGCAGAAATATTTCTAAGAAATGCAAACAGTGCTAGAACATGGTGGGATGTAGTATACCTTAACACCCAAACTAATAATACAAAACCCCCCAAAAAATAATTATCAAGGAAACTGCCATTCATATAGCTGAGAGAAAATATAATATGGAGGCAAATGAGAAACTTCCATTATGATCCTAAAAAAATATGTTAAACAAACAAAGTGCAAAGTCAAATGACCAAGGGGGTTACGGCAAGCATGATGACTTCTTCAGTGATTTGAAGTGGTCATGGTGCCTGGAGTCTGTATATGCAGTTTTTACTCTTACCCCAGAGGTTTAACTCCACCTTCGGTGGCGTCATTGGGGAATCATTAGCCAGAGTGCTGGATGGCTAATGTGAATTCTGGGCATAATGGATGTCTGACGTCAGGACACACAGCATGCTGGCTATAGACAGATAATGTCATGATACTCCCCTCAGCCTACCCTCCCTGACATCAGTTCCCCTCCATCAGGGGCAATGACATTAAAACGTGAGGACTGGGCTGCAGGGAGATCCTCCGTGCTGTATCAAGGTGAGTTTTAGCTTTGTTTAATAATTTATTTATTTTGAATTAGTGGGCGCGGGTGAGGGCCGTCCAGTGCAGCACAGTGCAATCCCAAATTCTTCTGCTCATCCCCGGTCAGCTCTGCAAAATCCTTATCCGTTTGAGTCCAAAGCTTGACACAACAATCCGGGGCCTGAGAGCCACTGGCTGAGATCAGTAATATTTCATTCACAAAACAGAGTGAAAAATACAGCCCAGGACCTCTAGGCAGCAACCAACTTCATTCTGATAATGTTCCTTTAACAAGCTTGGTGACTAACTAAACCACAGTGCAAGGGAACAAACAAACAAAGTGTTTCTACAAAGGAGAACATAAAACAGTAATACTTACCTGGATGCTGCACGGCCAATCAACAATAAAGAAAAAACAAATAGTTCTTTGAACGTACTTTGTAACATTGCTTAATGGACCTATGGACCTAAAAGCAGGTTAATGACGCCTGGTAACGAGGAATCGGTTGGGCAGGGATACACACACACCATAATGATAACTGTAGCGGCACCATGCTATCTAACAATATAACAAAATACTGTAAGTAGACCGACCGTGGTAGGAGTAAGTATAACAAATGTAGCCTCTGCCCACAGTGTACCTCTACCACCACATAACAGAACAATAAAGGTGTTAGGAACTGCTGCTATTGGGATCCTACCCAACCCACGATTTCGCCAACGTAACGTAAGACGTCTTAACCAAGTCACATCAAAAAGGAGATGACCCTCAGGCATTAAGGAGCAGGTGAGTATCTAAAGCCCAGACCCCTCGACAAATTAGAGGCTAAATAATTACTTAGTCTTTACATTCATCTTAGAAAGCCACACTCAGAACAAGTTGGGCAGGACACAAAGTTACTCGATCTTAGAAAAGATGGGCTCCAAGAATAATTCTTCTTATAAAGGCTTTTGAGAAAACAGACTGTAAAGCAGAGAGTCCGGAGAGTAAATAACATAGCAAGTGGTAGAACCTCAAACTTTACTGTTACTTTTAATTTCAGCCAGAATTGGACCCCTATAAGTAGAGAAAGTCCACTTTATATAGCAAATTCCAGCAGCAACGTTTCGACCCTAAGGTCTTTGCCTATCTAAGCCTTGGAGTGCCTGGACCTTTCTTTGATGACTAATAACTATTTCTTGGGCCTAGTGCCGGCCCCTGGTTTGGTTGCACGAAGGCTTTTATTAATGGATTGAGTTCAGTTCCATATTTTGGTTTCCAGCACACATTATATAGCAGTCACAGCACATTCAGTCCGTATTTTCTACTGGCACTGGTTAGGAATCCTAATGCCATATCTAGCTAATGCCCAAAGTTTTACTAAACCATGAAAGTCAAACAAGTCGACAGAATCTTATTATTAATATATGCTCATATGTTGGATCCAAAATACACGGTTTTTGTCGTCAATGGAAAGGCTGGCTCAGCTTGATGGGAGCTGTAGTCCACACTGTATTGTCATGGATTGTCTACCACGATATGTGAGTGGTTTTCTCCAAAGCATGAGAGTATTTTTTCTTAAATTCCTCAAGCTGTCCTTTTCATTTTATCAGTTTTTTTTCTCTCTTTGCCTAGAGTCATATTACAATAAAGCTATAATCCTGTCTTCTCTCGTCTGCAAACCTGCCTCTCTCTCGTTCCCTCTAACATTGCACAAGCTGGCTTGCTATAAAAATATTAAAGTCTATTTTCTCCCGTGAACAGTATGCAAAGCTTCCTACAGTCCGAATGATTAAACAGCTCCTGCCAGCAAACAGGAATCTGCATTTTTATTTATTTATCTATCCAGGTTTATATTTGTCTTATAGACAGGGCATTTTTCATAATAATAACCGAAATTATCTGTTATAACAAAAAAACTAAAAAATAATACTAAAATCCCTGCTACAGCTAGAAAGTGTAAAAAAAAAATCCTCATTTGGGAATTATATGTATAAAGTCTAAAGAGCTAATAGTTAAGACAGTACAAAACAAACAAAAACAAAACAAAACGTAATAATTTTTTTTTTTAAAGTAATAATTTCAAAGTATAAGAATAGCAAATTTGCTCTTAGCTTGATTTTCATACATGTCCTGGGTTCTAGATTATAGGCGTGCATACAGGTTGGGCCAGATGTGCCCACGCTCACCCTAATGCGACAGGCTACCTCACCCCCCTCAACCACCACTACCAGTCCGACATGCACACACAAAACATTTTCTTTATCTCGTCCCTCTTATTTGCTCTGGTATTGCACTTATAGGGACACAAGAGACAAGTCACTTGTAAACGCATAACAAACGTGTCATTATAATTACTTGTACTTGTGCTAAGCAAACACAGGGCAGAGCTCTTCGGCAGGGCTCTGTAAATTGGCTGCCTATTAGTTGCATCAAACAATACAACAAACCCTCTCTAACTGGCCCGGCCGACCCTCTTGTGTTAGGTTGTTCTGCCTTTAGTTGCCTGGCCCCGGGTCAGGTTTTTTGTCCAAGTCCTGCCCTGGTAGCTAGGGAATTCACGGCCTGCACCTCAGGCAAGTGATGATCACTGTGTGAGCTTCCTGGACCAGAAGGAGCTCTTTCAGTGATCTGTAACTGCAACCATCTGACTTGCAGACCACAAGCTCCTCCGATGGAGCCACCAGGGAGCTGAATTGCAGGACTCATTGTCCCACTGGCCAACAGTGAGCAGCACCATTATAACAGACCCATGGATCACCAGGGAGAAGCACCATTATAACAGCCCCATGGATCACCAGGGAGCAGGGCTATGACCACCAGACAATCAAGATTATAGATACCTAGGCCATACGAATGAGGGTCCAGAAAAGCATACATTCATTTTTATTTGTTTACAATACCAATGTGAGTTCCTTTTTCCTCTCTGTGTTGTCTCTCTTGCTCTTCAAGTCTCTGCACATCTCTGAGCTCAGTGTTACAAAGATCTTCAAAGGCATGTGGCCAGCTTTTTTCTCTTCCATTACTTTCAGGACAGCCTGCCTGATTGTCCTCCCAACCAAACCCTCCAACAATGTCAAAAAGTTATCCTTCCAGAATCTGTGTGGCAACATAAACACTAGTTTTTTTCTGGTATGAAGCGAGGTATGGAAGGATTTTTTATTGCTGAGCAACTCATTCGCCATCATGATATTATTATTAATATTATGTTATTATTTATAATATGTATAATAGTATGTTTGACTGCTCTTCCACAGGCAGTGCCATTGGGATGAATTGATCAGCCTTCTGCATCACATTACAGAGGCTACTATGTTCACTGTCTGCCATTAAAGGTAATACCTAACATTAATCATCTTTATTTTTCTTGAAAATCTGGATGGCTAAATGGACAGATGGATGGATGTAAATTTAGATTTAGCCTACAAACAAATTGCATTTTTTAAACTGACATAAATTACAAGGATTACTGTCCAAATGGGCTCTTTTCTGCGAATTTGCTAGAGTTCATGGCACAGTAATTTCCTGGCATTGTAGACCTCAACATCATTTTAAACTGACATGACAGGACGATCCAGTGATACTAAATTATCCAGCAGTGCAAATACCTTCTATGAAATGGAGCCTCAAATGAAAACTTAGCATTAATTATTAATTACAAATGGTCTCCGAGGCCAAGCCATAAATTAAATGACAGGTGGTCATTGGCATAATGCAGAACCTGGCAGCGGCAGCAGGAAACGCGCCACCACTTAGCGCACAGATTTCAATGAAAAACTGATTGATTTGCACATGGTACACGACCCATGGATCACACAGCTGCTGTCTGACATGAAAATGAGAGAAGGTTTCCTTAATTGGTGAGTTTCCCCCGTGAGATATCAAAGAAAGTTATCCCATATCAGCTAACTAGATTCCATCAGAACAGAGCCGTCCCAAGATAACTCAATAGGGCACGTTTTAAGGCTTTCAGAGCTGAATGAGCGTGAAATGGTTGATGTTTACAGTACATTACACACAAATATCCTACTTTCAGCCTTTATCTCCAGGTGGTCTTGGCATCATCATTGGATTTATCAGTTGGAAAAAGAAATTGACGAAGTGAACCATGACATCTAGGTTGTGTGTCACAAATCTCTACAACCGTGTACCCGGAGCTTGGGAATCAGTTGTAGCCTCTGGTCTGGGTCTGGTCTGGGTAAAAATGTTCGCTTCTCCATGAAGCTGCAAAATTACAGATAGGGACATTTATCAAAGTGATCTGAAAAGTATATTTTATTGTTGGGCTTTCATCTGTTCATATTTGTTAAATTGTTCTATAAATGGTTTTTCCTCTGTCTAAATTCCTCAATTTTCCCACAGAAAATAAAAATTTAAAAAGTCTGCCAAGTTGATAGTTGTCTACTGTCTCATTTTTTGCCAGCTCCTGAGAACTGTCCTGAATACCAGGCATCCAAGTTGTTCTCCCATGGTGGGCTGTGGAGGGAGGAAGTGATTACACAGTGAACTGTGCATTGGACACACTGTGAAATGGCCACCTCGTTCAATGTACTCTATCATGGAGAAAACAACCTTCTACATAGGGAATATTAATGTCCACCTTGTGTAGAGACAAGAGTTTGTTGTCACATTCTAATTAGAATGTCTGTAAAAATACATGTGTAAATATGTCACTGTAACTATCTGTGTGTATTTTAGTGACTATGTCTGCACACATTTGAGATTTATTAAACCCCACTCAAACATACAGTCCCAACTCTTGTCTGTCTTTTATTTGTCCACATTTCCCCCAAAATTAACCTTGTTAGATGGTCATTATTTCTTAAATAACAACAAATAAGTAAACATAGAAATATCAAATGTGATGGCAGATAACCATACAGTTACCATACAACCATACTGCCCAATTTTCTAATTCACAAAACAATCAATAAAATAATACCACACTCACAAACTATTGATGCTTAAAGATAAATTCTGTATTTATTTCCCGAAACACTAAATAATAAAACATTTCAAAAATCACCCTTGCCAACAAAGTATATTGTTATGTACAGCAATAAAGTGTTAATTTGATAGTAACAGTGTATATACACCTTGTCACTTACAAAAATAAAAATGAACTTCTGTTATAAGTACCCTAATTATAGTATAGTCCGAAGCCATGATGCTTAAAAAGTGAAAACCCAAATTTGATTTCAATTAAAGTAAAATAAAAACAGCAATGTATCACTGCATAAATGGGAAATATAACCAGGCAGAGGAGAGAGATAGAAAGGGAAAGAAGAGGTGGGGAAAAGGGGAAAAGAACATAGAAACATAGAATGTGACGGCAGATAAGAACCATTCGGCGCATCTAGTCTGCCCAATTTTCTAAATACTTTCATTAGTCCCTAGCCTTATCTTATAGTTAGGATAGCCTTATGCCTATCCCACGCATGCTTAAACTCCTTTACTGTGTTAACCTCTACCACTTCAGCTGGAAGGCTATTCCATGCATCCACTACCCTCTCAGTAAAGTAATACTTCCTGATATTATTTTTAAACCTTTGTCCCTCTAATTTAAGACTATGTCCTCTTGTTGTGGTAGTTTTTCTTCTTTTAAATATAATCTCCTCTTTGTGATAACAGAGGTAAGGAAAAGGGGAAAAGAACAACACCCATATAGGGCAGGGGGAACATGGTAAACAGAGAATGGTGGAGACAGAAAAAAATAGAATATAAGAAAAAGAACCCTGGGGTGAGCACAATGGGGTCACAAATTGAATCTTTGCCTAGGGTGGAAAAAAAGTCTTGCAATCAACAGAAAGTTAATTACCTACTCCGCCACCCCTCCCCTTACACACATACTACAGCCCGTACATACTTCCACAAGTCTCATCCTCTACCCCCCTCCCTCCCCTCCCTCTCGTATGATATGTATTTAAAAATGATGGAGAGGGTGCATCAGGTGAAAACTAAATTATTTAATAAATGTAACCAAATATTTTCTCTCTGTAAAGTCCTGCAGAATATTGTTAGTGCTATATATAAATAATAAGAGGCTGACTTGGTATGGCTTTGTTTCATCACAGTTCTCTTGAAACATGGAATTTATCATGCAGATACAACAGTGTTACAAATTTACTTTGAGGCATGTCAGATTTTCAGCCTGTCTCTCACTCGTCACTGTCTTCAGAGATGACACAAACAGGTCATCTCCAGCTGCGGGTATTAGGCCCACTTCTCTGCATGTGCCAAACATCATGAACTATTCATTTTTGTTTTCCATCATTTATTTCCAGACCCAAATCAGAGCAGAGCGTGTGGCGCACTTCTCGTAACCTTGGCGTCTCAGAGATCGCACACGCTGCACACACTCTCTGTCCATTGTGAGGAAATCACACCAAAATACCATTTCCCTTAGAGAGAAGCATTAAAGAAATATTTAGATTTTCTTAAAGCGTTCACGTTAAGCATTGAGCGCTGGTTACTATGGAGACTTCACATGTTATAGATGTCCGATTTATTGGCTTAAATGGTATGGTCCACAATTCTGATGTCAAGGTGGAGGTCTGGGTGCCTATAGTGCCCCCTTTAAGACTGACACAGGGTTCTTCACTAAAGTTAAAACTCCAGGTGAATTAAAAATGAATATTAAATTCAAGGTAAAAATAGCCGAGCTTGAAATATTCTTTAAACGGGCTACGATTCCAGTCTGGCTACTTTGGCCTTAAATCCTAGATTCACTATGAATTCTCTCTTTAGTAAGTAACTCTTAGTGAGGAATTCTTGTTAGGAGGTTAGGAACTGCGTTTAGCAATTTAGTTGACAGTGGGTTTAGGAGGTTCGAGTGAGGATTAGCTGTGATACAGATTGACAGTTAAACGTTACATTATGAAAGTGATGAAGCTCTGGACCACACAGTGAGCAGAGAAATTGTGATGAAAATTGTATATTGGAAGAAAGAGAGGAGAAATAATTGAAAAGGGCGCTCTGCAGCTCGTTGGAGCAGCTATGTGACCCTTCGGTTTAATGTTAAACCATTAGTTGCCAGGCAATTGGCTGACAGTACCAGTTACAAGTTAACACAGCATTCCCAGAACATCGGCACTCTCCAGATTGGAGGACATTGACATTGATATTGCAGAACACCCAACACTCTAACACCTACATTTTACAGAAAACACCTTGGGGTTTATGGTGAACTATACAGGTTTTAGACCAAACAAGTTTAGTAACAGATCTAAGATTACTTTATTTTTATTAGATTTGCCACAACTCAACACTTACAGAATTAGTCACTGAATTCTGAATTGTAGTTAAAGGAACACTATAGTGTCAGGAATACAAACAAGCATCTACTAACACTATAGTGCTGGTATGCAGTATTAGGTCCCTGGCCCCACTTTCTCCAGAGATTAAAGGTGATTTTATTCACTTTTTTCTCACGCCTCTGCTTGCGTGGCTGAGGTCATCAACATTTCCCATAGGAAAACATTGGGTGGCTATTGCGCATGCATGGTAAAATGCCGTGGAGCGTCAATCAGCATCTCCTCATAGAGATGCATCACATCAATGCACCTTTATGCAGAGAATATAAACCAAAGAAAAGAGTTACGTGTGCACTATCCCAAATACCTATGCATATTTAAATAACTGGCTGATTTTTTAAAATCACATGCAGAACATGGAGACACTGAGCCAGGAAGCACCTCGAGTTACTGTCTGAGTGACTGCACCTAGAGGCCTAACTACCCAGCAATGTAAACACTGCCTTTTGGAAAAGGCAATGTTTACATTGCTATGTCTGCAGGGATTGACTATTGACACCAGAACAACTGTATTAACCTTTAATACAAATGGCAAATGTTAGGCAAAAATAAACTATAGCTGATATCAGTTATTTTCACGTAAGTGTTGGATTTCAGTACAGCTTAGTGAATAATCTCTTTTAGTAAATAACCACCTACCCCATCCCATGTTTCAATACGCTGGATGATCAGATACAAAGTAGCAGCTGTAAATTCTGCTTCTTCTCTGTGTCTTGCTGGCTAGTCTGTGTCTGTAAAGCCTTTGTCTGGGGCTGAGAAGGAATATTAAAAAAAGGAAAAGGCCATGCTTGCTTTAAACCAAATGTCATTTATTTCCTGGGGCTTTAATGGAAGATTCAGGGGGAGATTTCAATATTCTTTTCTTATTCTGCAGTCAATGCTACAGGCTGTGATTCTTAAAAGAGGAATCCCTTCAATATTTATTATTCTCTGAGAGGTATAGGGATGGAAACAGCAGACACACGGAAACACAGACAATACAGACAATTATAAAACAGACATACAGACAGCCAACGTTTAAATTTCCTGGGTCCCCTTGGCATGTGCCCAGCTGATGCAAAGTCATTTTGGTTGCCTAATTAATGGGAATGTTTTGTAACATTTAGAAAACATGGAAACCCCATTAAAGTGTTGTTGTGATACTGTAGAATTTGGGCAGCCTGGTATTGATTTGTGATTATAAGATATTTCAAACCAGGAAGAATATCAACTACGGCCCCAGTGAGATTCCAACACAGTCAATGTGAGTATTTCGTAAAGATCTGATATTGGCCTCAAGGGGTGAAGGAAGTACTGCTCCCCACTCTGCAGGTGGATGGCATGAAGTACCAATGCCATATATCTAATGTAAGCTGGTTCTTGTTCCATAAACTGGCACCCATTGAGTGCCAACATGTTTAATAACATTAAAGCAGAAAGGATTTAACGGTTCTAGGTTAATAGGGTGAAACCTGAGCATCATGGATGGACAAAGCTGGGATCCCAGACAACACCCACCTCTGGTAATATATCTAGACATTAATCTAAATCTGTGATGTCAAGACCATCATTACATCCTCTGTTGGTTGTGACATGGGGCCACCAATGGCGGTCCTGATATTTGCCATTCCATCCATCATGACATCCAATATCATACCATGTCTACCAACACCTTCCAGGTCGACCCCATGGAACTGATCTGTGCCCTCTCTTAGCTGCTACTAATGTCTCATCTAACCCATCCTACTAACCTGGAGTCCTTAATGATACCATCATTAATCAGCTGATGTCACTTGGACCATGCTACCTTCTGTGAGTCACATGCCACATGTAGTTGAAATTGTTAACACTGGAGTCTCTTTGATCTGATTAACATTTTCACAACTGAAATTGTATCCTTTTCTTAGGATAATTAATTTAAATAAATTAGTATTTCACCTTTCTGCGACTGAGACCACTATGGTACCTTTTCCAAGAGGGTCCCTACCAATAAACCTTTAATTAACCCTTCCACCAAGTAGAGACATATTCATATGTCATATCCCCCTCTCAGCATGCCATCCCCTTTACTCACATGCCATATGGCGAAGAAGATGAGAGCAGCACAAAGGACCAGGGACAACATATAGCAGAAAGCAGCAAATGTGAAGGCCATTGCCAGAGCTGTGGGTGATGTGGACAACCAGGCAGGAGGAGACAGTGGTCCAAGTCAATGAGGCAAAACCTCTCAATGTCAGCCTGTGTGTGGTGGCTGGGGGGGACCTTGGTCTAGTCCAGCAGAAGACACTTGGTGACAATCATTGTTGGATCCCCTGGAATTGACCTCCTGTCTGTGTCTCCAGAGGTGCTAGCAGAGGTCCGTCAAGATGTACAAGGAGAGATAAGGGATCAGATCCAGGAAAATGTCCAGAAGGTAAAGCCCAGGAAGATGTCAAGGGAAAGGGGTCCTAGGAGTAGTCCAGGGAGGTCTAGAAGGCATAAGTTCAGGTTGGGATTCTAAGAGAGGATCATGGAGAGGGATCTTAGGAGATGTTCAGGTAGAGGGGTCCTAGGTGAGTATCCAGTTGAGGTCCTAGTAAGGATCAGGGAGAGGGGTTTTAGGAGAGGTTCAGGGAGAGAGGTCCTAGCAAAGGTTCAGGGAGAGGGGTCTCAGGAGAGGTTCAGGGAGAGGGTCCTAGGAGGAGGTCCCGAAGGGAGAGGTGTCTTAGAAGAGGATCAGGGAGATTGGTCCTAACAGGGGTTAAGCAAGAGGTTCAGAGAGAGGGGTGCTAGGAGAGGATGGGGAGAGGGGTCCTAGGAGAGGATAAAAGAGAGGGGCCCTAGGTGAGGATTAGGGAGAGGTCCGGAAGGGAGAAATTCAGGGAGAGGTCCAGACAGATGTCCTTATTCCTTAGAAGTTTCCATCACATGAATGTGCTGCTCCCAGCTCTCTGTGAGATGCCCTGACAGTCCACACAAAGTGACTCACTCCGAGCACACCAGGGCTTCCAATGAGGGGAAGAGCTCACATGGCCGAGTCTGAGACGAGGGAGGGTGTCTCACATGGCTGAGGGTTTTGTCAGAAGGGAAAGTCTCACATGGCTGAGGGTCGTGTCAGAAGGGAGAGTCTGACATGGCTGAGGGTCGAGTCAGAAGGGAAAGTCTCACATGGCTGAGGGTCGAGTCAGAAGGGAGAGTCTCACATGGCTGAGGGTCGTGTCAGAAGGGAGAGTCTCACATGGCTGAGGGTATTGCCAGAAGGGAGAGTCTCTCATGGCTGAGGGTCGTTTCACTAGAATGGTCTTCAAATGGCTGAATATAGTCTCAGAGAAGGGGGTCTCGCGATCTTGTGACTGAAAGTGAGAATCTCATAAGTTTTAAAGTAAATGCCTCACCTGGCTGGATGGCTAGGAGTAGTGAGAAGATGGAAGAGGGGGTCTTGTCTGGCTAGCAGTAGTGCTATGAAGATGGTAGAGAGGGTCTTGCTTGGCTGGGAGTAGTGAGAAGATAGAAGAGGGGGTCTTGTCGGGCTGAGAGTTGTGAGAAGATCGAGAGTAGTGAGAAGATCTTGGCTGGCTGAGAGTAGTGCTGAGAAGAGTCTAGAAATAGAGGGATCTGCTGCCCTCCCCTCGCTGAGAGTAGTTTTTCTCAATTGGATGAGATTCGTCTGAAATTCTCTCTGTCAGAGATGAGAACCTTCCTGTAAGACGGAGGATGCAGATGGGAGTGTGAGTGGGAGTCTGAGTCTCATTCACTTACTGCACTCTCTGATCCATTGGGTGTATGATAGACTGCTCTCACTGCATTGGGGACAGGAACGAGTTAATCTCAGCCATCTGGAACATGACAGCTATGGACTGCTCATCCACTGGCAAGCACAGAGTTAATAGCACAGACCCGTGTCTGTAGGATGCTGTCTGAGTCTGCTGAAAGAATTCAGAGAAAGAAGTCACTGGCTCAGACACGGGGACTCAGGACCGTTTTTCCAGCGGTTCAGTTGCTGTGGACTACCCATCCCACTGTGCTCAGCCACCAACAGCGTTGATGGAACATTCTGCCTGTCCTTCAGTTGCCAGAGATTGCCTCTTTGCTCAGTTGCCTGTTGTGGCTTTTGTTTATAAACAGTAATTCTAGGGCAGCGTTCTAGAACGCAGCTGTAAGCGGTAACATTCCATTGTTTCCATGGTGATTGCTCCACTATTAGAACTTTGCCCCTGAGTCATTCTTTTTACGTAACCTCCAGTGTCTTCATTCTGAATACAGAAAGACAGGGAACTCCATATTTAGACTGCTTCGTGTCAGAATGATGGGAGTTTCATTCATTAGTAGATGAACGGATACAGTCAGTCAATGTTTCCAGTCTCTGTGCTTTGTTCGGTTACTGGCTGGACATCATGGGGTTCGAAGACCTTAGCAGATGGTGTGTTGGACTTTTCCTATTGCATTAGTGTTTACTGTGTAGCTGAGTCCAAGTTCGTTTGGGCAATTATGTCCTATTCCTACTAAGGAGGAAAAATGCATGTGTGCTAATTCTAGTATTCCCTCTGATCAGCCCACCTGAAAAACATGGATTCTAACACACTGCATCCAACTATACACCTGCATTCATACACACACACACATTGTATACAAATATACACCTGCATTCATACACACACACACACACACACACACACACTACATCCAAATATACACCTACAGTCATACACACACATATTGCACACAAATATACACCTGCATTCATACACACACACTGCATTCAACTATACACCTGCATTCATACACACACAAACATCGCATTCAAATATACACCTGCATTCATACACATACACTACATCTAAATACACATCTACATTCATACACACACACTGCATCCAAATATACACCTGAATTCATACACACACATTGCATCCAATTACACACACACGCTGCAACCAAATATACACCTGCATTCATACACATACTGCATCAAAATACACAACGGCATTCACACACACACACTGCATACAAATATATATGTGCATTATATTCACACACAACCACTGCATACAAATACATATCTACATTCATAATGTATGCAAATAAAATGCTGCACATGCTAACACTGACATTACACACAAATATATTTTTACACATTAACAACCCTTGCCTTCACCCTGAATTCACCCGATATTCATATTTTGCACAAACAGATGTATTACTAGCACATAAAAAAACAACAACAAACAATAGACACACTAATGCAAAGAAGGGACACTGCGAGGAGGTAAAAAAAACTTGAGCCTAAGGGTAAATATTAATGTCTCTAATTATAAATTGATGCAACCCACTCCTAAAACCCCACTCTACACCATAGCGTACGTACTACCCGAAACCCTAACACGTTCTATGAATCTTGTTATGAAAACAAGACTTTAAATAAATTCAGAGCATTTTTTAGACATTTGTGCTTCTTAACCCCAAACCGGCTGTATTAACCCCACACCTGCTGTATTAACCCCACACCATGCTGTATTAACCCTCAATCCCACTGTTACTGTGTCACTATACCCCATACCCCACCCCCTCAAGCATGTAAGCTCTCTGAGCAGGGCCCTCAACCCCTCTGTTCATGTGTGTCCAATTTGTCTGGTTACAACTACATGTTTGTTTGTCCACCCATTGTAAAGCGCTGCGGAATCTGATGGCGCTATATTAATAATAGCATAATAACTGAAAAACAAGAGAGGTGTACCAGAGAGGGACTTTGATAAATAGGATGCATACACACAAATTAATTGATTCATTGAACTGTTATTTGAGAAAATTGCCACTTATTTTTATATTGCAAGCTAATATAGCTAGATTGAAAAAACAAAACAAAAAATCAACTCCACTTCCAGGTCAACTATTGTGACCTAAATGTTTCAATTCTCTGATAATGCTCCAATGTGTGTTAAACAGCCTCAGTGTTTATTCAGAGAGCAGATACTCGTAGTGAACCGAGAGTCTTGAAATGCAAGCTGAAATAGACAAACTGTGATGGGAGCACACCTGGAGAAATTTTACAAATCAGCTATTTTGACCTAAATGTTTCAATTAAAATGTTAAATTATTACAAGTGAACCTTTCAGCGACTAATTCTGTGAGTATTTGTGAGTGCGTATATTTGCCACGAGGACCTAAGTTTGTCAAGAGGGCCCAGAATGTACAGAGGTATTTTAGAAACAAAAGGGAAAATACTGCAGCGTAGAACGAGAAAGGGGGTGGAGAAAAAATAACTATGTAAAAAAATAAAACTAAAGATGAAAAAAGCCAAGCAAGTCAATACTGCATCTAAAATGCATGGGAACCTGGAATGCCCCTTCCCAAGGTTGAGTGCCCCTTTAAGGGATTAAACCCAAGGCTGGGGACCACTGTAATATAATCTCTGCTTCCCTGACATTTCTCAGTTACAATGTTTCAGCACCATAGTCAGCTACCACAAACCAGCTCAATGTGTGTCCACCGCAAACTGAGTTCATCCATCATCCAGCAAAATATGTGTCCAGGCCAGTAAAATGTGTCCACAATTCCAAATATTCCTACAAATTTGGCTCAAGAACAGAGCCACTGTTATAGTCAGATGATCAATGTTGGCAAACTCATTAAATAATATCTGCACACTTTCCTTAACTTCACAAGGGTTTTTTTCAATTAACAGTTTCATTTTTGACATTGAAAGAATACAGGTTAGCATGGTAAAAGTTACAATATAAGGAAGAAGTAATCACAGCAAAACAGATTTTTTTGGTAATGATAAAAAATTCTGTAAAACTCACCAGGAAAAAAAGTGTTGTTTTTTTTTTGTTTTTTGTTTTTTTGTAAGAATGTTAGATAAGATAACAGGATCCTGAGGAAATCGAAGAAAATAATTGGTGTTTCAATACATGACTATGTTTTGTTCAATAAATACATATGTTTAGTGCATTAACATAAATATTTCCTTTACAAAACAAAGTATTTTATGTCAGATTAATTTTAGTAATAATAAAAAAAATTATTGTGAATTATGAAAATTCACAATTTTCTATTTCAGTACTGTGTCGCTACTCTCACACCTGTCAATCCTTACATTGGCTTCCTGTACCCTGTAGGATTTCATTCAAAATACTAACCCTTACCTATAAAGTTCTAAACAAAGCATGCCCCTTCTCAGTCTTTATGCTCTGCTGGTGACCTTCTCCTGTCTGCTGTTTGCATCCTTACGCTAACTTGCTCCTTTCCTTTGGCACAGCCTGCATACCCCCATCAGATTCTCTCCTAGTCTTCACTCATTTAAAGGGATACTATAGTGCCAGGAATACAAAGCTGAATTCCCCCGTGGTGGTCAATAAAGGATTAACCCCTTAAGGACACAACTTCTGGAATAAAAGGGAATCATGATGGAATATTTCCGTCATGTGTCCTTAAGGGGTTAATAAAGGGGTATTTACATTACCCCATCACCAATGTTCCTCGGCACTGGGTCGCGGCTCCTCCTCGTCCTTCGTCAATGCTGTGAGGAAAAAATCTGTCGCTGGGTGTCCTCAAGTAAAGTGTGAGGACGTCCGGCGTCAGATACCAGAGCAAAGGTCTGTTTGGATGCAGGAAGCGCCTCCAGTGGCTGTCTGGGAGAGTTGCAGTGCTCCTCAATGCCCTTCTTGTTGTGTTTTCATACCCACCTCCTCTAGATTGTAAGCTTGTTTGAGCAAGGTCCCCATCAACCTATTGTTCTTCTAACATTTTGTAATTTCCTCATTTATTGTTAAATTTCCTCTTTGGTGATTACTTCTTCAGAATTCCTCTGAATACTCTTTTTAGGTTCCACTCTTTCCCGATTTGATAGATTTGTGTTTGATCAATTTCAAGACATTTTACCAGAGTTTATAAATTGATTTCCTTTCCAGTTCACAGTCAAACCCAGTTACTGTATTATTATATCCTTGACCTATTGGACTGAGTCTGCAGACTTAAAGGAACACTATAGGATCAGAAACACAAACATGTATTCCTGACCCCACAGTGTTAAAACCACCATCAACCCCTCTGGGCCCCCCTTGCCTCATTAAATACAGTAAAATCTTACTTGTAATCAAGTCTGCAGCTGCTTTCTCTGCCCCTGGTCTGCCTGTTTGGCTGACATAATTAGATGTCATTCTGTGAGCCAATCACAATGCTTCCCCATAGGATTGGCTGAGACTGACAAGGAGGCAGATCAGGGGCAGAGCCAACACAAGTCAAACACAACCCTGGCCAATCAAAATCTCCTCATAGAGATCCATTTAATCAATGCATCTCTATGAGGACAGTTCAGTGTCTGCATGCAGAGGATGGAGACACTGAATGGCAGTGTTGCACATTAGGCAGGACTGCTTAAGGAAGCATCTCTAACAGCCATTTGAGGAGTGGCCAGTGAAGTTATCACTAGGCTGTAATGTAAACACTGCATTTTCTCTAAAAATACAGTGTTTATTACAGCAAAAAGCCTGAAGGTAATGATTCTACTCGCCAGAACAAATGCAATAAGCTGTAGTTGTTCTGGTGACTATAGTGTCCTTTTTTTAATGTCTTAGAGTTTATGTTGCAGTCCCAAAACTCCCTAAATAGAAACAAAAGCTTAAATGATCACAGCAAGTTTAAATAACATAATATTATTCATTTATTGGGCACAGACCATATCAAATCAATGTGCCATGATTTCCATGTATAAGACAATGTTTTTTTCAAAAAAAATTTAGTCTAAAATTGGGAGTTGTCTTATACACGGAATGTCACTGCAGGGGTTAAAAAAAACAACCACTTGTGCGTGGGGCCTAAGTTAAGATGGCGCCTGCCGCATTTCCGTGTGCCATGGCCCACACACAAACCTAGCCTCCCTCCCACCGATCCACTTCTGAATGCAAGAAGGAAGAGGTCCCTATATGTGTGGGTAGACATCAGCACTTACCACCAATGGAGCTCCAGAGAGGTGCCAAACCATAAAAGGAGCAGCCATATTAAGGTTTGCTCCACCTCAGTTAGCTCTTGCTTTCTGATTTATATTTATGGGGGAGGAAATGGGGATCAGGGAGCAGATGGAATACTGCTGTGATGTCCCTGCATGCCTTCACACCACCTGCAGTATTGTGGGAGCTGTACCAGCATGCAGTTTAGAGCTATTAACCTAAGAGTACCATAGCACAGGGGAGGCATGAGAATCAGAAGTGACCTCTAAAATATCAAAGTTGTTCTTTTTGATGTTTAAAATATTGATCTCCTAATTTTTGGTTTAAAAATAGGGGTAGTCTTATACATGGGCATATTGTTCACAAATCTGTCTAAATCTGTGTTAGTGAACACTTCTCCTTTGATGAGATAATCCATCCACCTCACAGGTGTGGCTGATTAGACAGCATGATTATTGCACAGGTGTGCCTTAGGTTGGCCAAAATAAAAGCCCACTCTAAAATGTGCAATTTTACTGTATTGGGGGAGCCAGAGGGAGCCAGAGAGGTCCCGGGGGTCCGAAAACCAGTCAGTATCTGGTGTGATCACCATTTGCCTCACACAGTACAACATATTTCCTTCACAAAGAGTTGATCAGATTGTTGATTGTGGCCTGTGGAATGTTGGTCTACTCCTCTTCAATGGCTGTGCGAAGTTGCTGGATATTGGCAGGACCTGGAACATGCTGTCGTATACGCCGATCCAGAGCACCCCAAACGTGCTCAGTGGGTGACATGTCCGGTGAGTATGCTGGCCATGCAATAACTGGGATGTTTTTAGCTCCCAGAAATTGTGTACAGATCCTTGCAACATGGGGCCATGCATTATCATGATGCAACATGAGGTGATGGTCGTGGATGAATGGCACAACAATGGGCCTCAGGATCTCGTCACTTTTATCAATGTATTTTATATGTATAGGGACAGTGTATGCCAGAATTCACTACATTTTTTGAATGCATACAATGCATTATCATCTTAAAACAATTTGTTTTAACAAATGTTTGCATAAAGATCTTCAAAATATCTTTTTTTCTTTCTCATCAAAGTTGCAACATTATCAACAACAGCAAAACCTTTCTGAATCCAAGGTAATGTATTTAGTGGAATTCCCTCTGCCGCTATCCATTCCTTTTCTCTTAGTCACAATGAGCATTCTAAGATATCAGTAACAAAGCATTGATTCTCCCATTGTGTTATCTCGAGCGTCAGTTAAAACTGCAGGTTTGATTTTGTTTGAGTTTTTTGTCCCTGCATTTAAAAAGGGGCGCCATTCAATTGGGTTACAAAAACCTTCAGATCGCCTACCTGTCTAAAAGCAGTGTATTATTCTTCATGCCGCTACATGTGGTACTGCAGGTTAAAAAATCAAAACGCTACTCGTGTCCTTCATGTGATGACACGCAAAACGCAGAAGTTGTGTGATGAATTCTGATCTATTAAATAAATGGATAAAGACAGAAATGTTTCCAGCATTTGATTATTTACATATTAATTAAGCGCTTTCCATGCTTTGCAGACCGACACAGAGAATCAATCTATTTTGTAAATGACACAGTGTGAATCAGTCAGGCTCTTTATTACATTATGCAGTGTGTGCACGACCCGGTTATTGGTCTCCCGTTGCAGACAGCTGTGGTTATTACGCATGATGTAATTAATAGAAAAACACCCGGCTTTTATTGGTGGAAATTGCTAAATCTGCGTTTTGGGTTTTGTTTGAGATAAGTCGGTTATGAATATTTACCTTGCGGCAGCGCAGTCCACAATTCATTGAGAGAAATAATTCAATGTTGTGACGGACCGCCGTCACGGAGTACCATGCCCACATGTGCCCCCCTTGTTCGCAAATCATGTTTGGGCTGATTAGAAGATTGTGCTTGATTGAGGCTTAGTTATTAATCTCTGGGTAAGTGTTGGTGTCACTTTGGGATATCATACTGGAACTCAGCTATAATACAGAGTGATATATAGTGATACAGAGTGCTATAATACAGTGTGATACAGTATGCTGTAATACAGTGTGATACAGTATGCTATAATACAGTGTGATATATAGTGATACAGAGTGCTATAATACAGTGTGATACAGTATGCTGTAATACAGTGTGATACAGTATGCTATAATACAGTGTGATATATAGTGATACAGAGTGCTATAATACAGTGTGATACAGTATGCTGTAATACAGTGTGATACAGTATGCTATAATACAGTGTGATATATAGTGATACAGAGTGCTATAATACAGTGTGATACAGTATGCTGTAATACAGAGTGATACAGTATGCTATAATACAGTGTGATATATAGTGATACAGAGTGCTATAATACAGTATGATACAGTATGCTATAATACAGTGTGATACAGTATGCTATAATCCAGTGTGATATATAGTGATACAGAGTGCTATAATACAGTGTGATACAGTATGCTGTAATACAGAGTGATACAGTATGCTATAATACAGTGTGATTATATAGTGATAAAGAATGCTATAATACAGTATGATACAGTATGCTATAATACAGTGTGATACAGTATGCTATAATACAGTGTGATATATAGTGATAAAGAATGCTATAATACAGTATGATACAGTATGCTATAATACAGTATGATACAGTATGCTATAATACAATGTGATACAGTATTCTATAATACAGTGTGATACAGTATGCTATAATACAGTGTGATATATAGTGATACAGAGTGCTATAATACAGAGTGATACAGGATGCTATAATACAGTGTGATATATAGTGATACAGAGTGCTCTAATACAGTGTGATACAGTATGCTATAATCCAGTGTGATATATAGTGATACAGAGTGCTATAATACAGTGTGATACAGTATGCTATAATACAGTGTGATATATAGTGATACAGAGTGCTATAATACAGAGTGATACTGTGTGCTATAATACAGTGTGATACAGTATGCTATAATACAGTGTGATACAGTATGCTATAATACAGTGTGATATATAGTGATAAAGAAAGCTATAATACAGTATGATACAGTATGCTATAATACAGTATGATACAGTATGCTATAATACAATGTGATACAGTATTCTGTGATACAGTATGCTATAATACAGTGTGATATATAGTGATACAGAGTGCTATAATACAGAGTGATACAGGATGCTATACAGGGAGTGCAGAATTATTTAGGCAAATGAGTATTTTGACCACATCATCCTCTTTATGCATGTTGTCTTACTCCAAGCTGTATAGGCTCGAAAGCCTACTACCAATTAAGCATATTAGGTGATGTGCATCTCTGTAATGAGAAGGGGTGTGGTCTAATGACATCAACACCCTATATCAGGTGTGCATAATTATTAGGCAACTTCATTTCCTTTGGCAAAATAGGTCAAAAGAAGGACTTGACAGGCTCAGAAAAGTCAAAAATAGTGAGATATCTTGCAGAGGGATGCAGCACTCTTAAAATTGCAAAGCTTCTGAAGCGTGATCATCGAACAATCAGCGTTTCATTCAAAATAGTCAACAGGGTCGCAAGAAGCGTGTGGAAAAACCAAGGCGCAAAATAACTGCCCATGAACTGAGAAAAGTCAAGCGTGCAGCTGCCGATGCCACTTGCCACCAGTTTGGCCATATTTCAGAGCTGCAACATCACTGGAGTGCCCAAAAGCACAAGGTGTGCAATACTCAGAGACATGGCCAAGGTAAGAAAGGCTGAAAGACGACCACCACTGAACAAGACACACAAGCTGAAGCGTCAAGACTGGGCCAAGAAATATCTCAAGACTGATTTTTCTAAGGTTTTATGGACTGATGAAATGAGAGTGAGTCTTGATGGGCCAGATGGATGGGCCGTGGCTGGATTGGTAAAGGGCAGAGAGCTCCAGTCCGACTCAGACGCCAGCAAGGTGGAGGTGGAGTACTGGTTTTGGCTGGTATCATCAAAGATGAGCTTGTGGGGCCTTTTCGGATTGAGGATGGAGTCAAGCTCAACTTCCAGTCCTACTGCCAGTTCCTGGAAGGCACCTTCTTCAAGCAGTGGTACAGGAAGAAGTTTGCATCCTTCAAGAAAAACATGATTTTCATGCAGGACAATGCTCCATCACACGCGTCCAAGTACTCCACAGCGTGGCTGGCAAGAAAGGGTATAAAAGAAGAAAATCTAATGACATGGCCTCCTTGTTCACCTGATCTGAACCCCATCGAGAACCTGTGGTCCATCATCAAATATGAGATTTACAAGGAGGGAAAACAGTACACCTCTCTGAACAGTGTCTGGGAGGCTGTGGTTGCTGCTGCACGCAATATTGATGGTGAACAGATCAAAACAGTGACAGAATCCATGGATGGCAGGCTTTTGAGTGTCCTTGCAAAGAAAGGTGGCTATATTGGTCACTGATTTGTTTTGTTTTGTTTTTGAATGTCAGAAATGTATATTTGTGAATGTTGAGATGTTATATTGGTTTCACTGGTAATAATAAATAATTGAAATGGGTATATATTTGTTTTTGTTAAGTTGCCTAATAATTATGCACAGTAATAGTCACCTGCACACACAGATATCCCCCTAACATAGCTATAACTAAAACAAACTAAAAACTACTTCCAAAAATATTCAGCTTTGATATTAATGAGTTTTTTGGGTTCATTGAGAACATGGTTGTTGTTCAATAATAAAATTAATCCTCAAAAATACAACTTGCCTAATAATTCTGCACTCCCTGTAATACAGTGTGATATATAGTGATACAGAGTGCTCTAATACAGTGTGATACAGTATGCTATAATACAGTGTGATATATAGTGATACAGAGTGCTATAATACAGAGTGATACAGTATGCTATAATACAGAGTAATATATAGTGATACAGAGTGCTATAATACAGTGTGATACAGTATGCTATAATACAGTGTGATATATAATGATACAGAGTGCTATAATACAGAGTGATACAGTATGCTATAATACAGAGTAATATATAGTGATACAGAGTGCTATAATACAGTGTGATACAGTATGCTATAATACAGTGTGATATATAATGATACAGAGTGCTATAATACAGTATGATACAGTATGCTATAATACAGTGTGATATATAATGATACAGAGTGCTATAATACAGTGTGATACAGTATGCTATAATACAGTGTGATATATAATGATACAGAGTGCTATAATACAGTATGATACAGTATGCTATAATACAGAGTGATACAGTATGCTATAATACAGTGTGATACAGTATGCTATAATACAGTGTGATATATAATGATACAGAGTGCTATAATCCAGTGTGATACAGTATGCTATAATACAGTGTGATATATAGTGATACAGAGTGCTATAATACAGAGCAATACTACGTGTTCTCTTTGACTCCGACCTCTCCTCCAGGCCTCATGTTCAATCTATCGCCAAATCCTGTCATTTCCATTTCAAAAACATTGCGCGCTTCCACTGTCCTTTCTCGACTTGACTACTGTAATCCGCTTCTCAGTGGTCTTACGTGCTCCCAACTTGCGCCGTTACAGTCCATAATGAATGCGGCGGTGAGGCTCATCTTCCTGTCCGCCCGCACCTCCCATGCCTCACCCTTCCGCCAGTCCCTACATTGGCTTCCTATAAAATATAGAGCTCAATTTAAAATTCTGGTTCTTGCTTTCAAATCGCTACATAATGCTGCTCCCACCTATCTATCCTCCCTTATACACAAGTATGTCCCGTCTAGGCCCTTACGATCTGCTGAAGACTTACGTCTATCTTCTGTCCGTACTCCCACCTCTGATGCTCGCCTTCAAGATTTCTCGAGGGCTGCACCTTTCCTGTGGAACTCGCTTCCCTCCTCCGTTAGATGCTCACTCAGTCTCCACTCCTTCAAAAAATCATTAAAAACCCACTTCTTCATAAAAGCATATCAATTAAACTGTTAATAGCTCCTGACTGATTCCTCTTCTGCCACTGTCACTAGTCTAATACTATCCTTACCGTTTTGTATCATTTTACCCCACTCCCTCTAGCATGTAAGCTCATTGAGCAGGGCCCTCAACCCCTCTGTTCCTGTGTGTCCAACTTGTCTGGTTACAACTACATGTCTGTTCGTCCACCCATTGTAAAGCGCTGCGGAATTTGATGGCGCTATATAAATATCATAATAATAATAATAATAATAATAATAATGCAGTATGCTATAATACAGTGTAATACAGTGTACTATAATACAGTGTGATATATAGTTATACAGAGTGCTATAATAGTGTTATACAGTATGCTATAATACAGAGTGATACAGTATGCTATAATACAGTGTGATATATAGTGATACAGTATGCTATAATACAGTGAGATACAGTGTAATATATAGTTATACAGAGTGCTATAATACAGTGTTATACAGTATGCTATAATACCGAGTGATACAGTATGCTATAATACAGTGTGATATATAGTGATACAGTATGCTATAATACAGTGAGATACAGAGTGATACAGGATGATACAGAATAATATCATACAGTGTGATATATAGTGATACAGAGTGCTATAATACCGTGTGATATTCTGGAAGGCTAAAGATCATTAACATTTCAAAGAAACAAACTCCTCAATTAAGAGGTACAGGCCATATAGCTGAAATCATTTAGTTTACATTGGAACTAGAAAGCCTGTGTATAGAGTGTAGAATTTCACACCTTGCAGAGGCTTTGATTAATCGAAGGATCAATCCATGTTGTAAACCGTCTGCCCCTTTCACATTCAAATTGGCACCTTTTGAAAATGTTTTTTTGGAGTGTCTCAGAATTTTGTAAATTTTTCTGTAGAGGATCCTGGTAT